ACCCTGTGAGCTGTTAGGTGACCACTGTGGAGCATTACAGAAGTGCTGAGCATAGGACTTCCCAAACGCAGCTGATACCATTTGGGAATTGCTGCACAAGTGGCTTTGAAGGCACTGCCAATCAGCTGATTAACGTTGCCTGCAAAAGACTCTTTTGTCCAACCCCATCTTTACCTGCCCCATATATGAACATCAGGTTTGGGACAGGTGGGTGTGGCCAAATGGAAAGGCCTGGTGGGTCTAATTAGACCCATGGGCTGCAGGTTCCCCAGCCCTCCTGAATTGCTTCTCACCTTGAAGAAATGGCACATTATGAATCACAGACTGAAGCACCACTGGGCCATGTAGAATTATGCTCAAGATGGCCCAATTAATTTGCTATTTTACCTCCAGCTAACTTATTACCCTGGTAATATTTGAAGGTTAGAATTCTATAGAACAGGCGGATAATACTTCTACTGCTTATGACAGGGTTGCCAGTTTAGATAAGATGGTGGTACTAGCATGGGTGGTGCTACCATTATGAGCTGTTTTGCCACAACTTTCTGGCCTTCAAACTCTATTAGAGCAACTTGGACCAAGGGGAAGCGGAAAATATCTCATGCAGGTAATACATGAATTTGGCTGATGGGCCCAAGATACAGTGAGTGGTAAGTTTAGACTAAGAAATTGTATACTTCAGGAAATGGGCATGCATACGAGGGTTTGAAACACCTCAAGACTAGAGTCAAACTCACATTCTGTACAACCATGAGTATCCCAGTGGACATGACATGGGGATGAAATAACATCTGGGCAGGTGCAAACTCGTTGACAGGAATTCCTTCCTGGCCTTGATTTACATGAGCATGAGGACTGGATTTAGAATTTTGACTTGCCATGCACATGCAAATTATTACCAAGAAGCCGTTCCTGTCAACATGCCATTCTGGGTCAGGCTTTTGTTCACCATGTCATTTTTTTTTTACAGTGTTTGAACCTATGTATATGTAAACAGACATGCAGGGAAGTTTGCAAAAACATTAACTAAATATGTGGGCTTTCAGTGCTTTCCTCACCTATTGAACACAGAAACCTGGTAATTACTGTGGCTATACGGAGGGAAAAGATAATCAAGTTATGGTTTGCAGTGCAGGGAGAAAGATATTCGATAAATACTCTATGAAGAGCTAGTGGTGGAAGATCTCCCAATGTTTCTTCAGATTCTTATCTCATTCTAGGCCATTGATTCTTTCTGAGTAACATCTCTGTCTTGGCTTCTTCATAAAACAGAGATTTCAAGGTCTCACAACAGTGATCAATATAACTCTTTAGTGTGTCTCCACAAAAGAATAATCTTCTTTACAGTCTCAGATAGATGACTCACTTGAGTGGCGTATCTAGTGCTGGGTGATGAAAGATGACCACTTTTGGTTTCATCAGTGCCAAGACTCCAATTGAGTTGTCATTGCAGTGACAATTATATCCATACTGAAAACCAGACTTCCACTGAAAGGCATATATAATATAATTATCTGTATAGCAAACACCATTAGAATAAATGCATGTTACTTTCTATTATTAATGCCGTGAGGAAGCTTTGTATCTGAGCAAGTAAACTTTGAATAGACCCATTAAGATCACTGAATTTAAGTGTGTAACTAGATTTGATCCATTGATCCCAATGGGTTAAGTGTCTAAGTATCACTTAGGAGTCAGCTACATTAGTAAAAAAACAGTGTTTTGAATGTGTTATAAACATGCAACACCAGTAAAAATACAGTAGTAATAATAATAATAATAATAATAATAATAATTCGGTGCGATTTTCCATAGCATTCTTTCTCTTTTGTTATAACGATTTAATTTCTGACTTATTTATAGTGGGTTTTCCCCTCCTGTGTGTAGGTCCACCCTTAGATACAACCCATAATTCTTAATCAAAAAATGATCAGTGTGTATTTTACAATCATTTTCTTTAATTTAAAAAGTGATATATAAAATATATACACAAGTGTTAAACAATACTGACATATTTATGAAGCTGAAAGCAAATAAAATCAAAATGTTGTTTTAAAAGAATTAACTGGAAACTTGTTGTAAGGAATCTAGCACAGTACTTCTCAAAAAAAATTGTGGACCTTTTAAAAAATGCTAATACATTTTTTTTTCTTTAGCACTGGCATTGTCATCAAAACCACTATCCTTAAGCCTGGTTGCTGAGAAGGGCTCCTTTACCTGGTAAATTTTTAGGGGGAAATTAGCAGACAGCACGAGGGCTATGCTATGAAAATCATGTGCCCCAGGCCATGGACCCAGTCAACAGAAAAATAAATGAAACAAGTACAGCATCAAGTATAGATATTCTTGGAGGTTCTGCAACCTTTCTGCAGACCAGGAAATTCTAATTTGAAAAAGTAAATAAATAACAGAAGCAATGCAATGAGAAACATGGGTGTGCGGCTTTGGCCAAAGCTGAAGCAAAAGTAAAAAACAGAATGAGCAATGTGGTTTGGATCAAGCATCCCTTGTAGAGAGATATGCTTAGGAGAGTGTGTGGTGCTGAGGTGTTTTTTTTTCTTCTTCTGATTTTCCTTTGCCTCCTGCAGCTGCTTGTGTCATCCCAGAATCTGTTTAGGAAGGTTAAATCTCCAGAGCAGATTTCTGTGTGTGAGTGCAAGTTGCAAGATGCCCCCACTGGATAAAATAATTTTATAAGAAGCTCTTCCATTCATGGAACTCAAAGCCTGCATCCAACACATTATTTATTGGCAGACTCTCAACAGAAATATATAATCTTATTATTACTAGAAAGCAAACAATAGACAAGAAACAAAAATATTTCATCGTAAATGTGCATTGTTCTGTAAGCAGAATCTACATTTATATTTATAAGTATCCATACAACATTTCATTTTTGCATATTTTCAGTTATTTCAACAGCCAACTGGCCATCCAAAACACTTTTATGTAATTTTAATCCTACAAAATATTCTGAGACAATTTCCCTGTTTCTAAATCTCATGGAAATTTTGGCATTCAGATTACCTGACTATATGGTACCTCTTTTAGACAATATATCATTTATATTGCCTTAAAATTCTTGGCTTCATGGTGCCATGTATGTTAAAAGTTGGTTCCATGAAAACATTTATGGATGAATTATAATGCTTTCAGCCTCTGTGTTTACATTGGGAATACTTGGCTGACTTTTAAATAAACTTTACTACCAGGTGGGCTTGAAAGAGAACTTTTTTTCGCTTTTGTGTGTGTGTGTTCATGTGTTTGTGGGGTGTTTTTTTTACAATGAGAGTGTAGTGTCCTTACTATGCATGACTTTATTGGCTTTACACAAACACCTGATTCAGTTAAAACCTAACTTTTTTAATACAAGCAGAGTGGAATTCAGTGCCACAGTCAGCAAAAACATTACTGCTTGGCTGACAGAACAGTCTCTCCCCCGACAACCCTGCCACTGCCAAGCTGTCCTAGGGCTTCTCTGAATCCCCCAAAGCAGATTTGGGAAGGTGGGTTGAGAAGCCCAATTACACTAGCAGGAGTTCCTAGTATTTTCAACGTCAACTGTGCCAATAATTTGTTTGTGCTCATACACACACAAGTAAGCATGGATGCCTGTGTAGTTTGAACAGCTGCTTTTGTCTTCAGTGTAATTTTGGTCTTAAAACTGGTATTAACATTCAACACCTTTGAAAGCACATCACATTTTTCAAATTTTGGCAAGTCATGAGGATGCGCTGTAGGAAGTGGAAAGGGACTTTGAGACTTGGAAGCTCCAGTAGATGATTATAGCTTGCCATATGGCTACCTGAGCCCAAAGCTCTTATGTTACATTACAGTGGTACCTCGGGTTAAGAACTTAATTTGTTTTGGAGGTTCGTTCTTAATCTGAAACTGTTCTTAACCTGAGGTACCACTTTAGCTAATGGGGCCTCCCGCTGCTGCTGCGCCACCGGAGCACGATTTCTGTTCTCATCCTGAAGCAAAGTTCTTAACCCGAGGTACTATTTCTGGGTTAGCGGAGTCTGTAACCTGAAGCGCCTGTAACCTGAGGTACCACTGTACTTTTATTTTGTTTGTATCCTATTCAACATTTCTGTATACAATGTTAAGCTACTGAGTGTGATTATGGCATTGCAATAATCTTCTCCTCAAAAGCTACAAAAACACATACACACACCCTGATTAGTCCCTGAAGATTTAGCTTGTATGGAATCTCATAGTCAGCGGTGGTCCTTTGACCACCGGTGTGGTGTAGTGGTTAAGAGTAGTAGTCTTGTAATCTGGTGAACCGGGTTCGCGTCTCCGCTCCTCCACATGCAGCTGCTGGGTGACCTTGGGCTAGTCACACTTCTCTGAAGTCTCTCAATCCCACTCACCTCACAGAGTGTTTCTTGTGGGGGAGGAAGGGAAAGGAGAATGTTAGCCACTTTGAGACTCCTTAGGGTAGTGATAAAGCAGGGTATCAAATCCAAACTCTTCTTCTTCTATGATGAGGCAGAGTGAGGCAGCTGCCTCAGGTGGTACGTGCTGGGGGGCAGGGAAGGCAGATCTGTGAGTGCCATGTGACCTACCTAGTACCCCCTAGGTTGGCCTTCTGCCCTCAAGTGCAATGGAAGATACATTTGTACCTCCTGAACGCCGCAAAGCTGGAAGTGAGTGTTCCAGTTTGCGAACGTTCTTTGGAACCCGAATGTCCAACATGGGTTCCGCGGCTTCTGATTGGCTACAGGAGCTTCCTGCAGCCAATCAGAAGCCATGCCTCGGTTTCTGGACATTTTGGAAGTCGAACAGACTTCCGAAATGGATTCTGTTTGACTTCCGAGGTATGACTGTATTTCCCTTTCACCAGTATTGGAGTATGATTAAACTGCCAATCCAACAGGCTTCTGTATGTGCCTTGGGGGAGGGGGCATCTTGTCCTTCACCTCAGGCAACAAAGTGTCTTGAGTCAGCCCTGCTTATCATCATCATGACTCCTGCTTTTTCAACAGAACAGTCTTGTGCTTCAGAACAATGCTTGTCTTTGCATTCAGAACAATGCTGGCACTGCTCAGGATATCTTAATACCAAATACTTTTCAAAACCATCTATGGTATTACATAGGCTACAGCTTGTATTAACTCTTTCTTCCCCCTCTCTGATTTCTTTCAGCAATGAATGTGTCGGCTGCTGCTGATTTAATGCCTACATCATCATGGAATGTGTCAAGTGAACTAGACAAAGGTAAATGCAGGGGGGAAAGAGGAATTAAAAATCATCCTAGATTTTAAGAAGCCATTCTTAAAGTTCCTTTGTTTTGTGCTTGATCATAAATCTGCTGTTAAAGTCACAAGAAGGAGGAATTGAGACCTGTTTTGTATGCCAAGCAATCATTTGATATTCAATTACACCCCAGTTTGTGATTTCTGAAGAATGTTGGGATTCACTCCCTCCCCTTTCTTACTTCAAGTAACACGTTCCACATGTTAAGAAAATATGTCAAGATGTGAATTATAGCAGTTTATGACCTACCTGACATTTCATCTTTGCCTCTTGGAATCTGGATTCAATATTACCTGCCTGGACTCTATGTTAACAAGCTTTGGTCTAAGTAGCCTTGCATGCACATTTTGCTATGAAATTTGGAGGCAATCAGTTAGTTGCTGGACTGGGAAGAGGAATGAAAAATCTTTTAATATTTGTATACAGCATGCAGAGAATTAGGCTGTTGAATACACACACACAGTGGGCATGTGTTGGTCTGCAATTTCATTTGTGCTTGCATGAGAAACGAGTCTCCCATGCACACACAATGTGAAGTTGTTCTTGCATACCTGTTTTCCATGTCTTCAAATGGCTGTTAGTTTCTGTGATCTGTGTATAATCTGTACAGTAGAATCTCAGAAGCCGAACACCTGTAAACTCAAACGTTTTGGCTCCCGAACGATCGGAAACCGGAAGTGATTGTTCTGGTTTTCGAATTATTTTTGGAAGCCAAACATCTGGCATGGCTCCCCCCCCCAAACAAAAATCCTGGCTACACCCATGGACAGGAGTTCATTCCAGTCCTACACAGAGATATTGCCCACATTCCCAAAGCTGTCATTTTCCTCCACAGCGAAAAATGTATTGACACTTGTTTCTCTTGCTTCTCATCTAGCTTCACCCATGCAAAGCATCTTTTTTCTTTTTCTGTCTGGTGATCGTGTGCTTCCACTGCTTAGAAATATGATCATGGAAGGTGGAATTATTGGCCTCTTAAAATACCCTTCTTTCTTTCACTTTCTGGTCAGGGGAAAGTTGCCTTACAGCCCCTCCAAAGGGGTGGGAAGAAAATAGGAAGTTGCCTTATCCTGGGTTGGAAAGTTTGTCCCTCTCCAGTCCACCCTTACTGGAATGCTCAGACAGAGATCTTTCTCATCACTTGTTACCTAGCCCTTTCTTTAAAATATTTTATAAAAACAAAGTTTAACCAGGTTTAAAACATGCAGAACATGTGCTTTCCAATCCCACCCTGATAGGATCGAGGGTTTCCAATGGTCAGTTCTGGGGTGGGATTGCCAATCTCTTATCTGGCCTTTAAAGTACTGCAAAGCATCGTTTTATTAAATATAATAGCAAGGTCAGTAGTTCACCCACAGTGAACTTCCAGTGTTTTTAAACGTGCATTGAGAAATGACAGGTCATGCAAACATACAGCCTAAAGAAATCAACTTCCACCTGTTTTCCACAAGAGCTGGCATGTGGTCTCAGAAGCATCCATATAAACCGGATTTTAAAGCTTGTTAAACGCCTCATGTAAATTGGTTCCCAGCCAGCACTCCCAATTAAGCAGATGTCCCTATTCAGTGACCTTCACAGTTCCTGCCACTCTTCAGAAGCACTCCCTCCCCCAACAACCCCACAAATGTATACACTTCAGTGTTTCATTGGGTATGTTTTTCATGTTCTTATTAAAATATTGTAAAACTGAATGAATATTTTTTTAAAAAACAACAACAAACTTGTTATTTTGTCTCCCCTGCCCTCAACATGACTACTTCTCCAGTGACTGTCTACCAACTGAGACTGATTCAACTTTCGGTTTTGATTAAATAAGCTAAATTGGCAGCATTAAACAGTTGCCTGTTTATTCTTTTTATCAGGAAATGAAATTTAAAAGGGACGCAACCACCCGTGAAGACCTGTTGAAAGCAGCAATTGATGCAGCAGGGAGGTGGTGGTTTCTCACCAAAACTTTAAAGAGAAATAAATGCTGCATTTTTTAAATTTAAAAAAAAACATTTTTAAAAGCATCTCCGGATCATCAAGTGCTTTTCTAGTTCTTCCTACCACCCTGATTTCTCTACCTACTTTTCAGCAGACATTTGTTACAGAGAAGAGATTATTATGTTGTTGCTGCTGCTGAATTTAACAGTTGTCAAAAGGGCATTGCACTTTAGAAATCTGAGTCTACAGACTTTTGGGGAAAATAGAGTCTTGTTATGAAGAAACAATAGATTGTCTTAGGACTACTGAGAGGACAGACACAAGATCTTGTGATTACAGAGCACCAGTTCATATATACAAGTCAATCGTGGCTAGAGCAGGGGTGGTGGACCTCTGGCACACATGCCTAATTAGGCATGGTACAGATCCCAATTTGGCCCACAATGTTGTTTCTTCCAAACCACACCCATATGCTACACAACCGTCATAATAAGGGACTGCCAGTGCACAATCAGGAGCCTTACAGTACACACACTGTTATGTATTGGCAAGGGAGACTTCCTGTTATTGCCAGTCAGCTGATTGGCAATGAAATTGAGCCAACTGGGATGAGCTTCACTATTGAATTCCCCTTGGGGAGCTCTGTAGCCAGCTGATCCTTGAAGGGGCTTTACAGGAAAGAACTTGCACTGGCTGCCAATATGATTCCGGACCAAGTTTATGTTTCTTGTGTCTTGTGCTAATATACAAAGTCCTGGGGAGCTGGAGCTCATCAACCTAAGAAGGTAGCGCATCTAGGAGAAGGAAAACTCTGGTTTTAAAGCTCCGCTGCTTTACGGGATATCTTTGGGAGAAGGAAAGGCTAAGGTACCAACCCTACACAAATCTGGAGTGGAGTCCCTAAGATAGTTGGATTGCATCTTGCATCTTCTGGCAACTCCTGCAGCCAAGCTGGTGCCAAACGTATTGCTTTCCTTTCCTTTGGACCACATCAGTTGTTTGAGCAGCTCAGAACCTCCATACACACAGCCCGGGCTTGCCCCCTGGGAAGGTCACTTCAGTGCTGCTAATACAGCAGTCTGACTTCACCCCTAGAGGCACACTCCATTGTCTCTTGAGACAGATGGATACCAACTATAGGCAACTTGGTATTAGCATGGCTTAGGGACTGGCTGCCTAACTGCTTATGATCCTGTCCAATAACTGCAGTTGTTAGGAAGGGCATGTTAGTAATCCCTCATGGCCCCTGTTTTCTGCTCCGCCATCATAAGGAGTAGGGCTTTTAGGATGATAGTGCCTCTTCTCTTAGACAAGCAGCAACACGATATGTTTCAGACCCTTTCTGAAAACCTTGCTATTCAGGCAAGCATTCTTCAAAAGTCTTCCAAAGATGACTGCAGCTGATAGATTTCTCCTTAATATATAAAAATTCTATAGCAGCAGGGATTCTGTAAAATCATTGTCACTGCTCAAACTTTTCCCCCCTGCAGTTTTTGCTCCCTTTCATTTTTGGTTGAATGCGTGAATCCTATGCTCACTTACTTTGGTGTACTGCTGAGGATGGCTCTGTTAATGTTGGTTTTGAGAGGGTCAAAATCCTCAGTGTTCAGATTCTCTAATATTCTACTGAATCTAATGCTTTTGGTCACTCATTTCTGTGGTGGTTCATAGATTATCCATGATTCTCCTCCCAAAATCTTTAAATGTGAAATTGCTTCATGTGGTGAAAAGAGGTAAAATTACAGCTTTCATATTCATGCACAATTTACCTTTTCATTTTCTCTTGCTATACAGGGATATTCAGTAAATCAGGTACCCCTTATGGGACGTGTGTGTGTGTATTTTCTATTTGTGGGGTCCCATGAGTAGCTGAGGCAGTAAATTACTATGACTTTGTTTGAGAATTTTTTTAGTTACAGCACATTAGCTCTTTTGTTTGCTTTTCCACTGATAGAGTGTGTGTTTTTGTTTGAGAATTTGTGTTTCTTGAATGTCTCATTTATGGGTAATATAGGACGTAAAATGTGAAGGTCGTACAACAAAAGCTACCAAAGAAATTGACCTAAGTACCATTCACCAGTCTGCTAAATTGTTTCAGAAAATGTGTAACTTATTTCAGACTTTGGTTAGGTTTTTCCCCTTATAAACCCCAGTGTGTATAATGAATGTCTGACGTTACACACAAGGTAGCTATATATAATAACCTTGCCCTGGCTCATCCAGCTATCTCGGTTTATTTGAAAGATTAATAGATCAGAGGGCCAAGGGACGTGTTTTATTGTACATTTCTGTTCCAGATTTCCTGACATTTGGGGTTTAAAAAATACACCTTTAACAGGCAAAGGAAGGGCTAATAAGAAGCAGATTCTAATGTGATTGTATGTCAAAATGTCAAAAATAACTGCTTATCTTTGACTTCATAGCATTACTCTTCAGCCATTTTATTCATGTAGATGGGTAGGCACATACATTTATTTATATATACACACAATCTGCTTCATTGCATTATTCTCCATCCTCTATGTATGTGTGATATATCTACACATGCAAATATATATCTATGTACGCATAGTGGAGACCTCCACCTATTTGTACACACTTTTAGCAAGTTAAGGTTTGGAATAAGACACAGTTTGGTTTCTAAAGCGACAACAAAATTCCTTGATGTTTTTCAGTAGTTTAGGTTACAAGATGATACGGATTTTTGTATGCTAGCCACAAATTACTTATTTGTTATAAACAATAATTTGTAGCACATAGCTTTTCTAGACTGTGATTTCCTTTTCTTTTTTTATACAGTTGTGGAACCTTCTATTTTAATCATACATTTGTAAATGCTACCAGTGTGTGTGTGTGTACCTCTAACAACATAATTGTTGTTATAATTTGTGCATTTGCTTTGGGCCATTTTGGAACTGATACATTTTATAAATTAGTAACAAGTGTGTAGACCTCCTGCTTGTTTTATAAACCAGAGTTCAAGTACAGAAAATGTAATTCCTCCACACCAGTTTTCACTTATCAGAATTGTCACCAAAGCTCTTTGGAAATTTTAAAGTGCATTCAGAAACAAAGCAGTATGAAAAATCTAAAACACAGAATTGAAAACTGTCAAAAGGAGCATAGTCAGATAGAAAATTCACTTTGTATTGACAGCTAAAAGTTTGCTTGTTCTCCTTACCATCTTTGAAAATATTGAAGGCCATTCTAGAGTAAATCTCAGTTTAAAAGATGCAGCATAAATTAATAAATAATGTCATTAAAGTTTGGTCATGTTTCATTCTTGAAATCTCATTTAATATTTCAGAATGGTAGTCACTCTAAGAGTAACTGCTTTTGTTTATTTTTGTTTTTGTGAGGAGTTATTATTCATTCAATCATATATGGCATCATATATTGTTAACTTTCTTTATACGAAAATTAGGAATAACTATAAATATATTTGTTCTAACTTTTAAATAAATTCCAGTGTCTGTTCATCTCATGCCTATTACTCTGCTGCTATACAGTTGACTGTGTGCTAAGGGGATATTATTGAATTGAATTAATACATTTAGGAATGTGCTGTCTGGAATGCACTATTAAAATACTTTTGCCCTTGTTTTACTGCCTTTTCCCTTCAGTGGGGGTCAGAGACTGGGGTTTCATGGAATTTTATTCTGCTTCCTTTCCTGTTTCAAATATTGACATTTATTTATTTAAAACATTTCTTTAAACTTGATTTTCATCATAAATCATCCAGGACAACAAAACTCAATGAAGCAATAGTGGTTGACAGGAAAAGGCAAAATTAACTTATCTATTTAAAGCTTTGAAGAAGGAAACTGTATTCACCTGGTACCTGAAGTTCAGAGAGCAGGCACCAGAAGAGCATTTCATTATTGGGATGCCATCACTGAGAAAATTCAGTTCTGAGTTGCCACCTATCTAACCTCTGAAGGTGTGGGCACTTAGAGCAGGGCTTCCGACGGAGATATTATACTTAAAGAATGGGCAACTTCATATGGAAGTTTCTCTGCTCCCAAAACATACAGTGAGGTTAGAGTATATGGTTTGAGTGCCAGACCAGGACAAGGGAGACAGATTCAACTGTCCACTTGGCCATGAAGCTCACTGGGTAACTGAGTCGGTCCCCATCTCTCTCTCTCTTTTTTGGTCTAATGTACATGAAAGGGTTGTGATAAAATGAAGGGAGGGAACCATGTATGCCACCTTAAGCTCCTAAATTGAAGGGTGACAAAAATATAATAAATGAATCCCAGAAGCTGATATGCAAAGGGACATTGTCTTTTCCTTTTTCATCCTGTGGCTTGAGTGTTGGTAGTCTAAATAAATCAGAAAGGCTGATGGAGATGTATGACACTGCGAAGCTGTCTAGCTTCTGCTGTCTGTGTTTGTGTGTGTGTGTGTGTGTGTGTGTGTGTGTGTGTGAAAGAGAGAGAGGAAGGGAGAAAAAAAGGAAGAAAGAACATGGCTAAGCTTTCAGAAAATATCCACCCTAATGCCTATTGCTTGCTTCTGTATATTATTAGCTCAGAAAGGAATATATGCAGTGGAACAATAAAGAGAAAACACAATCCATTCAGCACTATGTGTTTGGATAAAGCTTTCTATGAATGCTTCATTGAGAACTTTGGTGAAATAAAAGCAAGCTGGCTGAGCAAAATGAGTTGCTGGCCTTTGATTCCTGCTTGAAATGCTGATGACCAAATATTTCCATTCACGTCTCTTTTAACTTTTTGATATGCTTCATGTGGGTTGCCAAATAATAAAAAAGCATTATTCTGTTGTCTGAAAAGTCAATTTGCATTTTCCTTGTTTTTATTAATCAATATGATGAAATGATTCATTTTAAAGACACTCCTGCATCCTCTTTTGCTGCCATCTTCATTACCCCAAGGAAAAGGAAAAGAGGAACTAAGGTTCTTTACTTGCATTCAGTTCTTATTTTTGCAGCTGAATGGCTTGGAACAGATTCTAGCATGACATCCTGGTAGTAATAACAGCAGCATTAGCAATTAGCTTTTGCCTTAGCATGCCAAATGTCCATCAGAATAAGTTGCAACTTAAGTTTAAGTTAGAGTAATCCTACAAAGATTCAAATTCCTTTGCAAGAATTTGCCAGTTTTACTTTAAAACGCACCTGGACGCCACCACTTAAAGTAGTAAATAGTCTGAAAGCTTTCCTGTTTTAACAATGCACATATTTTTTCTTACAATGCACATTTTGTGGTTTCAGAACTCCTTAAACTTAACTGTGTATTAAAGCACTATTCCATAATGAAAAAATGAGGGGGAAAGTTGCAGAATAAAGACACCTAATATTTAGTTTTTGCATTCTTTGTCTCCAGTTTATACTCTTAGACTCATGAAGGTGACTTATGATGTGCAGTGTTTTCTTTGGCAATGCCTCAAAACCAGAAACATATTTAAGGCCAAGCTTTCTAGATATTATCTCAAGTAATTTAGAAGTTCATTATAGGGCACCCACTAGGCCTGCTACAGTAAGGGTCTGTCAGCATTTTACAGTGGTTTATAACTTGAGCATAAAGAAAAAAAGTCTCTGTGGGTTGAAACTTGGCATTTAGGATTTAAGACTGGGAACAGATTGTTTTAACAAATTGAAAAGTAAAATTGACTCGTTATCAAATTATATGTGGTCTAAATTTTAGATTTCTGGTTTCATCTCAAAATTTCTGACATTAAAGTATTTTCTGAAAGCGTCATCATACATGCTTGGTATCAAACAAAGGCGAATATATGTTTTTTAAAAATGAAGAAAATGCTAACTGATTTATGGTACAATCCTTAAATCCTCCTAAATTCAGACATATAATTGGTGTATTCTGTAGCAATTAGCTTGAGTGCCATAGCCAAAAAAATATTAAAGGGTTGATGATATAATTTGGGTCAGGATTTATATTATGCAACCTGTTTTCAATGACAGTATTCATGTCAAGAACAGGTGAAGCAGTAATAAAACAATTGTCCTTCTGAGGATCCATCTTGATACTATGGTTCTCCCTCCCCCTCTGCACAGTGACCTAGGTAGCAAAACTCCGGTTTACTCAATGCTGCCCCACCCTTTCCTCCACACACCAATTGGGAAATCCTGTTTTTACTTGAAAATGCATTTTCCTGACACTGTAATCAGGTGGGTAATCCATGGCCTTATATGTGCAGCATCTGGTAGCACTCCGGGATCTCTCTTCCTTTCCATAAACCCTGCAGTGGCATTGGAGCTTGGAGACTCAGCCTAACAGAGCAGCGTAACATCCTTTAGAAATCTGTTCTAGCTGCTACACTTCATGGAGAGGAAAGATACCTTTGCTACTGCCCTCTGTGATGACTTCTCATGGCCTCCCACACCACACCACAGGGGTGTGATCCAGAAGCTCCTCTTGCTCCTCTTGTGAATATGTTATTTCCACTGGGTATCATGTGCTTTGCCACACTTCTTGGTGCAGTCCTGAAACAGGGAAAACTCCACAATGGTGTTGGGAAGATGCTTCAGAAATGCCTCCTTGAGACTTTATGTCCAAGTAAACCTACATAAATTCAGATTACAGGAACTATAAGAGGCAGACAAAGGATGGGAGGGAAACTTAAGAATGTGTGTGAATGGATGTGTGCGTGAAAGAATAAGATAATGAATGATGGATGGATGGCTGGGGTGTATACTTGGTGTGTGAATGGATGACTTGCGGGTTGGGGGCTTGTGTGAAAGTAAGAACGAATGAATGAATGACAAATGTGAGAGAAGGGGGTGACAAAAATAGTTATCCCTGCTGATTGTTTTGTCCTTACACATGGCTGATATACAACATGCAACCATTTTCTTCCACAACAAAGGGCTAGGTAAGCCATTGGCCTGATTCCATATGACAACTCCTTTTATCTATATCTGGTCATCTGAATACAGCTACATCTCTGTAAAATTTATATCTGTGTTTTTGTGATGATGCAATCATATTATAACTGTATATTAAATTATCCATTATTTGTCGACGTGTCAGAAACAAATCAGCACCCTGTTAATTGTTCCTCACCCGTGCTTCTTTGGAAATACTGTATGTTCTGTGTTAGTTTTCTGTACCCTTGTCAGCATGACGATCATAGAAAAATTAATATTTCCCTCTTTGACTCTATTGCACTTTAAAGCAGCTAAATTACTCTCTTTGAAGTGTAATCAAGTTCAGCATTGTAAAGAAATCTAATACTTAAAATTTGAATGCGGTTGCTCAGAAGCTGTGCACTATTAGTAAGATTTTATTAAATGCAGATTTTTGTGGGAATTCAAGAATGTATGATCTGACTCAGGCTATACTTTAACAATGAGTTTTCTTTTAAGTGTTCAAAGCATGATGCCAGATTATATGGACCCCTAAGTGAGTGGTGAACCCACTTCCCCTTGCTCACTTGTAAAATTGTAGTCAACTGTCTTCATTGCTATAATACCTTCTTCAGTAAAATGGTGATCATATATACTGCCAGCCCCTTGTGGGTTCTTTGCCCACAGTGTTCATGATATTGCAACGTCTTTGATATGAAGCTAAACATCTAACCAAAGTTTACATAGGCAAAATTGTGTTAAGGTGTTAAAAGCTTGTAAAATTAGGTCTCTTTAATCACCTCCTTAGCCTTCTAAATTACAGTTCCGCAGTAGCTCTGTAATTGAAAGAAGCACATATATTTACAAAATTGTCCATTGAGAGTTGACTTTTAGGTGGGTTGGATTTTAGTAAAGATGTCCAGGAACAACATTTGCTATTGGCTACTAAATCTGAACATCTGGATAGGAAAAGGTGGCCCTTTGAAGAGAGAAGCTGGTTAAATTTGGATTTAAAGAGTAAACGTGCCATACTTGAAGGAAATTAATAGAGATAGGTAGCAGTTGGTGTTGTGTTGCATGGAAGAAAACATTGGCACTACTGATAGCCAAAAAATGGAACATAGATTCAATAATGGACATTTGAATCCTAACGCAATGCCAAAAAAAGAAGCTAGAAAAAATGGGGGATGTAGGTCTTGTGGGAAATGAAACCAATACATGCATCAACATCAGAAGCGGATAGATTTCTAGTTCAAGAGGGGGAAGAAGTTTATTTTCTTTAAGAAACTCATTCTTGAAAGGAACCAACAGACCTGTTTTCTGACCAGATCCAGAGATACATGCCTATTTAGCTGAACATTGGGAATATTAAAGTGCTTGCTAAATGTTGTTAAAGTGCCAGCGTTACTTCATGCTACTCATTTATGTGTGAAGGCCTACAGCTACCATAAAATTATATTAATGTATATACAGATGAGTGGTCAAGCTTGTAAGGTAAAAAAGTAAAGGACCCTTGGACGGTTAAGTCCAGTCACAGGTGACCATGGGGTGCGGCACTCACTCCGCTTTTCAGGATGAGGGAGCCAGCATTTGTCCACAGACAGCTTTCTGGGTCACATGGCCAGCACGACCAACTGCTACTGGCACACAGAGGACCATGTCAAGTGCCAGAGCGCACGGAAACACCATTTACCTTCCTGCCACAGCGGCATCCATTTATCTACTTGCACTTGTATGCTCTCGAACTTCTAGGTTGGGAGAAGCTGGGACAGAGCATGGGAGCTCACCCCGTCACGCGGATTTGAACGCTAACCTTCCAATCGGCAAGCCCAAGAGGCTCAGTGGCTTAGACCACAGCACTACCCGCATCCCTAGGTCAAGCTAGTATAACTTGCTGGAGAGTTGGGTTTATCTGGTCTAGAAAACTTAGTTGTGGCTTCCCATAGGCAGCTTACCTTTTCAACAACATTGCTTGGATAAATAAAGCTACTATAACAAAGGTCAAACAGGGTGAGTATGTATAAAAAGCTACAAAAAAAATACAATTAATTTTTCAAATTAGGTAGTTGCCTTCACCTGAAACGCATCTGCTGGACTAAGAAGACAATTCACACAATATTTTATGTCCAAAATACAGATAGATATAAATGCATACTCAATGTGTTGGTTGTTAAACATACTGAAGAAAAGCTTAGCTTTGGTACCAAATGTAAGTTTCAAATGATTTCAAATTGTTTCCACTTTCAGAAATCTGATAATAATCATATAGCAATAAAATGAAACAAGTGTGCTGGGTGAACAGTGACAGAAGTAGCTAAATATTATATAAGGCAATGCCGAGCCATTATCTATATTGTCTAAATAACATAACCATGAGCACATTTGGAATGTGAAAGAGACAGAACAGATCTTCCAACAGCCAGCTTTATGAGTATACATCTAAATGTAAGACAGCATCTTCAGTAGATTATTTGTGACACTTTCCCTTATACTACTTTACATATTTGTACGTGTTGTATGTAGCAATAGATATACATCCACTAATCTTTCTTGATAGGAAAAAGAGATTCATTCATAGTTGATATGCTAGAATACATTATTTATGTTTGAATAGAAATTTCTTGGGTGGAAGAAACTGATTTGTTTAAAACTGTGTCCAAGTGAGCAGTTGTTTTGTCTAATCCCTCTTCCTTGTGTATTTGACAGATTATTTCTTGAAGCTTGATGAGCCCATGAACAATATCACCACTACCTTAGGCCAGACGGCAGAACTGCACTGTAGGGTTTCTGGGAATCCTCCTCCAACTGTGCGTTGGTTGAAAAATGATGCTCCTGTTGTACAGGAACCCAGAAGGATATCTTTCCGTGCGACGAACTATGGATCTCGATTACGAATAAGAAACCTTGATACCACAGACACCGGCTACTTTCAGTGTGTGGCAACAAATGGCAAGAAAACCGTTTCTACCACTGGGGTACTGTTTGTGAAATTCGGTAAGAAGTCCCTCTTGCTGGAAAAGTTCCTCTTTCAAGAAAAGTTGGGTAAAATGGAGGCAAAGATAAATGTTTTCCCATCATGCCCAACCAAGTTAACACAGGACATAGCTGAACAAAACTGCATATTCAGAATAACAAAGCAAGCAGATTTATCACTTTATTCAAGATTACAGATGTAATCAGATTACATCTGATTCATGTTAATACAAGCCATTGCAATCTGATTGATGTTAATACAAGCCGTTGCAATGGAGAATCTTGTGATATTGTTACATTATAAACAGCTTGTTAAACAAACAGTGTTGGAGGCAGGTGCAACTAAGAGCCAAACTACATGTTATATTAAATGTGTAAGCATTTTTTATTACTTAAATATCAGCCACACAGGCTAGGATAGCACTGAGATATTGGTGTGCAGGGATTTAATGTTTTCTTTTCCTGCTGTCCTGCTTGGGCGGGGAAACCATTTCCCACATATGATGCTGTTGGTGCCAATGGAAGCTTTTCTCCCATGGCTAAATGCAAAATGCAGCAAAAGAATTAAATCGCAGGATACGTCCACCCTGATGCTGCTTTGAGGCCCCAACCTCTGCAGACTAGATTTAAATAGTAATTTCAAAATGTGCCCTTAAACTTTTTGCATGCATTTAACATCACATTTTGTTTCCCCCCTAGCACTGCTGGCCAGTGGGCTACTTCTGCCCTTAGGCACAAGAACATGTAATCTGTTATTGTTGTTGTTATATATCTTGCCTTTCTTCCACCATGGAATCCAAGCTGGCCTTACATATGGTTCCCAGACAATCACCCATTCAGGCATTCAGCAGACCCAAATCTGTTTAGCAAGGTAGTGGCCTCATGTGCTTTCATATCATATACTGGGGTTACAATACTGAGCAGACTGAAAGCCAAACTGTACTAACCACACACACAAACACACACTGTCTGTCATTGTATATAGAATGCACTCATTAAAATATTAAGTGATGTAAGAGCAAAATGTATACCTATTGGTAGCAGAGAAATACATAGCAATAGCTTTGAATCTTATATTAGAAATTTGGAACAATAAAATATAATTAAAATTGACTTAAGCAAAAACAAAAAATTTCCTGCTGTAAACTTAGTAAAAACTAACTCCTCCTCCTCCTCTTCTTCTTTTTTAAAAAAATTCTTATTTTTCTAGGTCCTCCGCCAACAGCAAGTCCAGGAACATCGTGAGTTGTTAAATACTTACTATGTTAATTAATTCTGTAATGTTTTTTAAAAAGTAATTTTATAGTTCATATGTATTCTGCTCTGAATTCAACATTAAGAATAGAATTGTGGTATCATTTTAAATTCATTATATGTATATATTCACACATGCACGCACACACTAGGAGTTGTACAGTGGGTCATGCCCAAGCTAGAGAACTGCTTCTTCTGTCAGCTAAATCAAATTGTTTGCTTGCTTCCATGGTCCTTAATCCACCCTAACTCTCCTGAATGTTTGGAAAGAGTGCAGATGACAGACCTGAGATGTTACCCACTTTTGACAGATGCTTGCAGACACTGTGCTTTTTCTTAGTCTTTGCTGTGGGCAAAGGAAAATGTAGGCTACAGCTCAAAGCATTTTAGAATCCATTCCTACAAACACAGGATTATATTCAGTTGAAGTCGCAACAGAACATTCTCTCCCTCTCCTCCCACTACATACCCCCTAAATCTGTTCTTAGGGTTCCCCCAGTCCTCCAGAGCAGATTTGGGAATGTTGCAGGGTGCATGAAGGAAACCCCTTTTGCGCCAGTACTGATTTTGTGTCTGCATAAGTATTTAATTTAATAACACCCATAGTGTTTACTATCACACTGGCCTTGGTCAAATGCAAGAGGAGAGGAAGACTGTGGCTGTGTACAACCCCCTGTTTCCTGCTGACTCTGAATCCAGTGTACTCACACCACTGGTTTGAGAAGTGGTGTACACAACCCATACAGTGGTGCCTCGCAAGACGAAATTAATCCGTTCCGCGAGTCTCTTCGTCTTGCGGTTATTTCGTCTTGCGAAGCACGGCTATTAGCAGCTTAGTGGCTATTAGCGGCTTAGCGGCTATTAACGGCTTAGCGGTTTTAAGAAAAAGGAAACAAACTCTCAAGAACTCGCAAGACGTTTCGTCTTGCGAAGCAAGCCCATAGGGAAATTCGTCTTGCGGAACGACTCAAAAAACGGAAAATTCTTTCATCTAGCGAGTTTTTCGTCTTGCGAGGCATTCGTCTTGCGGGGCACCACTGTATTATCGTGTTTCTCCTGTTGCTTCTTATGAAATACTGTGTTCTGATGTGTTTCCCCCCAAAAAACTAACTTCAATCTGAATGGGGGGGGTGGTGGTGGAATGACCTAGCTTTCGTTTTGGAGGAGCCAGAACCAGGTAGCACTGCCACCCTTGTTAACCACACTATGTGTTGTTCAAAGCTTTGATTCCTGACCTTTCACTTGTTGCTGTGCCTGAGGAAATCCCTCTAGGTTTCCTGACAGGCCCTGAGCCGAAGGACCTAAGAATGAACTCATCTGCAGGGTTTTCTGATGATCATTGAGGGAAAAGGGACCTAGTATGGTCCAACAACTCCAAAGAAGCTACAGGCCGACTCGTTGAAAACCAGCAAGTTAAATGCAAGCAAGGCAGAGAGTTAAAAGCTCTTTTCATGCTGGGTTTTTCTGGCATGAAAAGAGCTTTTAAGCCCTCTGCCTTGCTTGGGGTCAAGGCTCGCTCAGTGCACCAGTGCACTGGAAGGCTAGGGATGCTCACACAGAAGTGGTTCCAAGGTGAGGGGTTGAGTTTACATATTTTTGCATATGTATGGCCCTGAACCCCTGCATAAGATTCAAATGGACTGTGCTGTTTATACTATGGCAGCTACGGTTGACCAGTAAAATTAAGCTACTCATGCTATTAAGGAATCTCAACTTGATTAAAAAGCTAAAAAGATATGCAGAAAAAGGGAACTGTCCATGACTGAAAGCTTTTGTTACAATGGTTTTGCCATCTTATTCACTTTAACTTTCTAAGAACTCCTGCTGATTTTTAACAGAGCCTAGTTTTGTGTATTTGCACTTAAGCTTCCAGCTCAATCCTAAACATGTTTACTCAGAAGTAAACCTCAATAGGGCTTACTCCAAATAATGTGTGCACAGGATTACAGCCTTAATTGCTTGATGGTTTTGCACATAATAATTCTATTTTAACTTACTCTGTGACACTAATAATGATATTACGATACTGCAATGTGGATAATCCTTTTAGCATGTTTTTTTTTTTAAAAAAAGTATGTGATGCTGTTAAATCATTTAGCAACATGAAAATAAATTGTTTTGCTTGAAGTAGGCGATGTAGATGGTTAATTAGCCCTGAACAGCATCTCCTGTGGGACAACTCTGATTTTAAATATTCCCATTCTTAATCTGTGATTAAACAATTCATGCTGTCAGGCCTGCTAAATACATTGTGCAGGCTAAGGAATATTTTGATTGCAATTCTCAAAGAGACTTACCTTTAAGTAAAAGTGGTGTTGTGCAAAGTGGACCAAGGATCTACTGCAATACAATTGTGTCAGTCTGGGGAAGGCTGTCAAAGAAGAAAGTGACATGTTGCTATCCTTTCTAAAGAAAAATCACAAAAATGCACCTTTAGGTTTTAGGCAAGCAAATAAATAAAAGTATTCAATTTACTTAAAGCATTTTCTTTTCACTTAGTGGCATTCCTTCTTCTAGCTTTATGGCCTTGAACAAAAATCCCGTGTCCGGTATATGCTTGCTTTCCTTGACCATCCAGAAGAGACTTGTAAGAAGAGGCACAACTTCTGTCCTGTTATGCATTGCCTTCGTCGACTTTAAGTTTTACTATTAATCAAGGTGCAGTAGATTGATAGCGGGAAGGAACATGAAAAATGAGTAAAACTAAACTAAAGGTTGGGAGTTGTGTGGGGTTTTTTTTTACTTTGCTTGAGTAAGTTTTCTTCTGGAATTTGCAGCATAACAGAGTTGATAAATGTTGGTTTCTCACTTTCTCTCTCTGCAACCGTGGGCCAAAGTACACATTGCACAGGGAGATCTGTCACTGGGAGCAGTGTGAGTGCTAATAACATGTAACCCTTTTCTAGTCTGCTTCCCCGCCCCCCATCATCACTCTCAGGTTACCATTTGCTCTGCATTTGTAATGCAGACACCTGCATGAGGACTGTATCCCCCCCCCCCCATGTTGCAAATAGTTCTGCTTGGGGGAAGAGTGCATGATGAAATGGTTAAATGCCCCCACCTCCTGTGCTGCTTCCTTGGTCTTACTAAGAGCCTCACCTCACCCCACCGCTTCATTTAAGGGAAATGCTGAGAATTCAGTCACATATCTTATTGGTCTAATGGGTAAAGTGTGAAAGAAATGGTGCTAAATATGGAGTTGAGTGTCCAGACTGGAACAAAGTTAGAAATTGTAATGCCCTCATTCCAAGTCCTTGAACTCTCAAGGTCTCAAGCTAGAAAGAGAGAGGTTTGTTGTGTTAAGCCATAATGAATCATGGATTTCAGTAGTAATGAACATGATGTATTACTTTCCATAAGTACCCATTCAAATGGCTTTAACAGAAAGAAAGCCAAAGTGCAGTAGTTAGATATTGTTACGTGGCAGATCAGTCAGTACTTTTTCTGATAGCTCCCCAAATGTGTGATGAAGAGTTGAAGCTAGAGAGAACCTTAATACCTCCATCCCCACCAGATGCACCAGTAGCAGCTGTTCACGAGGGCATAATATATGAATGAGGTCTGCACACGTAGAACCTAGCATAATCCTGGTCATATGGCTGATTTCCCAGGTTAAATTGATATCCAAGTGAAAGTAATTCAGTTGAACTAGATAGTGCCCATGTCCTGATATTCATCTAGTTTATGCTGGTAGGTTCTGATCCAACAAGTAATATGTACATTGAATCTTGCTTGGTGTTAAATGTTTGCAAGAGTGCTTGCACAAATGTATCAATGCACAGTTCTATGGTTTCCCTTTGGCTGAGTGGAGAAATTGTGACACCACTTACCTGCAATAGAAATATATGACAGAGGAACAGGACTAGAAATGTTATGACACCATTGAGTTGTTAGCATTTGTATCATTGGGCTGGATTGAACTAACCCATTCCTGCTTATACAACAGGGCTTTCTTTCCCCCCTCCCCTCCTCTCCCCGCCCCTCCCTGCTGCACAAACTCTGTGCCTCCCCCAAATTCACTATAGAGGGTTGGGAGAACCCCCAAAGCATTTGGGTGGGATTGGAGATCCTTTTGTCAGACAAGCAGAAATGCTGACAGAAAGATCTACTTAGCACCATTCCTCTCTCTTTCTTTAGTGCTAAAACAATCTTATAAAAGCAACTAACAAAACCCAGTTGGAGAACATTTCAGCCTCCCATGACACTCTGTTGGTGACCTTAAAGTGAGAATTCTTGAAAGAAGAATGAAATCACAACTTATGGACAAGTTCAGTTCTATCAGCTGAACAGAGATAACAAGTTTTTTAACCCCACTGCAGGTGTTAATTAGCTAGCAATGGCAGGATGTTTGTGTTACCAGCAACACTGCTTCGGGACTGGTCACTGTGCTTATTTTACATACATTTAATCTTTACTTATTGTCACAGTCTAGTTTTTTTGTACTATTTCCTTTTCCTCTGACCACACCGGCTACATTCCACACACCCTAAAACCATGCATATGTATTCTTGCTAATTGAAGATAACACTTCATGACTCTAGTGAAGTTTTTGCCATCTTGTTCTTCAGAGTGCCACAAGATGCTTTTGACTAAAAACAAAAAAGACTAATATGGCTACCCCTCTGACAACTGTGCCAAAAATAAGATTTAAATATCATACAACGTTAAAATACAAACATATTAAAATAACAGTAAAAACAACAAAAAATGATCTTAAATATAATTGCTTGCCTGGATCAAGGCATTGTGTCTGGCTGCCTCAGTTATGTTGAGAAGCTGGCATCTTTGTGCTCAACATACAGAGGTTGGAGGGCCAGGTTGGGAGAGTGAGTATGACACTGGTATGAGGCAAGCAGTGTGGCTCAATTGCCCTTTATTCATGTAGAAATCTTTGACTTTCCCAAGTAGTATTTATGTATAGTTCATCTGCTTATAAAGTCATATGGGAACATTTTACTTTTCCTATTCTGCTTCTAGCAACTTTTGTCATAGTATACCTTACTTGATCCTGCTTTCTTTCTCTGGTGTAAAATATAGGGAAGATACATTTATTATATGGGACGCGGGTGGCGCTGTGGGTAAAACCTCAGTGCCTAGAACTTGCCGATCATATGGTCGGCGGTTCGAATCCCCACAGCGGGGTGAGCTCCCGTCGTTCGGTCCCAGCTCCTGCCCACCTAGCAGTTCGAAAGCACTCTTAAGTGCAAGTAGATAAATAGGTACCGCTTTATAGCGGGAAGGTAAACGGCATTTTCGTGTGCTGCGCTGGTGCTGGCTCGCCAGCTGCAGCTTCATCACGCTGGCCACGTGACCCGGAAGTGTCTTTGGACGGCGCCGGCTCACGGCCTCTAGAGCGAGATGAGCACGCAACCCTAGAGTCGGACACAACTGGCCCGTACGGGCAGGGGTACCTTTACCTTTACTTACATTTATAACACAATATCCTGAATTCTAGGTTAAGGTTAGAGTCCAATAGCATCACTGAATTTAGTGGGATTGCTTCCTAGTGAACATGTATAGGATTTCACTGTAGAATAACCATTAGACTTTTTCACTGTAAGGCAGCCATTTTAAAATAATAAAAATGATGATGATGACGACGACGACAATGCTTCTTTCTAACTACCAAGAAATAGACTTGACCCCCAAAGTGTTAAAATCATATCCCAGTAGTAATCCATTATTTGCCACGCATTGAAATCTGCGATAATTTCCATGACCCAGAGAGCAGCCTACTCTTTTAATGGCCTTAGAACTGTATTACTTCCTTAATCTTCAAGCTGTTTGGCTGCTACCATGATGGATCAGCAGTCAGAAGAGAGATAGAACAGTCTGGTGCTACAACAGCAGCAGCAGCTGCAGACATGGCATAGCAGATTCCAAGAGATAAGAGGATTTCTTAAAAGGGGAGAAAATACTTTTAGCCTGGGAAAATGGGTTGAAACTTTAGCCTTTTCCATCTTCATGTCATTTCCTCTCCTTTTCCACTTCTTATATTATTATCCTAGACTTTATGGTGCACTTACATCAGTATAAATCAGAAGCAAGCTCACTGAAAGCTTTGAAGGATTTTACATTGCTGTAACTAAGAGGAACACACAGAGATATCTGGCCATAGAATCAAACTAAGAGTTAAACTAAATTAAACTAAGAATGGCTCTCCAATACAAAATCTCAATGTTAGGTTTCATTAAAAGGCACAAATCTTGTATGTCTCCACCATGTGCATTTTCAAATTTAGAAGCATTTCTAAAAAGTTTCGTGCATTAGAAAACCCACTCTAGTGCTGTGTAGCTGCAATGGATAAGAGGATGAACCGTGAGCTAGGATGTTACAGGTTAATAATTTCTGTATGCCAAGCATCTCAGAACATCGAAGCCAGATCTGTATGTGCTTGCCTTGAGCTACTGCACAGTTTTTGTGTTACTGAATCGCTGGAAGAGTTGCTTAATAACAACTGGCCAAAAACAGTTAAATCTGGATATCCTAGGAACTCAACAGATTGGCAGAATTCATGTAGGGGTTAGCACTTGAGACTGTAGGGCTGAATTTCATTAATAATGTGTGGGAGTGGGAGGAAGTAATAAGCTGAGCAATTTGGGGTGTTCCCTTCTGGAAAGTTGATAGGTTCATGATGCATAGTTTTTAAACTAGAGGGTAGCCAAAAAAGCCACAGGGCTGAAGGGCGGAAACTGTGAATGCATCATTACATCTGAATTTCCATTACAGCAAAATCCTGCCTTGCCCACAGTGGGCAGATAGACCTTCAGAAGTCAGGTCATGTTTGCAAACTGTGGAATTTTATCGATAGATAAAAATAGGATCTTTGTATTTTGTTTTCTACTCACAATTTTCAGAATGGGGTGGGCTATAAAACAAGCAAGCAAGCTCCTCATAGGGGTGAGGGAATCACAGCAACAAATACCTAAAGCCCTCAAAACAAAACCACTCAGTCCACTGTGGGTGTCTTAATGCAAATGGCCGTTTTGGTAAGGACTGCAAAAATGGCAAGAAAGATGTTTTCTATGCCAGAAGTCCAGCGTTAATCCTACTCTGCCATGCATATACCATGGACTTGAAAGAGTTGGGAGACTTTATTGAATTTTTAAAATGATTGCTGATTCATCCCAGTTGAGGCAAAGTCTGAGGTTTGCTCCTTTTATCTGTGATTGAATATCAGCAACTGAGAGGCTGATCTGATAAAGCCACATGCTCTCCACTCTTCTCACTCCACACCACAAGAATTCCAGTTTTATTTCCATGGGAGAAAAGCTTGCTGACTTCTCCTTCTTAGCCTGGCTTCATTGCCAAAGTGTATATCTTCTGTGATGCCTACTAGAAACTGAAAACAATCATTATACTGCAACCAATGTTTTGGGGGCTCAGGGCAGGGTGACTTCATGGTATTAATGAGACCATTTTATAACAGACAGCCTTGTGAAGAAGATTACATTGAAACTCAATATGAAGCCAGTAAGGCCAGATTCATTTATTGCTTTCGATGGAACAGGGCACATTGTAAGCTATGTGGCCCAAACCAGTTCCACTTAAAGTTAACAAAGCTGCCCATTGTTGTGAAGAAGTGTCAATCTTGCAGACTTCAACTTAAACAAGTTTACCCTGTGCTTCACCGATCTTTGGAGTAGCCAGTGGTCTCAATCTTTGGGAATGTGTTTATTCAGTCTAGTAAAAACATTAAAAAGGGGAATAAATCCCTGGTGACCTGAACTGCCTTTCACTGCTGCTATAAACCATAGAACATTTAGAAAGGACTTTTAGAGGTAAAGATAATATAGTTTGCATAGCCAGTGTGTATATTATGGTCTTGAGTGGTAGTTACAGAGGTCACTTGCAACTTATATTACTTCATCACAAAATCATTAAGGGTGCAGAAGAAAGATTATAAGGTGTTACATCATTTATTCCAAAAATTAAAACCATATACAGTGCTACAGTGGTGGCCATATCTAAGTAAGTAAAGTGACAGAAATGTAATGGTAGGAGTTCCTATCAGAAGTCAATTGCTGTAAAACGGGGTTAAACATTGACTTCACAATGTGGCGAGTTTATTGATCTTGTTAACAGCAAAAAAATGTGCATGGTTATTTCTGTGGGAAAGCAAAACATTTATCCACTCCCTTGTTATCTAGATGGTTTTTCAGTTCTGAGTCGACTAATGCCCATGCCACCCGTTTTCATTTATATCCCATGCAATTCCAGGGGCAAGTTACTTTCACCTTCCTTATTCAGGTTCATGTCCTGTTTTGAAAGATTTCTGTTCAGATTGCATAGTGGTGGGAGCTATTCTCTTAGTTCCAACAACAGGTCCTTGCACTGTATCAGCAATAGCTTTTCAAATTCCCCCAAGTTTCAAAAGAGGCTCATCCAGCTCCACTGTGTACATTATAGGCTGACAGCCTTGCCTAGTTTTGAACTTGAGATTTATTTTTTATTTTATTTATTTAATTTATATACCGCCCTATACCCAGAGGTCAAAGATTAAACTACCCATGTCAAGGCAGAGCAGCTATTATCATTTGGAATTGTTCCACACTTGTATTAATTTAGATAACTCCTTTGTTGTGAGAACAGGCTGATACTACCTATGTCAAAATCAAGTGCAACTGTCCATTAACAAAACCAGTGATGTGGACATGGCATTGTATGTTATGATTCACATACAAAGCATATTGCTCATAAATTTAACATTGCTTCATTGTTTTGGTAGCATATAGGCATCTTTTTAAACAATACTTGGCTGAAGCTGTTTTTTTAATGCATTTGTAAAATGCATGTTTTCTATTACCAAGCCCATGATAAGAGTTTTGCTTGATATAAACCAGCTTTCTAGCCAGCCTTAGATTCCAGTTTTTGGACTTGATAAAGTAAAACAACACAAGTATGCCATAGCCAAGTTTATTAAAACAGGGTTGTCTTAGACAGCTTCTTTGAAACATCTTTGTAACCTCAGGTAATAATTTTTCAGCGATAAGTCAGATAAATGAAATGATTAATGCACACAGGTTTATCTGTAGCATTACTAAGAATATCATTAAAAATTGACCTTGTCATAAAACGTTTTACAGAAGAACATTAGCCATACTGTTTACTCTATTTTTTTTTAGATGATGTCCTTGCTATTTTTAAAAGAAACCTTTAAATATTGACATAACATGTAAAAAAAATGGGGAAACATTATTGTGCCGTCCTCAAACCTTTTGCATCTATTATACTAGGGACAGACTCACATGAAATCCAACTGTAGCTAATAAGTCTTGGGGTATCTTCTGAGGGACAAAGGAAGCTAGACAGTGGTGTGGCAGGGACACATGCTACTCCATACAACTTTTTCATAACCAAATACAAGGCAGAAACACGTGGTTTCCTTATCCCAGAGGATCAGCAACCTAGGCCTAATTGTATGCAGCCTTTGGTCTAATTTCCAAAGCTCTTTGCAAATGGAACAGGAACAGTTATTTTGCCCTCCCCTGGCAGCCCATTGGGTGCAGAAGAAACAGGTAGGGAGAGAGAAAAGGACTAGTAGAAAGGACTGTTCAGGACTGAACAAAGCTGTACTAGTCACCTGGTCACTGCTGTTATTCCTGTGCTGTATAGTACATTTCATCCCCATGTCTAAGATGATAACGGGATGCCAACAAAAGCAGATTAATTAGGATTAAAAATCCTGGACACCTGTGAGCACCATGTTGGGTAATGGCTTTCAGAGTTATTTTCACAGTGATTGCATATTTGACTCTATGTAGCCCAAGACTCCAAAGGTTTGCTTAGGCCAATCAAATGATAGGATCTCTAACATTTTGAATAGCAGTGTTGTGTCCTGGGAAGCAGAGAAGAAATTAGGCAAGATTCTAGAAATAAGAGAACTACAGAGATGGCTGGCTAAGAGAAAAGGTTTTTTTCAAAATAAAGTATTAAATATTCCAAGTTATTGGTACATTTTAAAATTGTTTTTGTGCTATTGACGTCTTTGTAAGTTCAATTTGACTAGCATATTTACATATATATTCTTCAAAACTCTCACTGCAAGCTTGTGAGAGAAATTGTAATATATGAGGTTTGATTTAAGTTTGCTTTGGTTAAGAGCCATTGCTCTTTTAAGGGCCCTGCATTGGGACTGTGCAGGCATATTATGGGGGAAGGAAAGGTTGCACTTGATAACTTTCACCCCTTCCATTCCCCTGACTCATATCATCTACCAAGCCATTCGGGCTGGCCCCACATTTCCACCAGGTTTCAATAAGGAATCAGCGTGTGGCTACATGACTAGCAATATTGTGACTTCTGCTCATGGTCTTTAAAAATAACATTGTCCTGAAATATAAAAATTCAAAAGTTTTAAAATAAAGCAGGGGCTGACATACGTAGGAACTGTTTAAATGTCCATCTTTAGGCTTTGTGTTTGGAGGGGTGTGTGGCTGTTGGCTTGTTTTGAAGTTTCTGTCTGTGGTGCTGACTTTCACCTTGCAAAAGACTCACTTTTCCTTGCTGATGAAAAAGCAAGATCCCAAAATCCAAAGTCAGGAGCTAGCATCATTCACAAAAAAACCCCTCTAATTGAGACATGGAATGAAATACCTTTCAACTTGGGGGCTGTTGTGGGTGCCTGCTATAGTGGTGGTCTTCCTTGTCCCCGAGAACAATGAGTTACCTTCTGCTTTCCCCACACTCCCACACCTTCATAGACTCACTAGAAGTGATAGAAGTATAATTTGGTAATTTTGAAGAAAACACCTACTCTTCGGCATGAGTTAGTGGCGGGTCTTAATTTTCAATGAAGCACATGTCCATAGATGTTTGTTGCTTTAGGAATCAGTTTCTTATCTCAAGAGTAATCTCTTTCCCAACTTTTTCCGACACCATTTTAATATAGCTCCTGAGATTCTTAAAGCTGACCAGTTATTCCCCAATGAATAGCTTCTATTTATACGTGTCTATCAGGAGTGGAATTTATGAAAGGCGCACAAGTTATGTGAACTTCTAATGTTTTCACAGTTGTTAAACCACTTCCTCTATTTTAACTAAGAGTAACTGCATATAAGACATTGGGACTCAACAGCTGCCCCAAATGATGTTAGAAAGCCAAGGCTCTAAACCAAACAAACCCCAGATAATTTAGCAGCAGCAAAGTTGACATTTCTCCTTCACGTACAGCCATGGGGAAAATAAAGTGCACCCTATTTGAATTCTGTGATTTTACATATCAGGACATAATAGCAATCACTTGTTCCTTAGCAGGTCTTAAAATAGATAAATACAACCTCAGATGAACAACAACATATGACATATTATACTGTGTCATGATTTATTTAACAGAAATAAAGCCAAGATGGAGAAATCATGTGTGAAAAACTAAGTACACTCTTACTGCTTCCATAGGAATTAAGAAGCTAAGTAGCAGACAGGGGCTGTTAATAAAATGCCCTTGCTTAATTGATCTTCAGCAAGTGTGCCCACCTCTATAAAAACTGAAGTTTTGGCAGTTTGATGGTCTGGATCATTCTGGTGTGCTTTAACCAAGGAGGAAAGATGACACAATACTCTTAGATAAGCAAGTGCATTGCTGCCTGTGAAACTGGGAAAGGTCACCTCCAGCCAATTTTAAGTCTATCATTCTACAGTGAGAAAGATTATTCAAAAGTGGAAAACATTCAAGACAGTTGCTAATCTTCTCAGAAGTGGATGTCCCAGCAAATTCACCCCAAGGTCAGACCATGCAATGCTCAGAGAAACTGGAAAAAACCCCCAAAAGTTACATCTCAGGCTCTACAGGCGTCAGTTAGCATGTTAAATGTTAAGGTTCATGACAGTACAATTAGAAAAAGACAGAACAAGTATGGGTTGTTCGGGAAGGTTTCCAGGAGAAAGCCTCATCTCTCTAAAAAGAACATGGCAGCATGGCTTAGGTTTGCACGCGATTACACTCCCCCTCCCAGTTGAGAAGCTGTTTGAGCTGAATACAACCTTCATTCTTATGCATCTTTATCTCAAGATGGCAATCCTGGTGGCAGTTGCTTTGTTTTGAAGAGTGAGTGAAATTTCTGCTCCCTGTTATAGCAACATACACAAAGAAGAAAAACAATCCTACATCCATAGTACCTTCTTTGTACTAAAGTGTTCTTGGACTACCATGCCTCAGCCTTCATGAAAGCATACTCCTATTCACTTTCCCTTGCCCTAGTGCAGTGGTGAGTCTTTTAGACCTGCTTTCTCCCACTGCCCTTCACATGTTGATGGTTGAACATCTGTACTGAGGAAGCTTGCTCTACTTCAGTGATTTAGAACCCTGGATAGAGCAGGCAGCCCACTGCAGATATTCAGGGAGGGGGGTGGCGACATCTGGGGGCCTGCGGGAACAGTAAGTTTCATCCCTGCTTTCCCCCTTATGTGATAATATTCATGCTGGGAAAGGAGGGAGGAAGAACAGCTGAATAGGGGCTGCTTATGTGCCAGGTCTGCTAGTCAAATCAGATGGTTACATTGGGATGAAAAGTTCTGCAAAGTTTGTCACAATAAGAGGAGCCCCCTCCATATAAGGCAGTGAACCATTTTGTACTAGGGGACTGCACAGAGACATGAGAGGAGCTGCTTACTGGTGACATACAACCCCCTGCACTAGAGACCACATGGGTTTTCTAAGCCCTCCTCACCAACCAGGAGGGAACTGAGCAAAAAGGCACTGGCAGTGTGGGTAAGTGTGTCCAAAAAGAAAGACTCTGCAACTGAGTACATGAAATGGAAGAGGCACACTTTATTCCATCTCAGGTCATTTGTTTCTGGGCACTTCATCAACTGGAGTAAGGGAGGGGGAGAAGGTGGTGGGTGGCCAACCCCTAGAGAAGACCAAGTAGAATGAGATTTGCTGGTACACTGCATCCATCTTTATGTGTAAAAAGAGACTTTTGGCACAGGGAAAACACTTTAAGGGGACATAGAATAAGAGTTAGTTTAAAGCTGTTTTTCCAGTAGACTTCAATTAGAATTGTTAGTGTATTTTTTCTAGTTTTTTGCAATTAGTAATATGTATTACGTTAGAAACCAGCCAACATATACATCTTAAGTTTTGTCAATTAGCGTATTTTGCTTTTCATTTAATAGTTAGATCTGGTCAGTCTGTTTTTCATCATGCTTAAATTTGTAATATTGGCTCACCAAGAGCAATATTTATTTAAACATATAGCCATAGTAACATATTATTATGCTATGTGTCCCCCCCCCCCCTTAAGGCAGGGCACTAGTGATGCTGATGGTGCCAGCTTAATAATGTCTACCAAAAAGTAAGTCCCGCTGAATTCAATGGGGCTTACTCATACGTAAGTAGTGTAAGGATTGCAGCCTGAGCTTTCTTTCTAAGAGATGAAACCACTGGTTTCATTCCATGTTTTGACCTGATACGAAGTCCTCGGATGAGAATCTGCATACCCCACCCCACCCCCAAGACAAGGACCTGGAGGAGCAGGACAGGTCCTCTGAGTCTAATGGTGAGGATCCCCTTGAGGGGCTCTCTGGATTGGTACCTGATGAGGAACCCCTGGAACTCTCTGAGCAGAAGGTGCAGCAACCCTGCATTCCTCAAGAGGAAGGTCACCAAAGTATTTGGGTCCAGGCCAAAGAACAATGGTGCAATATGTGTCTGCAGACCCAGAGTAGTTAGCCTCCTTGTAAGTAAGGGATCTATTTGTGAGTAAGCCATACCTGTTACTCCACAGCTAGCAGTATATAAGGCATCCCTCTTGAGTTGTCTAGTTGTTGGAAACAACATGGGTCTTTAGCTCCTTTTTCCTGATTCCAGGTTCTCTGTTTTACTGCACCTTGCCTGACCTCCCTGTTGTACTGACCTTGGACTATTTCCCCATCTTGTTTCTGGATGATGTTTGAACCTAGACTGATTCTCTGTGCTTGACCTTTGTTTTCCTGAAATGTGCTGAATCTGCAACCCTGTCCTTATTTGTAGTACTTGGGAGTACCAAGCTTATATATTTTGTAACTAGTACCCTAGCCCCTGAGAACATCCCCTGGAGAGTGACATAATCAGATATTCATATCCTTCATAACTAAAGCAGTCTCTTTTTGGCAGGAACAGAAGAAAACTTAGAACAGAAAGGTATGTTTATTTTTAGAGGTTTGGTTTCCATGGATAAGCTGCCTTTGTTTATAAAACATGGGATAATTTGGCTTTTCTTCTAAAAAAATTTTTTTAATAAAAATTGGGGACACCACTAAAATAGTATGTCATCATTCTATTGAAATGTTAGTGAAAACCTTTATAAATACTGTATAAATCTCCACCTTTAAGAAATAAGTAGTGAGACTATACTCTGTATACTTTTCTTTATTTTGAGACTGCACATTTCCAGGTATGGTATCCACAGCCAGCTAAGCATGGAGACAAGCCTAGGACACTCACATTCCAAGAACCACCACTCCATGCATTCCGACCTGCTGTCCTCAATTGACATTTGCAGTGAACACCTAAAGAAGATGCACTTTCCCATTTTCTTCTGTTGAATTAAAGGTTGACTGTTACCATTTTGGTGCTCAACAGATTTTTGCATTGCTTGTTCATAGGTGAAAAGGGAATTCTACTAGTTAAGGATGAAAATGAGGAGTCTCAGAGGATAGTATTTACAGTAATCCCTCATCTTACACACATTTGACTTGTGGAATTTCAAACATTCATCAGTGAAGGTGGGCTAGTTGAAATTGTGCAAGTCAAGTCCCAGACAAAGGAGAGAGCTTAAAAACGCTTTTTGTGCCTGCTATGGAAAGAGCCTTTAAGCTCTCCAAATCGCTTGTGGAGCAAGGCCTGATCAGCATACCAACTCTGGAAAGCTCTGGGATCTTCCTGGGAGACAATGTGACTTCCCATGAGATCTCGTGTGAGCATCCTTGGCCTTCCAGAGTCTGCGAGAGCGCTTCAAAGCTGTTTTCACAACAGGTAACCCAAGTGGACCAAGCACAAAAAGAGTTTTGACGCTCTCTACCTTGCTTGCTGAGCTTGGCACATCATCTCTGGCAGTGCTAGGGATGCTCCCTCCCTCTCCCATTAGCCATGGGGTGTGATTTTTGTGTATACTTGTGTAACTCTTAGAACTGAACCCCTGTGTAAGATAAGGCATTTCTGTAGTCAAGATAATGATCAGCATCATAGTGTGATTGCTGAATTACTGATCTTCCAAATGAATATGAGGAAATCGTATCCTGATCAACCCTTGATGGTTACATGTGATTGTTACGCTTCTCAACATACAATCAAAGAGCTATTTGCCTAACAGATCAAAACAAAAACCTGGACCAGTCCTGCCTCATCTTTTAGATCACTTATGGGCCCGTCACTCTTTTTCTATCTGGTGATGCAGAAAAGCAGAGATACATCAAGTGCCTGGGTAGGCTAGGATGTTGTTGCCATTTGGGACAGAAGTGGGAGAAGTCCTCCTCCTCACCCTATATCAAATTGTCCTCAGGTTTCTGTCAAAATACCAGTGTTAAGTAATTTGGAGACTTCAATAGCACAGCAAAGCATATGAGCATTTTATAATGAAGTGTAGACTCCAGCATGTGATACAAAGTATTTGACCAACAGTGTGCAAGTTACAAAGTGGGCACTATCAGAAATGGATGGAAAAGTAATTGTCAGCAAGATTATGTTCTAAATGCAGCTACATGTATTTATTTTAGATAGGAAGTCAGGGCTGGTGGTAGAGATCAGCGTGCACAGCGGAACTTCCCCTCCCTCTCCTCTCCCTGTGTGACACTGTGCCCACCCTGCCAAAGCTGCTCTGGGAGGTTGGGGTGAAATCCAGAACAGATCTGGGTATGAGACAGAGGGAGGAGAGGCAAGCGAAGTTCCACTGCGGAAGCAGAATTCCTTGTGCAAATGGGAAGACTTTGCTGGATATAACTTAATATCTAGAGGCATAGTTTTGCATGTGGTTTACTGATATGCTTACAATACACTTATTGATTTATGTTTAATAACATATGTATTGCCTCAAGTTCCGTAAGAAGAACTTGTTAAAGAGACGTGGGACCTTTTAAGAAATCGAGGATGAGTTTGTTGCTGTTTCAGTTATTGATCACTTGGCTTGCCTGTGAAAAGAAAGGCAGTTCATATATGCCAAGTTTGCCTCATTAATGCCATCATTATCTTCAGTATTTAGAGTTATAACTAGTCCATTACACACATGGTATTCAGCAAAAAGAACAGTAGACCAAATCTTACATATAAAGGACTTCTGTCTTAAGGATTGTATAGAATCTAAGTAGTTACTTTGGGATTTGGCACAATGTTTATGGCCATGTATATCATTCTGGAGAAATACTAAGAGGTAAAAAGTATCCTGTTCTCTACCTCATAAGCTTAAAAAAAAAAAAGTTAAAGGCTCATACTGTGTTAAAGTGTGCGTATAATAATTCCTACTTATGGCAAAGAATATATGTGTGCAGCATTCCTCTAGAGAATCTCAGCTTCCTGGTCCAATGTGTCAGATAAATAGGTTTTGTATGTGCAAAAACAGTGAAGTGTTTTACTAAGGAGGACCTCAGATACATTAGACCTATATTATTTATGCTAGAAAGCTACAACAAAGCCATGAAAGGGTGGCTGTCTGGGTGGCCAGCACAGATACAACTGCTTGACTGTGAAGTTGTTGCACTTCATCACTGTTAATAAAGCTCATGTTAAAAAGGTATCAAGTATCAGCTAAAAAGGAATTTGGTAGAACAAGAGTTTTAAAAATAACCTAAGGGCTAAAGCTTTGCTGGTTCCACAAGGGAAGTTCTTTCCTCTCACATTTCAATTTAATTGGGATTTAACTTCGACTTCCTGGGCTAACAACTGAGCGTGATTATCCGGTGATAAGTAACACCAAATCCAGCTGCATTTTTACTATCTGTAGCTGTAAAATCAATGAACACTGAGTATAAGACTGGTATTGGTTCTTATTGTAACCCACAGAGCAAATTATGAGAGTTCCATATAGCTAGGTGAAGACAGCAATAGAGCAGTAAAATATTTGTCTGAGCAAGAGTTTTTCTTGCTACAAATACTGTAGCAAGTGGAGCCTAAGTTCTGCACTTGGAATATATTATGCGAACAAATCAAACTGATTGTTTTTGCATAATGCTGGTTCTGTCAGCCAAGGAGCTCTACAGAGCACTGAAGCTCCACTCTAACCAGAACTCCAGTTCAGTCTGTTTAGGCTTTCTAAGATGTTGCCAGATATACTGCCCACAGGGTTGGCCCACCCATGAGGCAAGGTGAGGCAACTGCCTCAAGCAGCAGGATCCACAGGGGCAGCAGTTCCTGATGCAGATCTTTATTCCCCCTGCACTTGTTCCTGATATAAACCTTCACTCACTCTTTCTTCCCTGGCAGGTATGGGTGGGTGTGCCATCTTGTGGTTCTCCTCAGGTGCCAAAATTACTTGGGCCGGCCCTGACTGCCCAACCTGTTTTCAAGGTTATCCAGGCCATCATAAGAATTAGAACTTTTCAGGTTTTGTTTCTAGCTTTTATTGTAGTTTTGGTTTTCTGGATTTTGGTTTGTTTTTAGATCTTAACTGAGATTCTCAGAATATCAGTTTCTGCACCTGATGCCAAATGAGATTAAGAGCCTCATGCTGTACCGACTGAGCTATCCCAGCAGCTAATGTTCATGTGCTGATGCAGCAAGCATATGAAATACAGATGCTTTCGTACAAGATACAAAATCCAGTAGCATGCACGGTGCTCAGCATTGATAGCCATAGCCTATTTGTCTAATCCTCGTGTTGAGTTGTAGCCAACTAAATTATACTCATTAGAATTCTACCCATTAAAATGGATGAACCTGTGTTATGTCCATTAACTTCAATAGATCTATTCTGAGTAGAGATAGCATTGAATACACCCGTTGTACAGATTTCTTTATCCTAAGTTTGGGAGGCTAGCCGTTCTCCAAGGGAAACCAGCATAGCTCCATCAAACAAAAAAGGCAAATTCTAGGCATTTCTTGCCATTTTCATAATGTGAGCTTACGAGCTCTAGTTCACGTTCAGAAATGATGTAAGAAAGCTGCCAGGAAAGATCCAAGCAGTGTTATCAATGCTGTTCCATAACTGGTAACAGCTGCTGTTGATCTGACAGCAGCTACCATAGTTTTGTCCTCCATTCAGAGCTTGAAAGGAAACCACTTCTGGAAAGGAAGTGATTACTGCAAAACATTAATATGCAAAGAAGGAGGTTATTTGCAGAGGGCTGGATTTGGCCCATTCTCACTACCAGCACTGGGTTTGTTGTGTAGAATTGTTGGCTGTATGGCTACAGAGTGGCGAGGGCTGTTTGTATTTACGAAAACCTGGACAGCCTACTTGTCTGTATGACCAAGAGCTTACCCAAAATATTTTTATATGCTAAACATGCATCCAGAATTGTGAATTCAAGGCACTATCCTGAAAACAGTTACTTGGAGGGGATTTTGTCATCTAGTCCAACCCCCTGCAATGCAGGAATCTCAAATAAACATATTTAGGTGTTGGCCATCTGTCATGGATGCTTTAGCTTTGTTCACTGAAGAAATTGGATTTTTCATTATCTATTCTTCTAAGGTATCATATGAGCCATTAAATTACGTCAACATAGCATTATTATAGCTGTTTTATTACTTTATTTTGCTTTTTGCTTCAGATAACTCATGTGAAACTACCTGCATCTTCAGTCAATAACAATGGGATCCTTATGGGATTGTGTCATTATCTAAAAGATTCCAGTGGACAGTAGATTTGGTAGTGACCACACATTTGGAAAGATACATTTTTGCAGTTTACAAAAGTGTTGTCTAATGTACCTGCTACAACATGCATCCAGACAATGTAGTTCCATGCAGGCTTTAGAAATATCACTTTATAAGTGGACAAAGCAAAAACCTAAGTTTCAGAACTGCATCTTAATATTGTTTGTTTGTTTGTTTATTAGATTTATATCCCACTATTCCTCTCAAAGAATCCCTGGCCACATATTAGCATACTTCAAATAAAACAGGAACAGTATCTGAGATAATTTTCTCTCTCCCCTTCCAAAGCAAAATATAAGCTCTGAATTTCCAAATTTTTGTCATGAAACAGAGTGAGCATGTATTTAGTTTTAAGTTGGACACAAGTAACTATTTTGTACTCTTTTGGAAAGTATGACGGAATATTATTTATCCATTTGCATTAATGTTTTCTTGCCAAGCAAAAGCTTTTACATTTTACTCCACATAGAGTTGGAACAACATTACAGAATATGGCAGAGAGTTTAGGAATATGAAAATAAATCTTATGGTTCTAATACATGTGTGTTGGTATGTTCTGCTTTGTATAACATTTAAAATTACCTATCTGAAAGCCCATAAAAATCTTACCCAATTGAACAGACTCTTTGCCACTTGTTTCATCTCTAGTTTTGTAAATCAAATGAATGCATTTCTTCTCAAAGTTCCTTCTATTTATTTCTTTTAAATTTAAAGCCCACTCACTTTCTCTGGCATGGCGCAGCATTTGCATCCTAGCGCATCTCGCTGCCATTGCCAGGTCACTTCTTCCATCTCCCAAATGGCCAATGGGAGATGTCATATCCTCTCCCAGAAACCACAGATTTTTTGAATTTGGGTCCACCCTTAAATTGGACCAATAGTGGGCAGCCCTGGAGCAGGAAGTGGGAGTCAGACATAGCTGACTGGAGTCTTCATTCAGGTCCTCTTCCAAGCCATAAATTCCAGCAGCCATGGGACCCAGCTCCTCGGTTAGAGCTGGATCTCCCTCCCTCCCTTCCTGTACAGCAGGACTGTGACTCCAAGGGGCAAGTCAAGCGTATGACTTCGCTATGGAAGTATCTGGTTGCCATATTTGGGGCCCGGGAGCAATTTTCTCCCCCAGACAAAAGTGGGTGAGTCTGGGCTGTTTTTATGCCTAACTCATAGCAATCGTCACAACTTTTGGCAGATTAGACATTGGGTTGGATCCTTAGTCAGGGTCAGAGGGGGGTGAGGTGGAAGTCTCCACCTGCCTCCCTTCCAGGAAAATGGGAATCCCTCTAAAGGGATCCTAGGGGAGACACTTCTTTCCAAATGCCCAGGGTTTTACTTGCCCCATATCTGATGTCAGGTGTAGGACAGGTGAATATGGCTTGGCCAAAACTACCCTGCAGGCCAAATGGGGAGGCCTGGTGGGCCTAATTAGTCGCAAAGGCTGGAGATTCCATAGAACAGAAATAAACATTGCTGTGAAATGCTGTTTCCCAGACTTTCTATGGCACTCGTAGCTTGAGGCAACTGTAGATCTCTCCAGCTTTGAATATTATTGTTTACTCACACTGTATATTTCTATATGCTGCTTAGTTTCTCCTGGTCCTTAAGGTTCCATGACACCCTACTTCTTTACTGAGAACAGCCTCCACAGTGCTCATCAGGGTGTAATTAAGTTGTGCCTATTTGATTTTAGTGATGAATATGAAGAAGATGGATTTTGTCAGCCATACAGAGGAATAGCATGTGCAAGGTTTATTGGAAACCGAACCATTTATATGGAGTCCTTGCATATGCAGGGTGAAATAGAAAATCAGATTACTGGTATGTAAAGTTTGCTTCTATTTTCAGCTAGATTGCCATCATTCTTGACCTTACCATAATCTACACTATAGCAAGCTTGCTTGGGATTTAGAATGTTTAATGTACTCATAGGGAGCAGAATATATGGTTAGCTCTGTGTAAACATATTCTTAAGGAAAGAAACATTACAACTTTTGGAAATGCTACCATGAAAACGAAACTGATGCTTAAAAAGATGTAAAATGAAAATATATTTGTATATATTTTTAAGCTTCATCAACTGTGTGTGTATTTTTACAACCATTTAACTTTATAATATATACAAAGGCTACAGACAAAGTTAGTGGTGCTTAAGTTCTATCGAAAACAGAATAGTAAATTTATAATGACTTAACTCTAGCTGCATTAATGGGGTCTTCAGTGTCACTAGGGGTGAAGTCCAGTTGGTGCCCCTGCACTTACAAAAGGGCTTTTGCTGCTGTGAACACCTCTGCTAATAGAAAAGGATGGGAGATTATTATTGCTTACTCCTCCTCCCTGCAGGCCCAAAGTAACTCCCCCCCATTCAGCTCCAGAGAGTTGGGGGAACCTTCAGAACAGTGTAGAAAACCTCCTACGGAGCAGCTGTAGGGTTCTTTTGTTAGTGAAGGTGGCCACAGTGTCAAAGCCCTTCCGTAAGTTGTGAAGGCCATCAGTTGGATTCCACCCAACGTCTGCTTTATAGACCAGTGTCCCTTAAAGCAGGGCTTTACAATTTGTCAGTCAGCCCATCAAACTCAGGCCTTGTATTGTAACCTGCTAGTTGCTTAACAACTACCCTGTTTTAGTTCCACACAGGCAGCAAAAAGAGAAGGGAGTCTATAGCATGGGACCTTCAGCATGTCAGGTCACAATTCACGCAGTGTTGTCAATATTCAATGTGAAATAGTTTTTGAAAATTTCAAACAGACTTTCATCTCCACATAGATAGACTTCCCATTATGTATCTTATTTTGGAAGTGGTTAGACCATGGGTAGGCAAACTAAGGCCTGTGGGCTGGATCAGGCCCAATTTCCTTCTGGATCCGGCCCATGGATGGTCCGGGAATCACCGCGTGGACCGCCAGCGCACGTTCTTTCCCTCTCCCTCACACGGCGGCAGTGCCTCCTCTCTCCTCCTGGCTTCTCCCTGCTCGGCCTAGAGGAGGAAGGGGGCTGGGCTTTGTTGGTGTCAGCAGCAGCAGCGCTCGAGCAGCCACCATTTTAAGCAACCTCTCTCCGGAGCCCTTTTGCGCGCCACTCATCTTCCCCCCACTGCCAGCCCCTGCCACTCGCAAGACATAGGTAAGCAGCCACCAGGGCTCATGGTGCTCTTGCATCATCCCCCCCCCTTCAAAATATAGTCTGGCCCCCCACAAGGTCTTAGGGACAGTGGACCAGCCCCCTGCTGGAAAAGTGTGCTTACCCCTAGTTAGGCTATGAACAACCATTATGGTGCTGAATATGTCACTTCACATTGTATTGCCTAAACTTTTTTGGTATGGTTATATTACAGCTGCCTTCACTATGATTGGAACCTCCAGTCATTTATCTGATAAATGTTCCCAGTTTGCCATTCCTTCACTCTGCCATTACGCTTTCCCATACTGCGATGAGACTTCTTCAGCTGCAAAGCCACGGGATCTGTGCCGTGATGAGTGTGAAATTCTGGAAAATGTCCTTTGCCAAACTGAGTACATCTTTGCAAGATCCAACCCGATGATTCTGATGCGTTTAAAGCTGCCTAATTGCGAAGATCTTCCACAGCCTGATAGCCCAGAAGCTGTAAATTGTATCCGCATTGGCATCCCTATGGCAGATCCGATCAACAAGAGTGAGTGATAGCTGTAAACTTGATGTATTGCATACAAAATATCCTACCCATCTTTGGATAGGACTAAATGTCAAGAAGAATTAGTAATATGCTTTGTGGTCACAGAAGTTCATATTTTCAATTACTAGCCTGGTAGGAAGCCCCACTCATTATTCCAGAATCCGTCTTCCAATGCACCCACCCATTTGTTTGGATTTAGTTTGCAAGCTGCTTATTTAGAATACAGTGGTACCTCAGGTTAAGAACTTAATTCATTCTGGAGGTCCGTTCTTAACCTGAAACTGTTCTTAACCTGAGGTACCACTTTAGCTAATGGGGCCTCCCGCTGCCGCCGGCGCACAATTTCTGTTCTCATCCTGAGGTAAAGTTCTTAACCCAAGGTACTATTTCTGGGTTAGTGGAGTCTGTAACCTGAAGCGTCTGTAACCCGAGGTTCCACTGTAGTGCATTTCAAAATATAAATTAACCACTATTATATTTTGAACTGCTTTTTGTACTATTCTTACACCAGTTAGTGTCTGGTATCCAAAGCCTTGCTCATTAAAATCCCCATTAGCCATTCCATTAAAGTAAACGGCACTACTAATGGTAAGTAAAGACTTCTTAAAGGGCCAAAGGTTGCTATGCAGTGCTTCTTTGCTACATTAGTAGGCCTGACTCCAGACACTGAGTAGAGTTCATGTTAGATCACAGACTGATTAGAATTAACATAATATCAAATGGCTGTATTTCTAAGATAGCGCAACAACAATTGGATCTCACAGCTGCTCTTTACTTTCATGCCAAAGTAAGGGATTAATTTCAGGTTTCCAGGGCAGTTTTGATTTCTTATATGTCTTTTATTCTAAAATATTTGGGATAAGTGTTTTTTTATTTTATTCCCGAAACCTAACCTTTATATGTTCTCAAGTGTATGAATGAATAGCAAGCCTAGCATTATGGCCTCTGCAAATTGAGAACCTGAATTAAATTGAAGGACATGGGTCAGCAGAATGATACCTTCTCTCACTTTCATGTTCTTACACCAATCAGTATGTGCACAATACCCCTCTGATTCACCACAATTGAACTGCTGTTGTCATTTACAGATCACAAATGTTACAACAGCACAGGAGCAGACTACCGAGGGACAATGAGTGTCACAAAGTCTGGGCGACAGTGCCAGCCGTGGAATTCTCAGTACCCACACACACACACGTTCACTGCTGTGCGATACCCAGAGCTGAATGGGGGACACTCCTATTGTCGAAACCCAGGGAATCAGAAGGAGGCTCCATGGTGCTTCACCTTAGATGAAAATTTTAAATCTGAGCTTTGTGACATCCCTGCCTGTGGTAAGTGTAGTAGAACTCCCCCATTTTGAAAGGGAAGCCTAAGTCTGGGTGCAACAAAAGGAATTCTCAAAAACCACAGTTGACACAATTATGAGCCATGCCGAGGGTTCAGCCCTACAACTAAGATGAATAAGGTGCAGAGAGTTGAGGAAGACTCATATTCTGCTGGTGAGCAACCATCAGGAGAGGTGTGGATGAGGAACATGAAGGACTGAAGGCAAGCGACAATCCAGGCTTCATTATAATTACAGGAGTCTGATGGATCATGTCTATCTTCTCGTTGTTGGACGAGTTTGAGGCAGGGAAGCTTTCTTAATACAAGCAGCATCCACAGTTCCTGCGTTTGATGGGAAACATATTGGATCTCCATGGAAGCTGCTGGCAGGTTCTGGGAACTGTGAGACCACACCAGCCTGCTTATCAAAAGAGACCCATACACATACAAAGAAACATACTCACTTTCTACAGTTGCCCATGGGCTGCGTTGAAATTGCTTCTTGTGGCTGACATGCCAGTTTTACCACCCATGTTGTTGTGAATTCTGCAGCTTGATACCATTTCCCCATCAGGTCTATAGTGCATGTGTCTGACTTCAATTATTATTTTATCAGCTTGGATGTTACTAAAAATAGCTATGTAAAAAGTAAGATGCAAAGCAGCCTCTCTTTTCCACAAAAGTATGTTATTACTTTGGACTGGAGAATTTTCAAATTAATGGTTGCACTGTTCGGCATTTTGAAATGTGTACTATGTTACGGAAGTGTGAGGTATCTTAGGACTGTAATGTCCCTAAACAGAATACTCAGAATTGATGGCAGGTTGAATAAGGAAACTCACTTGATTGAGATCTATTCAAAACTAACAAGGCTTTGTGGCATTATTATAATTCTACATAATTGGTGAATAATTTGTGCATGAAGCTTCAGAAGAAAGGACACTAAAATAATCTCAGCTTGACTGGAGACTCCTGATGTACAATATTTTAAGATATTTTAGATTGCAAAGGTGCAAATATTATGACTATGATACTATGGCGGTGGTGAAGTATTCCCAAAATTTCTGCTTCCTCCCTAAGGAAAAAAGCCACCAAGGACAGGTAGGGGAGGCGAATACCCGCCCCCCCCCCCCGGTATTCTAGTTTTTTGATAGTTCCACTCTCCTTAGTAGGCCCAAGAAGTTCTGAAATAGACGTGAAGCTGCCAGCTAAGGTACAGTGTTACGATTGTATCTACCAGTACTAGCTAATTTTAACCATAAGCAGCTCCTGCCTGCCACCTTCTGATGTGAAGTTATATAAAAAGGGAAAGCAAGAATATAAGGAGTGATTTTTCTCTAATCAACCCATACCTAGAAATGTATGTTTTACATACATTAGCTAAGCTTAGCAGGCATACATACTTTTGCCCGCCTTCATGTCATACCGATATATAGTACTACATCTAAATATATAAAACTAATGTGTGTTTTAAAGACTGGTAAGACTATGGTCTGGTTCATATATGAAGTTGCCAGACCAAGAAAAAACATTTATTAAAGCAGGAACAAGCAGTGAACTTCTCCCACACACACCTCTGACTTCTGGTTTATTAAATTACAGTTTCCCATGACTTCTGAACTGAGAAACTGCCTTATCACTTAAAGGGATCTCTACAAACCAAGATCGAACTGTGGTTTGCAATTCTGGTTTGTAGTGAGCACTTAAACCAGTTTCTTGGTCCAGATGTTATTGCAAGCCATGGTTTAACAAACCAGGAAATCATACAATTGTAAGAGCCCTGCTGGATCATGACAAAGGTTCATCCAGTCCAGCATCCTTTTCTCACAGTGGCCAACTAGATGTGCACAAGCAGGGCATGAGTACAACAACATTGTCCTCACTTGTACTCCCCAGCAATGGGTAGTTATGATACTGGAGGTAGCAGTACGCAGCCATCATGACTAGTAGATAACCTCCCCTGAAGTTCAGTTCTGCTCTATCAAAACTTAGATTGCTGAACTGAGAACGTTACATTCAAACTGGGACGAGAACATTTCCAGAACATTTCTCTACAAGATAAACACCTGAATGTGTTTAACAAACTTCCGATCCTACAGTTATAATTTATCCAAAGGATAAAATCACCACAGCCCTTAAAGCAACCCTGAAAGTATTTTAAAAGTTCTACTAGTGAGCACTGATCCATAGCATGAATCTTACTTACATATTCTTGTGAAAAATATTGGCTGATGAAAAATATTGGCTATCACGAAACAGTACAGTGGTACCTCGGGTTAAGTACTTAATTCGTTCTGGAGGTCTGTTCTTAACCTGAAACTGTTCTTACCTAAAGCACCACTTTAGCTAATGGGGCCTCCTGCTGCTGCCGCGCTGCTGCTGCATGATTTCTGTTCTTATCCTGAAGCAAAGTTCTTAACCCGAGGTAATATTTATGGGTTAGTGGAGTCTGTAACCTGAAGCGTATGTAACCTGAAGTGTATGTAACCCGAGGTACCACTGTAGTATCATTCCGGAAACACTGTCCTTGAGACTTTTCAGACGTCTTCTGTTGAAACCTTCAAATATGACAGGGCAGAATAAAAGGGAATGTCAAATACAGCTAGAGTTGAACTTAAAAGGCTTTTGAAACATGTACTTCCTTGAGCTTCTGCATATGCCTCCTATCATGTACTTTTTTCTGTTATTAAACAAGGAGGGAAAGAGGTGAAATGTTGCTATAGGTTTTGCTGCCAAAAATTCAGAGTCTCTGTTCTTTTCTTATCCTTGAAAGATTCATCAAGTGGCTGTGATGGTCTTGGTCTCTCTCATCCTTCATCACTTTGCTACATGTGGCTTCTTTGACTTAGTAGTTCACATCTTCTCTTCCGACTTGTCTGACTTTACTGTCAAGATGTGTCAGCCTAATGTTCAAGCTCCCACTCACCTCTCTGGGCAGGGCTTGAACTAGACCAGCATTTGGTTTTTCTGGATGGAACCCCCAATTCTTTTGGCAGCATGCCTTAGTGGCCAGCATTTGTTATGGCTGCTTCAGGAGTGTGTGGGTGGTGGGTGTCAGCAGTGATCAGCTGTTTGCAATCCAGGAGTGATGTGTAGTCCCCATGAGGTTAAAGTTCTTGCAAGAATGGGGAAGACCATTATCTTTTAGTATTGGAGAAATTAAAAAGATAAACTCACAGCCTTAGACATTTTAAAAAATGGAAATAGAAACATTTGTATTACGCAAACAAGCATCTTACAAGAGAGGGAAGTTTCCATTAACTTCCTCCCCACCACACTCCAAAGTGTGCATGATCAAGAACAAATAAGAGCAACTCTCCTCCTATTACAGTATAATATCTACATGCACCTTTCTTTCTTTCCAATGTTTTTTTTTGGGGGGGCAGGTAGGAGTTGAGAATACCAGAAACAAAAAGGAAATATGCCATATAAAAACACAAGATTAATAATTAAGGAGGACTTAATGGATTGCCTGGCATGCTATGGTCCATGGGGTCACGAAGAGTCGCACACAACTAAATGACTAAACAACAACAACAAAATAACATTCACACACCACTACCATCCTTCCCAGAGGATCTTTCAGGGTGTTCCCTTCCTTCATCTGGCCCTTATACCTTGTATGTAAGACTTAGGTGTACATAAAATGCCTACAACAGATGTAAGTGGCTCTCTCTCTCTGTTGCATGGCTTGCTTACTTAATTGCAAAAGACAGGAGAGCACCAGGCTGACCTATTCTAAGTGGGTTTTATAGCACACTTGGACACTTGGAAAGTCCGTAATGCCACCTACAACAGTAGGTTCTCTCAACTCTTTTGTCACCTGTCTCATTGTTTCTCTCTCTCTCTCTCTCTCTCTCTCCCCCCCCCATCCTCCATTCCTTCCTTCCGTCCTTCTAAAGCAGCTCCATTTTCTCACCATGAAGCATTAGGGTCTTCTGAACTCTACACAGAATGTTACTCAACACCTTTGGCATTTTTTCAAATATTTTAAAAAGAACAACACACACCCAAGAGTGGGAGATATAAACCCATCGATATATACAATGGAAGCCTATATGCCATTCTTTCTCAGCACTTGTCACATTCAAACAGTGCCACTAATTACCCAATGGATGGCACACAAAAAACCCTAATGAATCAGAGAGCCAGAGATTAAGAGTTGTACTTTTGCCCATACCTAGAAAAGCACAATTAGAACTACTTAAAAGAAATTTGAGAACTAGCCTGCACTTGAATTTTAGGAATGAAGTTCATGTCACAGTTAAGATAATGCAGTGCCTCATTCCTTCAGGGTTCTAAACTCTAGTATCTGTTGGCTCTCTGAAATAGTATACATTATCTATGTGGCTTTTTCTGAAAAGATATGGAAAACATTCCACCCCATTTGGTTTGGCCAAGGCATTGTATACCTGTCTGGCTTCCCAAATATGTTGGCAACTTTTCAGTATAATCAAAAAGTCTCAGCCAATTTTTGTGTGTGTGGAAGGCATTGAGAGGCACCTAGCCCATTTATGGGTTATAGCATTGGCACCACGGATGGACATTTTTGTGATGTTACTTACGTAAACCCACTCTCTGCAGAGAAAACAATTGGTTCCCCTCACCCCATTAAGGCAGTTTTGAGCTGCAAAACTGCTGCTCTGCCAAAATAAAGCATTACAAAAACAATTAACTATGCACTAAGCTCTTGTTTTTCTTAATGTCTAATCTATCCGATTACAGGGCAACCATAGCCAGTTTGGGTGGGTATCTATCTTTTTGGTCCAGGTTATCTCAATTCTTTGTCATCTGCTGTCAAGTTTTTCCTAAAGAATACCTTTGCCATGTGTCAGGCCTTTTAGAGAAGCATGAAATCCAACACTAATGTGAATATAATTATTTGTTGGGGATTTAAAAAATGTTCCTCCAAGTGCACTTCATACCCCATGGTTTCTGAATAAATTCTTATGATAATGGTTTGGATTTAGCTGGCTTTTTTCCAAATAGGATCTGTGGCTATCCACTGGAAGCTCGAAGTGCCTTCAAACGAACTGTACTCAAACTTAATAGCACACAACTATCTGGTATTATTGTTGCTCAGTCAAGAAATAGAACAGTCATCAGAAACAGTTCATGTGGCACACAAAACTTGTGTTTTATTTCATGTACAAAACTGCATTCTTTAGCATGAGATTTTATGCTTTTCTTCCCATTGTTCCCCACCCCTCTTTTTCTGAATTAGACACAAAAGACTCCAAAGAAAAGAATAAAATGGAAATCCTCTATATATTGGTGCCAAGTGTTACAATTCCCCTGGCTATTGCCTTACTATTTTTCTTCATCTGTATTTGCCGCAACAACCAGAAGTCTTCTTCCCCTCCAGTGCAAAGGCAGCCTAAGCATGTCAGAGGACAGAACGTAGAGATGTCTATGCTGAATGCATATAAACCAAAGGTATTGTTGGTGAAATCTACTTTATATGCCTATGTCATAAAAGAGAACCTTTGCTATTTTGGTCTCTTCCAGCTCTTTTGGGTGCAATAGTTTTCCTAATGATGTGTCAATCCCAGCTGACTGCATTTCACAAATACTAGTAGGACAATATTACAATTGTTTCCACTCCATAAAATATTCTTTCTTCTGTGAATATAAAATTGTATTGAGTTTGGACATATGCTAACTGATTCAATAAAAACAAGAAATAAACCAAATTCCCAGTTTTGTACATGAGACTTAGGCTTTGTACATGAGACTAAATCCTGTACTCATTTACTTAGAGCTTAGTCCTATTGGACTCGGTGAGACTTACATGTGAGTGGCTATGTATAAGATTGCACTGTTAGGCTGCCATCCTAAGCACATTTACTACAGAGTAATCCCTAACTCAAGGCACTTGCTACATGCTTAGTATAATATCATAAATTGTGTCCGCTCTTGTCATTCATTTAATAGAAGCAACTGATAGAGATAAAGTGTCCCCTGACAAATTTCCTTTGTACTTGGTTTATGTTGGCATGGTGCCTCATATGTGTTTTACACTTCTTTGCATTTTGTACACCACCATATGACAAATACCCGTCAAACAAAAACTAAGCAGATTTATAACTGCTTAACTTAAAATGAACCCCTTTCCTGCCAAAACTTTATGACTTCATTTTCTTTCATACTTTTCCACTAGGTTGGTTAAAACAGACAATCCTGCATGAGGTCAGACAGAGGTCATTTCACTTTCATTACTAAAATATAATTTACAATATGCCAGACCTAAACAAGTTTTAGCCTAAAGGATTTGTATAATATAAACCATCTGTGTCTCAACAATACAGCTAATTTCCTGCCATCACTGCACAGTCAACTGGCTGCTTGTTTAAATGCCTCTGCGATATATTAATTCACACAGTATTTATCTAAAATTTGTAAATGGTTAGGAAAATTAGAATTCAGTCCTGAGTGTCACTTTCAAATGATAATAAAGTGCATTGGGGCTTTCTGCTCCTCCCCTTTTCTTTTTCTTCTTTTGTTTGCAATACTGCTTTGGCAAAATTGGGAGTGACAGTAGCAAGGATCTCAAGTAAAGGAAAACTTAATTTCTGAAAGGTCCTGAACATTGAGTTCCCCACTCAATTACTGTCACCTACTTCATGAATGGAAACATTGAAGTTCACATGCTTTATGAGGAATTATTTTTAACTCTGTATCTATAAAGTAAAGAAATTGGAAGGGGTGTCTTGAAAACCACTGCAGCACCACTCTTGTTATAGTATCCTCCTACAGTATCAGACGTATGGCACTGAGATTTTAGCCATCATCCAAATTAATTGTTGACATGTCGTCTTCTTTCTAACAGAGCAAAGCCAAAGAGCTGCCTCTATCTGCTGTCCGTTTTATGGAAGAGTTGGGTGAATGTGCCTTTGGCAAAATCTACAAGGGACACCTTTATCTACCAGGCATGGACCATGCTCAGCTGGTTGCAATTAAGACCCTAAAGGACTGCAACAATCCACAACAGTGGGCAGAGTTCCAGCAGGAAGCCTCTCTGATGGCAGAACTGCATCATCCCAACATCGTTTGCCTTCTTGGCGTTGTGACTCAGGAGCAGCCAGTCTGCATGCTTTTTGAGTACATGAATCAAGGGGACCTGCATGAATTTCTTATAATGCGATCACCACATTCAGATGTTGGGTGCAGCAGTGATGAGGATGGTACTGTAAAATCTAGCTTAGATCATGGAGATTTTCTGCATGTAGCAGCTCAGATTGCAGCAGGGATGGAATACTTATCAAGTCATTTTTTTGTTCACAAGGATCTGGCTGCTCGAAATATTTTAATTGGAGAACAACTTCATGTGAAGATTTCTGATTTGGGACTGTCAAGAGAAATCTACTCTGCAGATTATTTCAGAGTTCAAAACAAGTCCCTCTTACCCATTCGTTGGATGCCCCCAGAGGCAATTCTGTATGGCAAATTCTCTTCCGATTCAGACATCTGGTCCTTTGGTGTTGTCCTGTGGGAGATTTTCAGCTTTGGTCTCCAGCCCTATTATGGATTTAGTAACCAAGAGGTCATAGAAATGGTTAGGAAGCGACAACTTTTGCCATGCTCTGAAGACTGCCCTCCCAGAATGTACAGCTTAATGACCGAATGTTGGCATGAGCTGCCATCTCGGAGACCAAGGTTTAAAGATATCCATGCCAGGCTGCGTTCTTGGGAGGGGCTGTCAAGTCACACTAGTTCTACTACTCCTTCTGGTGGAAATGCTACCACTCAGACAACTTCTCTCAGTGCAAGCCCAGTTAGCAACCTGAGTAACCCTAGGTACCCTAACTACATGTTTCCAGCACAGGGTATACCACAAGGCCAAATTGCTGGATTTATTGGCCCACCAATACCTCAAAACCAGCGATTTATTCCTATAAATGGATATCCAATTCCTCCTGGATATGCTGCTTTCCCAGCTGCTCACTACCAGCCTGCAGGCCCACCCAGAGTAATTCAGCACTGTCCTCCACCAAAGAGTCGTTCGCCAAGTAGTGCGAGTGGATCAACCAGCACCGGGCACGTGACTAGCTTACCCTCTTCAGGATCTAATCAGGATGCAAATATTCCTTTGCTGTCTCATATGTCTATGCAGAGTCATCCAAGTGGGATTAGTATAACCGTTTTTGGAAACAAAACTCAAAAACCCTACAAAATTGACTCCAAACAGACATCTCTATTAGGAGATTCCAGTATTCATGGACATAATGAGACCGTGATTTCAGCAGAGATGTAAATAAACAAGACTTTTGTAAATAAACCTATTTACAATATGGAATATAGAACGTTTTTAGAGGAGATTTATATTCAAATATTTTATTGGAGATTCTTCTGGCTGTATAAAGAGATATTTGCAATAAGTATCTTCTGTGAAGTTTATTTGTGCTTAACAGGATAAAGAGGTGCCAACCGTATTTTTCAAAAATGGAGTTTACACTCAATATCTTGGGTGAACCCTTATTTTACAGCTACCAAGGAGAAAGAAATTTGTGTGTGAGAGAGTGAGTGAAAAAGAAACTTAACTGTGATATGTTTTATTTAATCACAGTTCCTTAAACCAAGTAATTTCTGTCTCAGCAATCTTATTATTCTAAACCCATTTTAATATTGGTCACTTTTATGAATGAATGTGGTTAAGACAAATGTTGAGGACAATTAAGTACGCTCCTGTAGAATGGAAGTTGTACTCTTTTTTGGTCTAATGTGGTTTGAGGGCACCACAAGACACAAGTACCTGATCCAGTGATAGGGTGAAACCAAACACAGTGATAAATTTGCTTGTATTTCATTCTAATGGCACACATTGGGCATTGACTTTTATTATTTCCTCCCCTTTAAACAGCATCCACAAATCAGAAGTGTAGTGGATGTGCAATATATTATCAAAACGACAATTCCTTTTTATACAATAATTTTGTTCAGACATATTCAGTTTTGAGTATGTAAACAGTTTCTGTCTAGTGATACATCTAAGCTCATGCATAAACTAGGACAAGCAATAGAACCCTCTTGGAACTGCATACGATAAGTGAGTGAAAATTATACTTCTTGACGTTATATCTGTAGTTGCAATAGAATTTTTGTATCCCTTTGTTGCTATGCAACCCTTTAATTAAAGAAAACTCTAAATTCTTATTTTATAACAGACAATCAGTTTTCCCAAGAATATTTATTATTTCAAGTAAAATAAATAGCTTTTGTAGTGATATCCCTGAAATGGGAAGCCTACATTCCATCAGTTGTACACAACAATTTTTTTAGAAATTTTCTATGATAACTTTTGTACGTCATTTCAAATAATGTGAATTAGAATTAACTTTTTACTAGAAAATTGCATTTTTATTACTGAATTTTATTCAGGTGTAATCAATCTGGATTATTTTGAAACCACTGTAATGTTTGAAAAAATACTGTGTAAATTACAACCTCTCAGACTTTTTTATTAAAATAATTTTTGTATGGATTATATACACAAATCTTTCAGACACTTGACAGTACTTTTTTTCAAAATCTTTTGCACAAAAATGTTGTCTTTGTATAGCAGAAGTGAAAAATACATCCTGCTTTTTATTTCTTGTCTGTTTCTCATTTTTTAACTGCGTGGATATGCCTTTAAAATATACAAGGTGACATTTAGACAATGTTTTAATACATATTTTGTTTTCATTGCATGCATTTGATTACTGTATTACTTTATTAATCTACTCATTGAGGATGTTGCACTAAGGTAAGCATGTAAACGTAGCAACACAGACTACTTTATGCAGAAGCTAAGTGCATTTTTGTATTTCAGACACCACCAGAGTGATATTAAACTCTGATTATTATATGCTGCTGGTTATTAAAACATGGTATTAAAGAAGAACATGCATATTTTCGGAATGATAATCAATGTTCTGAAAATCTCAGATGAATTAAGCGCCACATCCTGCTAGCCTTCCTTATACAATAAGTCAATTGAGACTATTGTTAGTCATTTGAGACTATTGTTAACCATCATCCATCGCCAAACTGTCCCCAGATCAATCTCACAAAGTGGGCTATTTTATGTTTTTCTGTGTACTGCTTAATTTCATGACTCTACAAACTGCTTTTGAAAATTTCCCCTTCATTTTCCAGAGTTATTTGCCGTGCAATGAGGTAAAGAGACAACTGTCTGAGGAAAAACAATTCAAAAGCCCCCCCTGGGCTCTTCTATTACTATTATTATTACTATTCTAGTCACTATTGCTAAACAGATCAAAAGTTCTCATGAGATGTATTCTGAATGACAAGCCAAATTGCATATATTTTAATTTGTGGATGCTTTAAGCATCTTCAAAATACAAGCCAATTGTGTGTCTGTTAAATATAGAATATTGGCAGTGAAAACCATGCACTGAGGAAAAACTGAGCCAGTTGTCTTGCGCAATAGAAAAAATTGTTAATGCCAACTATCAAATCTTTTTCTTCTTGCACAAGGTACAGGTTGTGTGCTTTTTAAAAAACAACAACACTTAAATAGGAACAGGAATTCACAAAGGGGCTAATGAAGACAAGAAAGCAGTTCAACACTATCAATTGGATAATATGGGTAGGGGAAAACTTTGCTAAAGAATCAACATTTTGCAAACTGTGGTGAAAATATGGTTTCTGCAACTTGGACATACAGAGGAAGAAGTGTCACAAACCTTCACACTTTAAATGATCATTTCGTCTTTCTTCAAATAAATGAAATATAATACTTTAAACTATACCTTATGAAGCTTGAGAGATGCAAATGTAAGTTCAGAAAAACAGCGAAATTAAAGGACAAAATCCTGTCTAATCCTGCTAACAGAAAAAAGCAGCTAATTTAAAGGTTACCTCACACAGTTTAATAGTTTCCTTACCTTTCACAAAGATTCAATAGAGGGGCACTTTTACAAAGCAAGCATCACAGCTGGAACTGGGAATTAGCCTGCAGTGAGTTAAGGACTGAAAATAAATATATGACAATGAACGTGACAGGTCTGAATACTGCATGGTTCTTGGATCTGACAAACCAGCAAAATAGGATTTTATTTTTGAAATACATGCAAGAAGACTTGTACACTTATTGACCAAATCCCTTGCTGGACCTGGAGCCATACTTGTACCCAGTTCTGCATTCATGCATTCAATGGGGTAAACAAGGATGGGGCATCTGTGGGTGTAGCTTGACATCAACTCCCATCACTGTTCACCGTGGTCATGCTGGCTGGTGGGAGCTGGACTCCAGCAACATGGGGGCCACAAGTTAGCTACAATTATGAGTTCTCACATATGTTGTTAGTTGCTCAAGAAAAGAATTCATGCAGTGAGTAGAATTAAGTTTGGATGGTCAACCATGAAGCTAACTGGGTGACCTTTCACAAGTCACTATATTATCAGCCCAGTCATTATACAATGCAGTTGTGCCCCAAGGAACAATGAGGCTGCTAGCAATAAAATTGAGGACACTATGGCCACATTCAGGTGCAACACGGAGCCATAGGCTATGGCTAAGCAAATTATGCTGTGTACAAGCTATGTGCTGGGGCTTGCAGCTCAAAGTCTCCCACATTGCACTTCTTTTCCTCCAGTGAGCAAACAAACCACAGAGTAGCTAGTGTTAACTACCTCTGACCCAACACTTGTGGTTTGTTTAGCTCCAAGCAAACCACAATCTAAAGCCAAATCTCAGTTGTAACTTGTTTGGGAGAAACAATTCCTGGGCCAGCCACTAATGCTAAGCCAGCCACTACATGGTTTGTTTGCTCACTGGAGGAATGAACAAAATGGAAGCTGTATGCACAGGCTCTTTTGCTTAATCAGGGCTTATGGCTTGATGTTACATACACAGTGAAACAGTGCATTCCAAAACTCATGGGTATGTGTGAACAGCATGCTCACTAGTAACAACTTCACTAACTGCACATTTATTTTGGCAGGCTGTTTCTTCACATAGCTCAGCTGGATCAATGCACTGACTAACCAACGTAACACATGAACCAGAAAGTCCTTGAGAGTGTGGACTTCAGCCTAGAGCAGGGATAGCCAGTATGGTGCTCTCCAGTTGTTGGGCTGTAACTCCCAACATCCCTGACCATTGACCATATTGGCTAAGACTGGCTGAGGTGAATTCGACCATTTCCAGAGTGTACTATGTGGGTTGTACAAATACTATTAATTGTTTGGCTCAGTGGTATTCCACTTTTATCAACCATTTCAGCTTTGCAAGCTGGTTAAGGAAACTCTTCAAGAAAGTGTCAGAAACAATGAACAAATACAATACTTAAAGAGCCTATTTAGAACATACGTGTGATGCCCAGAGCAAGAAAAAATAAATAAAACACTGTGTGCACATTTACCCACCCCCCTTTCCAAATACCGTATTTCCCTCCATCAACAGGAAATAAAGCAGTCACATTCTCTTACATTGCACATGCAAAGCACTGCTACAGCATAAAGATTTAATGATATTGGAGACCGATTATGCAGCTCTTACTCATAAAACCACATCCATCGATTCTCAGAAAAGGTCTGTCTTCTGGCTGGATCTTCAATCGCTAAGGATCATCACTCACCAAAACCCCAGTCTCTCTGTGGGCCTACAAACCCTTTGGCTTCACAATGGGGCAGCTGCAACTTTCTGCAATAATTTTTATAACCATATTTTTATGAGGGTAGATGATTCATTCAGCCGAAATACCCCAATCATATTCTTGTTTGAGCTTGAAAAAGTAAGAACATTTATATTGCTGAGGTAGTATATAATGCTGAAAACACAAGACACTACATACTGAGACTATGTATTGAATTGGTCTCTGAGAAGAACAACCTTGAATCATCAAAATAATCTTTATGTCCGCAGTGGGACAACTGATTTCAAACCAATTTCATTTCTGAGTGGAATTGTCCATTTTATTCCAGTAGTGCTAAATATGCATGTGTTTAGTAGCTGGATTTCAATTGTTCCGACAGATTACAGTTGAATTGCATCTAGGGGTGTGCATATGTTTTGTGATGAATGGAAAACTAAACAACTAGTGGTCCAGTTCACATTTATCCCAATGCTCAGAGGATGAAACATGAAAGAATGGAAGCACTGTTAAAGGTTTTCAGTGGGTGGGGATTACATGTTTTTGCTGGCAGCAGAGCAGAAAAGCAGTAGCTGCTCTTGGCAGCCACCCATCTCCCCAGAAGCTTCCAACACAGGGTAATTCTGGGATACCTGGGAAGATAAAATGGCATCAGCTGCAGCAATTATCACATTTTCCATTGGTAGCTACTAATTTTTGCTGAAAATGCAACGGAATGATGTTGCATGATGACATCTGAGGGGTTAGGTGGCGGCTTCCAATATCTGCTCTAGTGTAGCAATGGACAAAATAAATAGATAAATAAAAAAGGGGGAAGGGGAAATTTCAATGGAGATTTGAAACTATACTGAATAACAAAATGAGCACATGAAGGAAACGCAAAACAAATGCAATTTCAATGAAAGAAATGTGAGATGAAGAAAGCTTTTACATACAAAATCAAATGCAATTCCCCCAAACAAACACAAGAGCTGTTGCACACACAGCTGTGCTAAGGGTTGGTGAGATAAAATATAATCTTTACATGAATCTGGATGTGAATTAACAAGGGACCTTTAAAATAGAGGAATCCAGCAGAACAATTTATGTTCCTGTTTGAATCCTGAGAGAGTCCTCTGAACAGCAACTGCAGAATATTTGAAATATTAGGTGTCCAGAAAAAAGTCTGAATTCATTTTCATTTCTCCATCTTTGCTTTTTAAAAAAGCTTCTCTACCACAGAACAGCATGCAGGATCTTGCCACTGATGTGGGAGTATAACCACCATGAGATATAGAGGATATAGATATATACTAGATCTATAAAAGCAAGCTCATGCAGGTGGGGATATCTGCAAAAGAAGTCTGTTGCAAAATTAATCCCAGGAACTCTATATTTGCTTAGGCCCTGTGACAACATCTTGTTTTTTGAATTGTTGGCCTCTTCCCCACCCCCACCCTGTGTAGTTGTACTCTGTCCATACCTCTCCCCAAAGTATTTTATATCCAGAATCTGGCTGTTATATGATTTAGCTTCAGAATTTGGATCCTTTTCCTTATCTGGAAATTGCATCCAGATTTCATCACAGTCCCATGGAAATAAAGCACCCGCGTTCTGGTGCTGCATTTGCAAAAAATGCTTTTAAAGCAGAGAGGCCGTGGTATTGAGAACATAGTTTTGCAAATGTTACTGGCACATACTGACTTTAATTACTTTAATTAATGGCCAGTAGAATGATTTAAAGAAGCAAGTCTTACAGGAGTAGTTTTATCTTGTTTTATGACTAATACTACATCCCCTTTAGGGTAGAGATGACACACTTGTATCCAAACATTTCATTCAACATTAGCTTACAACAAAAACTACAATAAACTGCTAAGCGAGGGAAATCATAGCAAGGATGAAATGTGAAAGCTTTTGAAAACTGGGGGAAGGCCACAATTTATAAACTTTAAATTGGCCAGTGGCCCATACCAAAAATGCAGTTGTGCATGCTTTGACACTCTGTCACAACACAGGTATAAATATTTTACCTTACACCAATACATGTGCTTGTATTCTCTCAGGTGTGTTTTTAATCAGCTCAAGGCCCAAACGCACAACACAAGTACTCTCACGCACACAACACGCACACACACTTCCATGTTCAACAAGGCGCAACAGAATGGAGATGAAAGTTTCTATTCCTCGACTACAGATGTGCAAAAATACCCCAGAAAGCATAGAGCATCTTGCCCATCTCTTCCTCGGGTCATCTATGTGTGGGAAAGCCATGGTGAGTCAGTTGCACTTTTGCCTCCTCTGCCATTTTGCCCTCGTGTGTTGATTTCCACCATGAAGTTCTGCTTAACATACACTTCCATCAGGGCCAGATTTAAGTTTGCTGAGGCCCTAAGCTACTGAAGGTAATGGGGCCCTTTATACAGTGGTACCTCGGGTTAAGTACTTAATTCGTTCCGGAGGTCTGTTCTTAACCTGAAACTGTTCTTAACCTGAAGCACCACTTTAGCTAATGGGGCCTCCTGCTGTTGCCGGGCTGCCAGAGCACAATTTCTGTTCTCATCCTGAAGTAACGTTCTTAACCTGAGGTACTATTTCTGGGTTAGCGGAGTCTGTAACCTGAAGCCTATGTAACCTGAAGCATATGTAACCCAAGGTACCACTGTATGTCCAGCTGTCCTTTGTCAACAACAAATTGTCGCTGCTTTTTGTGTTGAATATATGCTATATGGTAATTTATGGACCTAATAGGTATCTAAAGCCATTTGCACATGCAGAATGTAGGCACCCTATATACAGAAACGAGCAAAACAGTTTTATATTAGGCAGCATGCTAGCAGGAGGGGCCCATGACTTACATCATAGGAGCCTACACAACAAAAAAAACACTGTTGCTGTATGTAGGTTTTATTTTGTTTTTTATCTTATATTTTGGAAATGTACATCCAGGTTTTTTCCCCTTTAATTTTTTTTGGGGGGCCCAAGAGAATGGGGCCCTAAGATATAGCTTGTTTAGCTTATACATAAACCCAGCACTGACTTCCAGACCAACCCACACCTGGGAACTGTACCAGGACTTGCTCTGAGGCACCAAGCCTGCTCTTGATGAGCTGGACCTTAACCAATCCCCTTGGCTCCTCCTCCTGCAATCTGTGCTTCAGCCCCACAGCAGGCGTCTGAGGGATGTGGCCAAGGGGGTTGGTAAGGGAATGGCATGGGCTGCTTAACCCCTTCGTTTTGCCTCCACGCCCCATAGCATTTTAAAGCACTTGCTTCCCCGCCCTTACTTTTTTGAACACTTGCTGCGTTTGGAGAGCCTCCCCGCTTCTGTAATCTGATCCCAGCAGAAGTTGAAGAACTGTAGTTTCAAGGTCTGGATGAAAGCCTTCTTCTGATTGGAGGTAGGACAAAAGGGCAAACAAAGGCTTGTCCTGATTGGTTGGGCGAGGGAAAGCTAATGAAGCAAGCGGAGGGAAGGCACGCTGCTGTTGCTAGGTTACACTCCGTACACAGGGTATGGCCTAGTTCTTGCTCTGCCTTTGTAGTTTCCCCTGCCCTTGGGTGCTATCTATGCCAGTAGCTGACCTTATATCTAAGAATAAGAAATGGATCAGGGTTGACTTCTTTGCTCTGCTGTCTGTCTGTCTTAAAAAAAATATAAAAATTGCCGCTTAAAAGCTCTTCTATATCAGGATTGCTTTGCCAGGGTAACTTTGTGTTAGCAGATCACAGCTCAATTCAATTCAACAGTTTGAAAAGGCAAAATGTTCTAACCTTTTATTTTTGTGGTCTTTAGGACAGATTCTGTGGGAGAACATGAGTACTATGAATATGCACTCGAGAGCTTACTTGTTGCTGGAAAGAGAGTTTATAGAACACGAAAAAGCCAAGATCTTTGTGAGTACAGCTGGATTCCCAACCCCCAACCCCTACAACTTTGTTTACAGTGGTCAAGATCAAGACTGAAGTATAACACTGTATCCATCATCATTATAACCCTCCTCATCGTTAATAAGAAATGTAATTTCTTCTCTCTACTGTTCCATAAATCAAGATTATTATTATTATTATTATTATTTTAATGTTACACATGGTAAGTGATGTTGAAGAGCCTAACTGGATGAAGTGGGCTAGAAATATTCTAAATAAAAAACAGAGGTGGGACAGTTTATTATGATTCTTTTTTTAAATGAATTGTGCATTGATTTTGTAACCAAATGATGAAAAATGCTTCTGACTCGGATCCTAACTGATCCTCTGCGTATAGAGAGAATTCTTCCATTTGCAGAGGTGAGAAGGATCTAGTAGACATTCCCACTGATAACATCTTTTTGCCAATTTCTCCTTCCTATACTGCCACATATGGTGGTTCAAAGAGTCCCCCAATTCCCTAGAACAGTTTTTTGAGGGGCAAAGGGGCTCCAGGGAGAAGAAATGAGGTCAATTAAAGTCACCTCCCCATTTCTGCTGGCTCACAGGATGCTCCTACCTGCAGAACTTGAGCTTCTGACCCATCTCCCCCTTTTCTCTGAATAAGACCTAACTTTCTTCCTCATACTTCTGGAAATGCTGGGAATTAGTTTACTATCATCTCAAAGCTTCTCTGCTAAAGTGCTTAGGATGGTGCATAATAGACCAGCCCCTCCTTCTCCATTTCCTAAGAATAAGGTTGCCATCTTAAAAAACTTCACGACAGGCAGAAACCTTACCGGTACAGCCTTTTGCAGCACAGCAGTGGGATGGTGAGGAATGTTTTGCCTGTTGATCCTCTGCACCATGGTCACTCAGCAGTTAAAAACACAGGAGAGCTAACCTGTGCCAACCCCAAGTGAAAAAGCCAGAGTGACCCTTCTGCCATGTAGGGGTTTTCCAGCAATGCCAGAGCAGTAGCAGCCACCTAGCCTTCATTTGTGTGGGGACAACTTACAATACAGGGACAACTAACCTTTCTCAGCTCAAGGGCTGCATTTCCAGGGGGTTCATGTCAGTGGTAAGAGGAGACAGAGGCAAAAGTGTACAGAATACACCTCTCCCTCCTTCCCTCCACCTCTCTCCTCCAGGCAAGCAAGAGGCATTATTACAGTGTAAGTGTGGTGGTTAGTGTGTTGGGCTTGACTGGGGAGCCCTGTGTTCAAATCCCCACTCAGGCATAAGGTTCCTTGAGCCAGTCAGCCTAGCCTACTTCATGGATGTTATAAAGAAAAAAATGGGGAAGGGGACAACTGTATGTGTACCACTTTGAGTCCTTCTAGGAGGCAAAATAGAATAGAAATGCAATAAAAAATAATAATTTTAAAAAATCTAACCAGAGAAAAACACTTGAAGGTCACAGAGCTGGACCATTGTGGGATGATGTCAAGGAAGGGGACATGACCAGCTGAAAGTCCCAAGAGCCAAATTGAGGGTCCTCAAGGGCCACAGTCAGTCCCTGGGCCTGAGGTTCTGCAATCTTTTCTAGATGATATCTGTCTCAAGAGACGATGGAGTGCACCTCTGGGGGTGAAGTCAAACCACTGCATTAGCAGCTCTGAAGTGACTTCCCCGGCTTGCAAGCCTGGGCTGCTTGTATGGAGGTCCTCTGCTGCCCAGATGATAAGACCTCCTCTTGCCCTCACTCACTGATGTGGTCCAAAGGAAAGCAGATCAATACATTTGGCACCAGCTTGGCTGCTAGAGTCGCCAGAAGGAGGCATACAAGGTGTCATCCAACCGCCTCAGGGACTCTACTCTGGATTTGTGTAGGGTTTATTATTTAGCCTTTTCTTTTCTCAAAGATATCCCATAAGGCAACAGGGGCCTAGGATCAGAGTTTTCCTTCTCCTAGATGGGCTACCTTTCTAGGTTGATGAACCCCATCTTCCCCCAGCAGTAGCCAAGCAATTATTATTTCCTTAGTACAAGGTAATGGTATATGTTATACTACTTCTCAATGTAGGGATGGTTTTTATTATATATCCCTTTTAGTTTTTTCTGGGGGGGGAGGGGGAGTAAGAATGTTGTATTGAGAAGATGATTTACATACCTATCCTTAAAGCAATAATTTAGAATAAGGAATGGACTGTGGAACAATCTGGAGTTAAGATGAACACAGAGGAATGAACCAAATACAGTATGTGAGTTGTGTTGATGAGTTGTTTTGCTTGAGTAGGAATGAAGGGAAATGGTGGGAGAATGCATAGTGTGAAATATTATTTTATCTAAAACATCTGTCCATAGAAAGAATGGATCTTGCAAAGAATGTGGATTCCATCCTTTCCTTAGTAGGAGGCAAATAAAGATGTACATGATAGGAGACTTTTAAAATATTGTAAACACCCTTTGCCTGCAGGGGAGCATGCCCTATCAACTCAAATGAATCTATAAATAATAACTAATTTCACGAGTGATTTAGGTGAATTTATGTGTGCATAAAACAAGGTATGATGATAGATAAAAACTGCAATAAAACAACTTACAGACATACTTTGAGTGAAAATGTACAAAGTAACATGATTCAGATACACCAGGAAACCATGTTTCTCCCTCTCTCTCTCTCTCTCTCTCTCTCTCTCTCTCTCTCTCACACACACACACACACACACACAATATATATATATCCAGGTAATGTACAGCCGTATAAAAATTAATAGCAATACAAAACAATTATTAAAGTGACCATTACATAGGCTATCAGCATTCTGTCTGTGTGAATGGAGCCTGTCCAAATGCTGGATTTGCACACCCCCACCCCAATCTTCTCTTCCTCTTTCATGTGATGGAGAAGGAGATGGGAAGCTTCTGCTTCTAATTTTAGACTAACTGTATCTGAACCCAAGGAACTGGGGTTAGTTTAAGTTAAGGTTAGTGAGAATAAGCCAGAATTAAACTGTGGTTTCAGATCCTAGTTTGTTGTCACTAGTCATAATCTGATCAAACCACAGTTCACCAAGTTCAAACATCACAGGGAACTGTGGTTATTTTAAAATCAGAAGCTTATGATCTCCTCTAGCACATGAAAGGAGAAGTAAAGTGATAGTCCCATCAAGTCTGAATTGGGCTGCTTTCATTTTCTTTTCTCAGGGCATTACTGTTGCTCCTGTGGGAGACAGCTTGATGGAATGGGTAGCTGAAATTGAAGGCCTGAAGGATACCTTATGGGAAGGTAGCCATACTGTTTCCTATAAATGTTGTGTTGCACTGTGATACTGCACTGCCAAAACAATTACAAATGCAATGTTTTTAATGTGCCGTTACTACTGCTTGCCAAATATATAACCCTTTACATATAAATGCTTTGCAGTCTCTATTGTGTTCTCTCTTCAATTACCTTGCAATATATTGAGGGATTATATTATATTGCCCAGTCAGTCTGGAAGTGGAACTTGAATCAATGTCTTCCAGATCTCAGTCCAATACCTGAACAGAAGCATTTCAAGAATAATTTTACTCCTTTCACTCTTTACAATCCAATAAAATATCTATTCCTGTTGTAAACATTTGTCTGGTTTTAACACCAATGAACAATTCACACTGGGTTGTGAATACAGTGTATAGCTTTATTATGTCATGTAGTGCTTCTCAACACAGATTTGAAGCATATATGAGTGTCATTAGGTGTGTAGACAGTCCTTAACTACATGAACAGTGCCAGTGGATTCATTACAGTTAGGTAACATAGGAATATAGGAAGCTGCCTTAGATTCAGTTGGACCATTGGTCCCATGTAGCTCAGTATTATCTGCAATGACTGCTAGTAGCTCTCCAGGTTTCAGACAAGGGACACTCCCAGCACTACCCAGAGTCCCATTACGTGGAATGAAGCCCACACGCTTGGTGCAAGAATATGTGTGAAAATAATTGCTCCTGTGCTTTCATATATTGCATCATGAGTTCAGTCTTAATTTTTCTAAAACTTTGAAATAATAGGTCACCTCCCTGAAATGTTTTGTGATGTAGAAAAAGATTGAAAGAAGAAGAAAAAAGATTTCAGTAACCTTTTGAAATGACTACACATGTATTGATAGCATTGCAAATTTTCAAAAGCAGATGTTTTGCAACTATGAAATATCACAGCATAGGCATTAATATGTCTATATCTTTATGTAAGAAATGGAATAGCATATAAACTTTAAACACAATGAATTCGAGCTCATTGCTCTATTATTTGCTAATTCAGAGGTGGCTATCCATCCCCAACCTGATACGGTCTAGTTGTTTGGGTCTGCAGCTGCTATAGTCTTTCACCATTGGCCATGCTGGTTGTGGCAGAAGAGAGTGGTACATCTGATAGGCACCAGGTTAGAGAAGGCTATCTTAGAGGTATAAATGTGACACTGTATGCATCTCTCTAAATCCCCTGATGCACCTTAGGCTCCTTCTGCCCGTTCTCTTTCTGTTCCTGTCATCTGCTTTCCTCTCACACATTTGAAGTCCTGTTCACCACAGCAGGAGAGGGAAGGAGTGGGCAACAAGACCAGGAAGAGAGTGGGTGGGAGGAGCTGCAGCTGCCTTATCTCCCATTGCTGCATTAGATTAAAAGGTTTGCATCCGGTGTCTGCATTGCAAAGTAGCAACCCTAGCTATAAATATTTCTAAAAATATGTCAATATAAAGCTACAGTCTGTGCAAGCTTACATGCGAGTTAGGCATATTGATGACAGCAGGACTTATTTCCAAGTAAATGCATGCAATTTGGGGCTACACGTGCCCTTAGATGTTCTGATTTATTTATTTTTTGTACTAGGAGCTGAACTCCAACTATCATTAAGGTACACTGAAGAGTACAACAGAGTCCCTCCAAGCATCACTTTCAACACTATTCCGTTCCATCCCAATGGTAAGGATGGCACTGATGGTGATGTCCTTCCCATGGTGGTTGCTTAGCAGCAGAGGCTAGGTGTCCTTGACCCAGTCATGCTCCTAGATTTCAGAGCGGTTCTACTTCAAAGTGCTTTTTAGCAGCTACACATAATTCAAATGCTAAAGCCTTTCCTTAAGGATAGGAATCTATTGACTTGCTACATTTCTCTCAGGTCCTTAGAGCTGCATATTAGCTTCAAAACAACCCTATAAAGTGGGCTTGCCAAAACCAACCAAAGCTAGCTGTAGTCATTACACCAGTTATAGCTTTCTAATAATTACCTACGTGATAGTTAAACTTCTAGTGTAGAAAAGTGTTGTGAATATGTACACTAACCAGATGAGGCAGAAACATTGTTGGTTTGTGGACAGTCTGATCCAGATAGAGGTGTACAGGTTGATTCAGATGCAGTTACAGCCCTGCTGAAGACTCAGTTTCACAGCTTGGGAGTCGCCATTGATCCTGCACAGTTCTTAGAGTCCAAACTGGCAGTGATGACTAGGATTGTCCTTTATGAACTTCAGCTGGTACTACAATTCTGCCCTTTCCTCCAAATCAGACCTGGCCACTATAATTCATGTACTTATAGACTTGACTGCTGCTTCTGTAGTGCACTCTAAATTGTACTGCTCTTTAAAGACATCTAGAAATTTCAATTAGTACAAAAAGACACTGCTAGGTCTGTGGTTGTTGCCTGTTTGTTGTCAACTGGAGGTAATGGGTCACATTTTAAAAGCACTAAATGGCTTTGGGACCTTGATGCATTAAGTATAGCTTTCTTCCATATGGACTCTTTCATGTACTTTTTAAGTATCTGAGGTCCTGCTCCATTCCCATCCCAACAAGCTGAAGTTTGCTTACTATGTAGGAGAAGATCCTTTTTTAGCAGTAGAGCAGATTCCATAGAACTGGATCCCCAGGCCAGTATTACTGCCTCCCTTTAGACCCACAGGTCAGCATATGTCTTTTTAAGGAGGCCATAGGTGCAGTAACTCTGTTGTCTTTCTGCTTTTTGTATAGATTACTTCTGCTAATACATTTGCAACCCCTTTCAATTTTTATTTTATTTTATCTCTGGTGTTGTGTACTTTTTTGCCTTTATTATGTTGTTTGTTCATTGCTATGACAGTTTTGTTAGTCGCTGTGAATTATTTGATAGAAAGCTAGATACAAATTTTAAATGAAAAATAACTCAGATCTTTAGATATCTGCATAGCTTTCTTTTGTTGTCTAGCTGTAGGGAATAAAACTTATCATAGCCTGTCTAGCATAATTCTGATACAAAGTTTCAACTGTCTTATTGGCATATAAGTGTATGAACCTCCATTCTGAGCATTAATGATTTGTCTTCCATGCAAGTGGACCCAAAGACTGGAAGACCTTGTCTGGATTTTCTAGATGATCCTACCAAGTGGGACAGCAAACTTACAATGACTAGTATCCTACTTTGTATCCAGGTAAAGAAAGAACCGTGCAAAAAATAATTTATCTTACTTTTCTTTTGTTATCAGGATAATTGGGGTCTGATGCCAGGATCCAAATAGCTTACTTAGGTTCATGTAATAGGTTTCCATGAGTCCAGTGAAGTCCCTGCCACCGCTCACTATTTGAAAATGTGTTCACTCTCCCTCCCATAGCACAAACTGTTTATGAAGCTTCCCTCGGTTTTACAAGTTTCAGAATCAGTTTGCTGGTTAGTAGGAGAGAGGGCCCATAAGGGAAAAAGTATAGCATACATGCACCAGCTTCAAATAATTGTTTTCTCAGTTTTTTGGGTCCAGTCACAGTATTGATTTCAAACCTAAATTGTATTTGTACAAAGCAGGAACCGTTATTCATATATTTGTTTCATTGAACGCCATAGCAGTTTGCTATTGATTTTCATAGTCAAAACATGGAACCCAAAAACAAAGGAAATCTGTTTCAATCGAGAAGTAGTTGTTGCTTTGGATGTAATATATCAGCAGTTTTGTACAAACTCATTTCTTTGGCCCCATTTTCCAATTAAGGTATGAAATGTGAAACTCAATTTTGTTCATCTTTTGTTAATTCACCTCATTTTGCTCATGTGCTTCACTTACTCCTTATTAGCCTTGTCTGAAACAGCTTGGACAAAACTGTTGTGAGAAGCAATAAAATAAAAGCAGAAAAAGGCCACCTTTTAAAAGCTGTAGCAGTAACTTCTTAATTTGGATAAGAATTTAATCTGTATGTGAATTATGTTTCAGACAGAACTTCAGACAGTTCTAATGGTGAACATGAATAGCCCAGCTGCAGCTTTTACCAGTTCTATCTTTCATATGTTCTTTCTGTCACTCTTTCACAAGCAAACCAGTGTGGGCAAAGTAATCAACATGGCTAACTTTCCATCATGAATTTTTGAGTGTTCTGGGACAAAATGTGCCTACATTTCTTTGGTGCCGCGCAAAGACGCCCAGCTGAATCTTGTTGGGGAACCCTGAGAAAAAGCTGTGAGTGAATTCCTATCTTCTGTGTGCGGAGTATTAGACTGCACACGCCCCGTACATTTAAAGCACACACACACACACACACACACACACACACACCAAAAAAAGAATCATGGGAACTGTAGTGCACCCCTCACAAAGCTGCCCTTAACAAACTACAGTTACCAGGAGTCCATCTGGGGCTGGATGTGCTTTAAAAGTATGGTGTATGTGCAGCCTAATGCTCTACACACGCAAGATAGGAATTCACCCGTAGATTTTTCTCATGGCGGGACTGGCAGCAATCACCTCTGTAAGGAAGTTGAGGCTGCAAAGTCGCTTCCCTGTTAACTGGTTTAGCCATAGAGAGATCTGGCTCACTCCACTGCCCCCCCCCCATTACTCCACGTCTGCCACTCAGCCATGGCAGTCAGGAGTGGCATGGTTGAGGCAAACAGAGCAGAACGGTGGGAGGTGGAGGCTGACCATACTGTTTTCCTTGTACATACACACACACAGCAGGATTTGCCAAAGAAGCAAATGTTTGTATCCTTCTTTACAGTCATGAAATGCTTTTACTTTCTCTGAATTCTGGTGATTCATAAAGCTTTATAAACTGGTACGCCCATGTATCTCCCTGCAGGTTTTGCTGTCTATTCCAGTTTTGAAAAATCCAGTGAACTTGGAGGCAGCTCATTTGCTGAAGAACAATTATCCCCTGTATAGGAAAAAAGTTATACAGTGTGTCAAAACTAGCCAGCACCTAGACGGTAATAAACCTCCATGCTTTATGCTTTTAGTCATAAATATATTCTTTGAGCACCATGGGGAGTTTTAGAAGAACCCGTTTAAATGGCTTTCTTAAAAAACCACTATTTTACACAAGGCAGTAAATTTTAATTAGTGTGATTGGCAATGTAACTTGAGTATGGGTTCTCTAGGCAGATCTATGATCTCACAAAGCATATTTGCCAGGCAGTGTTCAGAGGTGATGCAGAGGTCATGAGCTGGGAAATGAAGCAAGGACAACACTGGAACAGGAGAAAGTTAGAGTTGTTAGCCAGTGATTTCTTTAGATGCCACATTTACCCTACAGCATGACCCACAATGAAAAGTAACCACATAGCAATGCCACTAGTTTGCTACTACTTTACATTAAGGTTTGAGCCCAAGTAAATATTGACATTGGAACTGAGATGTATCCTGCACCTTCCATGTATTCTGATCTCACCTGAGCAGATCAAATATGTAATATAATTCAGAGACTTCCGGGGTGGCGCCTCCGAAAAATGGCGGAATTCCCTTCGAACTGAAGGGAACCCGCTGCACGGAGGCTTGGGTCCTGCCGCTACGGCGCAGCGGGGACCCTTAAAAACCACAGGCGGAAGAAGCCTGTGGGCGGGGGACTCGGCGGGCACCGAGAGCGCTCTCTCCCCTTGTACAGGAGCCCGGTAACGGGCTCCGGAGTGGGAGGTGCGTGGTGCTGTGAGTCGTCTGCTTCCTCCGTGCAGCAAAGCTGCACTGCCGTTTTCGGAGAGCGCTGCCTTTTTCCTGGACAATTTGGCATCTAAAACATCTATCCGTGAGTACCCGATCCTGGAAGAGCTGAACTACTTTTAAGATTGGTGAATAAATAAAGAACATTGGACTTGAACTTGAAATTGAATTTAATTGGGACTCGGAACGGAAAGGTCTAAACAGGAAGTCGCCTTCCGTTCTTTTGTTACGTGAAGAAAGCAAAGACAAATTATACTAAAGCCTGGAAACTAAATTCTGAGAGAACTAAAATTCAACATCTAAGATTTCTGAACCCCCTTCGATTGCAGGAGAAGAAGGGGTTGTTTTGATCTTTTCAACCCTGCGGGAGTGAGTTTAAAATAAAGTAATTTTCCACCGCCCTGAACCAGGAGCGGGCTGTCAGAACTGACGTTTTGAAGCTTATCCAGCTCGACAGATAGTTAAAAGAAGGGTAACATTTTGATTCTACTGTTGCCTCTTGAATTTGAAAGGGGGAATTTTGGATAAAGTGTTTCTGGAAAAAGAAAGATTGTTACTGTTGTTTTTCCCCCTCTTAAAAAAAAAAAGGGGGGGTTTTCCATCTAGTGGAACTGAGTGAAATTGCAATGCAGAGAGTTTAAAAGAGAAGGATCATTCTCGTGGGAAAGAATTTTCTTTGACCTTGAAGGACAATGCTTGTACAAAGGCTTGAACAAGTGTTCCTGGAAGGTTTTGCAAAATTAAGTGCCCAGCTGGACCAGATGCGTCAGGAGTCGACCTTGATGAGGACGGAAGTTACCAGAGCACAGCAGCAAACAAATGAAATTCAGTTAAAGTCTATACAAGTATATGAACCTGCTGTAGCGACGGAGGCTTCAGAGATGGAGGGACCTATGGATGGGCAAGATCAGCCTTTGAACTTGATAAATGAACTTGGGACAAACCTGATTCGGAAAGATGAAATGTGGTCAGATTTGGAAATGGGGGGATGGATTGACACCCCTCTATATGGTTATTTGGACTTTCCGAGTCTAGTGATGGGCCATCAGAGGAATGGAGTAGTCGAAGTCTCCAAGTTTCGTGGAAATTGGAAGTGGTATTATCTGCTGTCTGGCTTGGGCAATGGGTTTGGGATGGACTTGCTGCAAAGAGTCAAAAGCATTTTCTTGCTGGAGTATCCACGACTGAAAGGGAAATATCAACAAGAGTGGCGAAAGGGGCAAGAAAGAGACTTGAGGGCCTCGGATATGAGACAACCAGGTTAAGGAGCCGGATTATTGAGGTTAAAAGGACTGACAATCCCGGGTCCAGGGGAGGGAGGCTGGAAGTTGACTGGATTGAATCTGACTTATTGTTTTTGCTTTCTTATTTTCTAATATTGGGAATGTTTATAAATGTTTGAAGGATGTTGAATGAAATTATATGACTTAAGTAAGGATTGGTAAATGATTTGAAAAAGGTAATGATGTAAGAATTTGCTAAATATTGAATATAAGCTTTGAGTTTTAAAGTTTTTATATGACAAGAGGGAAAATAGAATAAGGAAACGCAATGATAGATTGTTATGAAAAAACAGAAAGGATTTGCTGTAAAAATTAAATACTAAGAAACAAGAGACGGAAGGAGGAGGAAGTCTAGAAAGGAAGTTAATGGAGATCGTAAAGGATTTTATATTTCTGTTTATCTGTTTTTCTTTTTTCTTCTTTTTTGCGGCTGGGTTTTTTCTTCTTTACTATTTCTGTATTATTTTTGTTTTATTTGTATTTTCAAATTTTTTTTGGAAATGTTTGTTGTTACTTGTTACTTTTTGAAAATTTAATAAATATCAATTTAAAAAAAAACAAAAAAACAAATATGTAATATAATTCAGACACGTTAAAATATGTGTAACTATAGGCCACATTCACTGGACCTCCAAGAGCAGCCTTTGTCAACCGTGGGTCCCCAGATGTTGTTGGACTACAACCAGGACTTTTTTTCAGTGGGAACTCACTGGAACTCAGTTCTGGCACCTCTCTTGTGGGTTCCAGCACCTCCAGTCATTCTAAGAGAACGAGGGAGGCCTTCATGGTGAGTTCTGGCACCTCTTTTTCTAGAAAAATATCACTGACTACAACTCGCGTCATTTCGTTCCAGCATGGCCAGTGGTCAAAGATGATGGGAATTGCAGTTAAAGAACATAGGGGGACCCAAGATTGAAAAAGGCTGAGCACAAGGGTGGTTTGGTCTTCATATGGCAAGACCCTATTTGAGCATTCTTTCCTTGAGGTTGTGTTTGACTGGAGGATGCGGTTCTCAGCTGGGGTAGTTGTAGCATTATTACTATACAACAGGCCTCCTGGGTCAAGACATCATTTTTATTCTGCACCTGTGATGTGAATGGGTTTGTTCAGACAAGTTAGAATCCGTTCAGGTCTTCATTGACCCCATACAATTTCCTATGGGTTGGCACTAAGTATGGGGCAGCCTCAAAAGCCAGAGAGGATCAAATGAGGCACTTGTTACACATGGTATGTAAACAATTTGCCACTGCACTTTGAATGGTCATAGCAGTACTTCTTCAAGCTGCGGTGATTGTGCAAACTGCAGCAGTTGCATGTCCACCTCACACTTGCAAACACCAATTCACAGAACCATTGCATCCATGTAGTTTTGGCCAGGTTTTGAGACCACTGACATTCCTGTGCACTGGGTTCAACTGCATCTGAACTATGTATTAGTGTGCCCTTTGAGGGGGGGCATGATAGGATTGTAAGTGCCCAGAACATTAAGGATAAGCAAATCACATATTTTTAAAAGTTGCTCTCTTTATAGCTATCAGTTTGGAAAGATCTCTCAGCACATTCAGGCGTCCCCAGGAAGATGAAGAATATGGCCAAGAAAGGTAATAAATTATGATTAAGAGGCTGTAAATGGGCCACAAAAAGCTTCCAATTTTATAACCATCCAAATTAGGGTAACTGTATAAATTAACTCCTTTTGTATATTTCTGGTTGATCAGTTGGTTGGTTAATTGGTTAATTAGAAAACTAGTAAGCCACCCTTCAGAAAAAAATATATCAGGATAACAATAAAATGATAGAAACAATAAAGATATAAAACCTCTATAAGTTGAAACAGTGGAAGAAGCATTAGAACAAAACCATAAATATTTAGCAGGATGGATACAACCATAATAATAATAACTGTTTATTATGGCTGAGTTTGTGTGTAACAGCTAAACCGTGATTTAGTGTTACATGCATGAGCCTCCGCAAGCCCAAGTGAAGCCATAGGCTGAAATGTTCCCCACTCCCTTCCTCCCATGTGACTGGGAGAAGGATTGAACTGTGATTCAGTATCACATTCCACAATTCATTGCTTGTCACTACATATTGTTTAGAGCTTTAAACACTAGCGTGAGCATCTTAAATTAAGCTTAGAAATGAACCGGCAGCCAATGCAGCTGTTTTAGAGGAAGGTTTATACGAATTCTAAAGGCAACCCTATCCAGTAATCTGGTCACTGCATTTTGAACCAGTTGACGTTTCTGATTTGTCTTCAAGGGCAGCCCCACATAGAATGCATAGCAGTAATCTGGTCTGAAAGTTACCAGAGCGTGGAATACTGTGTCCAAATCATCTTTGTCCTGAGGCACCATTGCCAATAACCAAATGTAGCTAGAAACAGCTGAGCCACTGAGGCCAGCTGGGCCTCAGGTGACAATATTGGTTCCAGGAGTACCCTCAAGCTACAAACATGCCCCTTCCTGAACTCCATCCATTCCCACCAGAATTTCTGTGGTAGAAAAATATTGGGACAGTTTTATGGGGCAGGAGAGCAAAAATCTTTAGAGTTGAGGGTACTAGGAAAGTAAAGAGGTGTCAGCCTTGTTATTAGTGGCTGAAGAAGGTTCAGAGTTGAACAGTTTCTCACAACTTTAAATAAAGAGGGAAGTATAAAGTCTTTGAAGAGCAGCTGCTAACATCTTACAGGACAGCAGAAGCAAAAGCGGAGGAAAGAGCAGGGCAGGAACATCAAATATACCAAGAATAATGATGTTCTTTGTGCTCAAGATTCTTGTCATTTTATAAGATACGTTGCTGGTCTCCTTCCTCTTGAATTCTTTGAAGCCTGCTGAAATATCTGTGGTAGTAACATGCCCAGAGGGTTTTTTGGAGCTCCTATACATGGCTTCCTCTGTTTGGCTTATTTATAAAATTATGCTGCTGCTTTTATTTTTAATTATTCAATTATTTGATTTGGTGATAGGCCTATTTTATTGAAGTATGTCCAACAGTGAATAAGACACTGAACGCCCTAGGCACTAAGCTATACAAAGGCTGCATACAACTCTGCCTGCTTTCTCATAGTGTCCCCCTGCCAGAGAGAGAGACCATCCTTTTTTTCTTCATTTACACTGGACCGAAAGTCAGGAAAGAGCCCACTGCCTAGCTCTCACCTGTTTGTTTGTTTGTTTGTTTGTTTGTTTGTTTGTTTGAATGACATGATTATACTTTTCTTTAAACACAGCACAGCATAGCTTGCTTCTGAATTTCTGAGAAGCCATAACCTGCCCTGTGTTATAGCCAAGTGTGTTGGTGTGTTTCTGATGACTTTATCAGAGGAAGAGGGAAAAGCTTTCAGTTGGAATTTCAGTGCAGCTCTGGGGGTCTTTAAATGCAATCGTTAGGGGTGAAAATGTAAAGTTTCAGTATCTTTATAAACTCCCCCCCTACACACACACACTAGTATTTGGCATCACGGAGCCAGCACAGGCAATCTCACAGCCATTGCACCCAGAATGTTTCATTCTGTGGAAGAACCTTCTTGGTCCTTAATTCAGCAAAGCGGGGGGGCGGGGGAGTCTAGGTAGGCCTATGGGATGCTAACTTGCCCCTCCCATGCTCATTTCTGAGGTGATTGCCTCAGTTTGCCTAATGGTAAGGCTGGCCCTGATCTTGAGGCACCATCTACTTCATGTGGGCTGTCCATCACTTTACAGAAACTGGACTGCCATCTCTCAGGGAAGCTTCAGTTGTATGCTGCATTACAGATTCTCCATTACAGATCCTGCACTGAGCAAGTGGCTGGACTAAATTGCCTCCAAGGTCCTTTCCAACACTGGTTCTATTCTATGACTCAAAATACATCATTTCCATTGTTTCTGATATAAAACGAATTCAGTATTTATTGTGTTAGATTTTTTAAAAAAAACAAAGACCAGATCACAGATGGAAGTTAACTGCTTTTCTTTTTTTATGTGATCTCTTTCTACAAACAGGATCATGTAGAGAAGCAGGAATATGAATCAGATTTTCCATAGATATTGCCATCCTGCAAAATTTTAAAAATGCTACCAATTTTTTTTATATAAAAAAAGTCTGGATTGCTAGCAGCCTGATTCACATGGAGGTTTGTGAGTCGTGTACAGAGGGAAAAAATTGAGGAAAAAATGGTTCGTTCATATGTGAACTTACTTTGCTAAACACATCCCTAATATGAATTTTTAAGGCTTATTTCTCTTGATGTTGTCCTAAGCAAGTTATAAGGTCATTTTTCTTAGTTTTGGTGCAGGAGATTCATACAAAGGGATTTGGGAAATAACCAATCCAGCTCACTCAAACTGGGTGCAAATATGTAGGCTTGTGTTTCGTTAAAGTCATACTGTTTGTCTTTGTGTGGAAAGTGAGTAGTAAGAAATGTGGTCCTTTCAAGCCTCCTTTCTTTTTCATTTTCTTGCTGATTCTGTTGCTTTGTAGAACATTCTGCCAGAAAACCTGTGTCAGATAGCTAATTGCATAATCCTCTCTGAAAACTCATCCTTCTCCCAAATGTATATTTTCAGATATGTTACCTCCATATCGTATGAAGAATATTACTGGACATGGTATAAATTGGCCACATCAAAAGCTGCAGAAGAGTTTAAAAGCCCAGGTAAGCTGATGCTTTTGGCTTAGCAAAAACTAAAGATAGCAAGCCTGATTCTGATCTTGTGCTAGATTTGAGTAAGTGCAAGGGCTCATTCTCATGACCTCCCAGTATGGCAGCTGAAGTTTTAAGTCAGGCCACACAAACTTTCAGGAGCAATGCCATACACTAAGGAAATTTTTGAATGAAAGCTGGCTCATGACTTTGTGAGATTTTGTTGGTTTCTGCTTTCCTTCACTGTGCAGCTCTGCTTGTCACGAGACAGGTGTTTACATTCCACAGTCTGTACTGTTGGAGTTTCTCACGGGAAAGGGAGACTGGATGTGACGTACACTGGTTTCCTGTTTTCACTGTGTGATTCTCTCCGAGCTGTCGAGGAGAGAGGATGCATTTTCTGCTCCGGCAGAGGCAAGATGTCTTTCTGTAATATACCAGCTTTGAACTGTAAATAAAGCTATATAGAGTATGCAGCACATTTTCCTCATCCTTCCGCTGGGCACGAGACTCTGCTTAAATCAACACGTGGTTATGGACTCCAGAAGTCGAATCGGAGTGCCGGCAAAGGATCGGAATGCAGAGGGACGGATCGGAAAGGAATCTGCTCTGCGCGTAGAAGTGATTGATGAGGTATGTGCTACTGCTCCGGGCAGCCTGCCAGCTTCAAGTTAATGGCTTTATGGCTGGACTTTGAACTTTTAAAGCCGGTTTTGCCGGGAATAGGCAAAAGGCTCCCAGGCACAAGTCACTATGCTGGGGAAATCGAAAGTAACTTTTAAGTGCGCTTTTGTAATAAGGCAGCTGCAGCAGTGACGCAGCAAGATTTAAAGCAGCATATATATGACGCTGAAGGCTAATGCCAGAGTCATGATGGCCCTTCAGGATGCTTGTGGGATTCCTAAGCTCAACAAGAAAAATTACAGCGACTGGGTTCAGTATGCAGAGGCAATTCTGCGGAAAGAGGGTTTGTTTGAGGTGATTACAGAAACCCCCAGTTCCAGTTACAGATGCATGGCAAGCTAAGGATTCCAAAGCAAGGGAACTCTTACATTGATAGTATCCCCAGAAGAGCTCTGTCTATTGCGTGATAAGACCTCAGCCAGAGAAATTTGGGACGCTTTGAGAGAGGCTCACTTAAGGACAGAAGCTGGATCCACTATGTTTTACTTTAACAAGCTGCATAATATGGCTCTTGCTGAAGGTGGAGATGTGCGTTTACATCTGATGGAGATGCAAAATCTGAGACATGAGCTGCAACAGAGAGGACTCAACTTTCCAGAGGCTGTGTATTCTTTCATGATACTACAATCTTTGGGTTCAGGTTGGGAGTCTGTTGCAACCCAGATTGCTGTGCAACCAACTGCTCAGCTGACAGTGGACTTTGTTACTGCCGTGATTTTAAATGAAGCAGATCGCCGGGGTGCTAGCTGCATGGGCAAGGGAGTCTTCACAGACGTCATCCCATAGTGCAGTGGAACCACCAGATGGCGCCAAAGCTTTGAAGGCAGTGAAATGCTACTCGTGTGGACGTCTAGGCCATATGAAGAGGGAATGCAGATATCCCAGGGCCAAGACAGAGCAGCGCAGCGAAGCTCATCGCGTGGAAAGGCCGAGGTAAAGGCAAAGGTCCGGTGTCTAGGACAACGCAGCACAAGGCTATGGTTTCACGCTTCACTCCAAAGGTTGCAGAGGTCCAGAAGACGTCTAGATCTTTCTTCGTTGTTGATTCAGCGGCCACCCACCACATGTGCAACGATAAGAAACTGTTTGTGTCTTTTACACCGCAGGAAGGTGCGATTCACCAGGCGGATGACCACACTATTCCCAGTAAAGGCTACGGAACTGTTGTTCTTCACAGTTTGGACTTATCGATACAGAATGTGCTTTACGTGCCAGACGCCAAACATAATCTGCTCAGCGTTGGACAGCTGAATGAGCGGAACATTGACGTTTCCTTCAAGAACAAGAAGTGCATCATCACAAAGAAAAATGATTATGTATTGCATGCAGAATATGTTGATCATTTGTTTGTTTTGTATTATGATGATGTGGTGCAGGATGACACTTGTTGCATTGCAGGTTCTAACAAAAGTTTGCATGCAGAATGTATTCACGATTTTCATCGAAAATTTGGTCATTTGCATTTTGAGGCAGTATCTAAAATGCCTGCCTTGGTTGAAGGTATGACTATTAAACCCTGCAGGTACCACATGAAGTGCAAAGCATGCGCAGCAAACAAGGTGAAAATGGCTGCGAAAGGTAAGGTGTCTAGTAGGACAGCTACAGAACCATACCAGGTTGTTCATGCTGATTTGGTTGGACCACTAGCGCCCTCTTTGGGTGGAAATAGATACTTCATGGTTCTCATTGATGCATTTTCTAGATATATTTTTGTGTACAATCTCAAGCAGAAATCGGAGGCTTTTCCTAGGTTCAAGGAATTCTGTGCTTGGTTGGAAAATGTGCATGGTAAGAAGATAAAGACTCTTTTCAGTGATCGCGGGGAATTCACTTCTCAGAAGTTTGCAGCTTTTCTGACTGAGAAAGGAATTCAACACGATTTGTCTAGTCCTCGCTCGCCATGGCAGAATGGACTTGCGGAACAGGCAAATCAGACTTTGCTTCAAGGGTTAAAAACCTTGCTGCATGATGCCAATCTTCCAGAGAGTTATTGGGCCGAATCTCTCTCGTGTTTTGTTTACAGTTACAATCGCAGGTTATCTTCAGCGATTGGTTGTACTCTATGAGAAGATGTTTGGCAAGAAGCCATACATCAAACACATGAAGATTTTGGTTCTGACATGTGGGTTCGCTCACCACAAAACTCCAAGTTAGACAAGCGTGGATTGCATGGTATCTTTCTAGGTTATCAGAAAGGGTCTTACAGAATAATGATGACTGACTCTAAGACAATTAAGCTCACGAGAAGTGTTGAGTACAATGCAAAGTGGGGGGGAGAATGTGGGAATTTTCCAATGTTATCCTGATGACGGTGATGAGACTGAGGATAGTCAAAAGCAACCACAACAACCCACACCCACTGATGAAGGTTCTGAGTCTGAATCTGAAACTGAATCGGGTGATTCAGAGGATTTCAAGAGTGCGAAAGCCTCTATGCGACCCTCTGAAAGCTCTGATCAAGAATTGGAGGAACCATTGTTCACAATAGGTCGTTTTTCTCCTAAGAAGGAAGAGGAGAGTGTTGAAGACTTAAGGCTAATTCGTAGGTCACAGAGAGCCACAAAAGCAAACCTCCAAAGAGATTTGCTGATGAGTTTGCTACGATAGCAGTAACAGCTGTTAAAAGCTCCAAGAAGGTATTTGAACCTTCAAGTTTCCAAGAAATCCAGGGTTTGGATTCAAAGGAAGCTGAGCCATGGTTAAATGCCATGAAGGCTGAGCTTGATTCCTTAGAAAGGAACAAAACATGGGAGCTAGTTCCAGTAGTTCCAGGAATGAAACTGCTTGGAAGCAAATGGGTCTTCAAAGCGAAGACAGATCAAAATGGCAAGATAGTCAGACACAAAGCCAGATTGGTAGCCAGAGGTTTTGCACAGGTACCAGGTCAAGACTATCACGAGACCTATTCACCCACAGTGAGATATGAAAGCATTAGGCTTATGCTCAAGCTAGCTGCAGAGGAAAATCTACACATTAGTCACCATGATATTAATACAGCTTTTCTGTACGGATCTCTAGATGAATCACTTTATATGCTTCCACCTGATGGCGTACAGGTAAAACAGGGATTTGTTTGTGCTCTGAAGAAATCCCTTTATGGTCTCAAACAAAGTGCACGGTGTTGGCACACAAAACTCACTGAAGTATTGTTTTCTCTAGGTTTTCAGCAAGGAAAGCTGATCCATGTGTATTTGTCAAAGAGGAGGGGCAAAAGAAACTGTACTGTTTGTTTTATGTTGATGATTTATTATTCTTTTGGAAAGATGTTGCAATGTACAATAGCGCCTAGCTCAACTGAAAGAGCACTTTGACATGAAAGATCTTGGTGAGGTAAACAACTACCTATCTCTGGAAATAGAGAGAGATCAAGATGGTAACATTCTAGTACACCAGTCACGGAAAATTGCTGATGTGTTAAGCAAACTAAATCTGATGGATGCTAACCCTGTAGACACACCGATGACAACAGGTTATCAGGTAGATGACACTGAAGAAGCATTTTCTGACACTACACTGTACAGGAGTGTGCTAGGCAAGCTAAACTTCATTGCCAGATGTTCAAGACCAGACATTGCTGTTAGCTGTAATTTGCTAAGCAGACAAGTCAACAATCCTAGTGTCAAGGATTGGAAAGCTCTGAAACGCATAGCGCGGTATTTGAAAGGCACTATGCATTACAGACTGAGATTTAACAATCAGAAGTCTGGTGGTCTTGAGATATTTGCAGATGCAAGTTTTGGAAGTGACGCTACAGACAGGAAAAGTACGTCTGGAGTTTGCTATATGTACAATCAGAGTCTGTTTGATTGGTCATGCAAGAGCAAACAACAGTTAGCTTAAGTACTTGTGAAGCCGAACTGAATGCACTGTCTTATTCACTTAAGGATTGTGAATGGTTAGTACAATTGTGCAAAGATATGAAAATTCCTGTCAAATGTCCAATCCAGGTTTACCAGGACAACAAAGCATGTTTGGCTTTGCTGAAGTCTGAAGGTTGTAAGCAAAGCACAAAGCACTTGCAATTAAAGTTGCAGCATGCTAGGGAATGTATTCAGAAGGGACTCGTAACGGTGTCCTATATGCCAGGTAATGAAATTCCTGCTGATGTATTGTCCAAGATTGTATCAAGGGATCAACACTGTACCTATGTGCAGAAGTTGGGTTTGTACTGATATTGTGCAAACACGCTGCCCAGTGATGTTCACAGAAAGGGGAGGATGTTGGTTTCTGCTTTCCTTCACTGTGCAGCTCTGCTTGTCACGAGACAGGTGTTTACATTCCACAGTCTGTACTGTTGGAGTTTCTCACGGGAAAGGGAGACTGGATGTGACGTACACTGGTTTCCTGTTTTTCACTGTGTGATTCTCTCCAAGCTGTCGAGGAGAGAGGATGCATTTTTCTGCTCCGGCAGAGGCAAGATGTCTTTCTGTAATATACCAGCTTTGAACTGTAAATAAAGCAATATAGAGTATGCAGCACATTTTCCTCATCCTTCCGCTGGGCACGAGACTCTGCTTAAATCAACAGTGCAAGGGCTCATTCTCATGACCTCCCAGTATGGCAGCTGAAGTTTTAAGTCAGGCCACACAAACTTTCAGGAGCAATGCCATACACTAAGGAAATTTTTGAATGAAAGCTGGCTCATGACTTTGTGAGATTTTGGTTAGTCTTATTAAAGGTATTATAACACTGTAGCTTCTGGAGCAGTTGCTTTTTTTTGTTATGGACAAACGTAGCTACCTTCTTTTTAAGATGGTTGGATGGCGGCTAACAGATTGAGGTTGAATCCTGACAAGACAGAAGTACTGTTCTTGGGGGACAGGAGGCGGGCAGGTGTGGAGGATTCCCTGGTCCTGAATGGGGTAACTGTGCCCCTGAAGGACCAGGTGCGCAGCCTGGGAGTCATTTTGGACTCGCAGCTGTCCATGGAGGCAGAGGTTAAATCTGTATCCAGGGCAGCTGTTTACCAGCTCCATCTGGTACGCAGGCTGAGACCCTATCTGCCTGCGGACTGTCTTACCAGAGTGGTGCATGCTCTGGTTATCTCCCGCTTGGACTACTGCAATGCGCTCTACGTGGGGCTACCTTTGAAGGTGACCCGGAAACTACAACTAATCCAGAACGCGGCAGCTATACTGGTGACTGGGAGCGGCCGCCAAGACCTCATAACACCGGTCTTAAAAGACCTACATTGGCTCCCAGTACGTTTCCGAGCACAATTCAAAGTATTGGTGCTGACCTTTAAAGCCCTAGATGGCCTCGGTCCAGTATACCTGAAGGAGCGTCTCCACCCCCATCGTTCTGCCCGGACACTGAGATCCAGCACCGAGGGCCTTCTGACGGTTCCCTCACTGCGAGAAGCCAAGTTACAGGGAACCAAGCAGAGGGCCTTCTCGGTAGTGGCGCCCTCCCTGTGGAACGCCCTCCCACCAGATGTCAAAGAGAACAACAACTACCAGACATTTAGAAGACATCTGAAGGCAGCCCTGTTTAGGGAAGCTTTTAATGTTTGATGTATTAGAGGATTTTAATAATTTTTTTGGAAGCCGCCCAGAGTGGCTGGGGAAGCCCAGCCAGATGGGCAGGGTACAAATAATAAATTCTTCTTCTTCTTATTATTATTATTTAAAGTTGCATGTATGTGCCAGTACCACATGATTGATATTTTTCACCCACCGTGTGCTCTTGAAATGCTCAAGTGATATGTAGGAGCAAGACTGGTGCAATACATTGTGTCACCTGAGGCGACAGTGGCCATCATCCTGCCCCCCCCCATTTCCTCTACCTCTGCTGTTGGTTCCCCTCCTCCTTTCCCTTCTGCTGCCACTGTTACCCCCTCCTTGCCTCAACTAGTTACATTAAACTTAACTTCAGGAGTGCCAGCTTGGTCCTGCGACCATGGATGCCCGGGGCTGTGGGTGCCATGCAGTGTGCATGGCCCTGGCACTGGAATTTGTGGGTGCCCAGTCCCTTCATAGGGAATTTTGTTGGTGCTTGGACACCCAGGGCCCCAGGGAGTTGGCACCTACGCTTAAGTTTAAACAGAATTTCTAGCTGTTGCTGCCAATCAATGGCAGCACAGGCATTCTCCCAGTCACCTTTTTCAAAATGCCTTTGCTCTTCCTCAGAGCATGGCAGGGGGAAGAGGGGGTTGTACTGAAGCTTCTTGCTGCTCTGATGTAGCAGCAGCAGGGCTGGTGGGTGGGCTGGTAGATAGGGGACCAGTTTGCCATTCCCCCAAACAGAATTTTTGAAAACTAAAAACATGTACACAGAACAATTCTAATAATAAGTTAGAATTTAAAATAGCAGCAGTAATAGAGCGAGACATAGAAGTCACTAGTGTCTATGAAAATTGGTTATACCCTGTCTCCTGAATAATAAAAGGTTGGTGGCTCAGTTACTCGCCAAGGAAAGGCATTCTACAAATGGGACACAAACACTGAGAAGGTCATTTTCCTGGTTGCTGTCTTCCTAATGTCATCTGGCAGAAACACCCATAGAAGAAACCATGAAATATGTCTTAAATTCACTTTTGTATATAGGATTTTATTTGGGTTCATGTTGCTCGCTGAAGTTTTCCTTTAGCATTCCTTCAACTTTCATACTATGCTGAAAGGCATAGTATGTTTAAGGATCAGGCTTGTCGTTCAGACCCTTATTGTTTCCACTAAACATAATTGTTCTCCTGTTGAAACTGTTGGCAATTCTCTTTCTAGTGTTTGAAGACCCAAACTTCATAGGAAACCGCTATGGATGGAGGGCAGAAAATGTGGACAAAGGACAATGGGATAGTCTTACGTAGGTATCTTATGAAAATTCAAATTGTGCACATCTAGAAGCAGCAAAATATGGTGCCAAATTTGGGGTCTTGGTGTTATAGTGATTATATATGCAAAATGTCTTTGTGAGGGTATCCGCAGTAAATCAAAATGTATGCTTTGAATTATGAAGCCACAGGGCTTCATAATACATAATCATGTAGCAATAATAATAATACGGTGTAAGGTCTCCATCAGCAATGAGTTCACCTATCTCTTTTGTGAAAGTTTAACAGCAGAAAGAAAGAAAGAAAGAAAGAAAGAAAGAAAGAAAGAAAGAAAGAAACTTCTGGGGTGTTTGAAGCAGGGGTTCCCAAAAGTTCATAATGCTGTTGTTCAGAATGCAAATTTGTCTCGCTTAAATGCTCATATGTATTATGAATTCAGCATTCTCTGGGTCAAAATATAAAAGGAGATTATGGATATGCATGAGCTGTAAGTTTTTAACTGCTCTTCAAAATTTCATTGCTATTTTCATCCCAGTCCTAGGTGCTAATTGTTCCAGGGAACTATGCAGTTCTGAAGTTACAGCACATCTCGAGGCAGCTCCTGAGCCTTGGGAGCAAGGGAGCTCAGCAATCCTTGAACTTGTCTGTCCAAATGAGCAAAACCTTGACAGGGTTTCCTTATAATTTCTTTCTGTAAACCCTTTCATTAGTCCATGTCACCCTAGTTAGACTCTTAGGGTAGGGTTCCTTCGTGTCAAGTGGCTGCTGAAAACTCATTGAAAATATAGGCACCTTTTGACAATAGTAAAAGCAAAAAGAAAACTGAAATGACATGTTTGACTCAGAATTAGTTTTGGGGACAATTCTCTTTATTATTTTATCCAATGTGTGTGGTTGCTGCCTCCTAAGTAGATTTAAAATCTTCTCTTCTTCTTTGTGTCTGTTTGGGATTGGGAGAAGAGGCTTGAATTTCCAGTATGCCTCTGATACCAGGTACTGGGGATATAATGCTCATGTCCTGTTTGTGGTCTCCATGCATCTGGTTGGCCACCGTGAGAACAGAATGCTGAATTACTTAGGGCTTTGGTCTGATCGGGCCCTTCTTATGTTCTTAATTATTTGTGGAAGACTATCAAGTTGCAGGAGGCCCATACCTGTCCCTATGGATTTCCAAATAATCTTGCCTTTATTTGTTTTTGTGACTCAGTTCAGTGTTCCTTTAGTCCACTGGCTCTATAGAAAATGGCTTTTGGTGGCACAGAGGACTAAATGGACAGTATTGTTTTGCTGCCTTCAAACAACTGAGTATCTGAGAAATAAATTGTCAATAACTCTACCTGTCACCCAGCCTGGCCCTCCTTTGTTACACATAACAGTTACTGCTTCGTTTCTGTCTCTAATCACTGATCTTAGTGACTCTGTATCTCCACAAGGAGCATCATCAGGGTCAGGATACAGCACTCAACCAAGTAAATTTGCAATATTTCACATTTTGTCTCATTAAGGAGAGGAGGAGTGGACAAGGAAGTTGACTGCTAGTGGATTCCTCTGATTTCCCCAATACTGCAACCAGCCCTCCTTTAGCTGCTACTTATTTTTCCCTGTCATTTTCAATACTTGCATATGACAGAATATGCAGAATGGGCTGGTCCTGGGGCTGTGTGGGGAGTGCGTCCTCATCCTTATAAAGGCCAATCATTCCATTTTATTTGGAACTTGCTCTGGGGACAGAGAAGCATGTGCACTCCTGTCCCTCTGACCCCAGAGCAAATAATCAGTCAGTCTGATTATAATGTCTAAAGGTTATAGAATAGATTATACCCATATGGAAGAATCTATTTTACCTGACTTGCACTATGTATTTAATGTGTGTTTTGAAACATGCTGAAGAAGATTGCAACTAATTATTTCATATATATGTTTATATATACAGGGCAGGGAAAGGCACTTCACCAGATAGTTTTGCCCACAAACTCGCAGAAACTCTATGAATATCTAATTTGAAGTTCAAATTGAAGGAAAGCAAACTATGGGACTAAATGAGTTTATTTTTCTTTCTGAAGAAATTCGAGGAATATAGGGTTAATTTTTCTTTGACACAACTTCCTTGTTTTATTTCCCTTAACAGAAGTTCTTTGTGTTATGCATTTGATAATTGCTTCATTATGTAGCACCACAGCATCCTACGTGACCCAAGAAAACATTCCAAAAAACTGAGAACGTCCTTTTTGACCCATCTGTCCATTTTTTACTTTTAAAAAAATGCAGCATGAACAGGCTGGAGCTGTTTGAGAAAGCAGCATTTGCTGTGAATCAGAGCAGCTTTCTCATGTTAACTTCATAGGAACATGAAAGGAACTTGCTATGAACCCCCCACCCGTTTGAATTTGCCTGAGTGAAATGGCCACCTCCCACTGCCATCTGGCGGTAGCAGACAGACACTTTCCAAGCCGGTCTCCTTTTTATTTGTTGCTTCATTTGGTTGGCAAAAAGCTGATTCCCCTAACTATTGCATGTCCAGATGAGGACGGCAGCAATCCAGTTTTGCTTGTAGTGAAAAAGTTGTCTGCGTGGCTGACCCTGTTGTGTCGCAGCATAAAGCCATACCTGAAGGCAGAGATTGGCGTCTGAATGGTGTAGCAAGGCATCTTAGAATGTTGTCTTTTGCAGGGAGGTGCCAACTGGGTTCAGCTTTAGGCAGGAAATGCCTTGAGGTGGCATTGGCTGCCTGAGGAGCACTTCAGCATGAGCAGAGATATGTCATAGGCATCTTGAGCTAAGTGCTTAAAAGCAATAATTCAGTACAGGCTTCTAAGTCAGCTCTGCTCAAGGATGAAGCACTCAAGCATGTATTTTGAGTGTTTTGTTAGTATATTGACTATATTAAGTTTATACAATGTATTGTGTGTTGTTGTTTAGTCATTTAGTCGTGTCCGACTCTTCGTGACCCCGTGGACCAGAGCACGCCAGGCACTCCTGTCTTCTACTGCGTCCCGCAGTTTGGTCAGGCTCATGTTTGTAACTTCGAGAACACTGTCCAACCATCTCGTCCTCTGTCGTCCCCTTCTCCTTGTGCCCTCCATCTCTCCCAACATCAGGGTCTTTTCCAGGGAGTCTTCTCTTCTCATGAGGTGGCCAAAGTATTGGAGCCTCAGCTTCAGGATCTGTCCTTCCAGTGAGCACTCAGGGCTGATTTCCTTAAGAATGGATAAGTTTGATCTTCTTGTAGTCCATGGGACTCTCAAGAGTCTCTTCCAGCACCATAATTCAAAAGCATCAATTCTTCGGCGATCAGCCTTCTTGATGGTCCAGCTCTCACTTCCATACATCACTACTGGGAAAACCATGGCTTTAACTATATGGACCTTTGTTGGCAAGGTGATATCTCTGCTTTTTAAGATGCTGCCTAGGTTTGCCATCGCCTTTCTGCCAAGGAGCAGGTGTCTTTTAATTTTGTGACTGCTGTCTCCATCTGCAGTTATCATGGAGCCCAAAAAAGTAAAATCTCTCACTGCCTCCATTTCTTCCCCTTCTATTTGCCAGGAGGTGATGGGACCAGTGGCCATGATCTTCGTTTTTTGATGTTGAGCTTCAGACCATATTTTGCGCTCTCCTCTTTCACCCTCATTAAAAGGTTCTTTAATTCCTCCTCACTTTCTGCCATCAAGGTTGTGTCATCTGCATATCTGAGGTTGTTGATATTTCTTCCGGCGATCTTAATTCCGGCTTGGGATTCATCCAGCCCAGCCTTTCGCATGATGAATTCTGCATATAAGTTAAATAACCAGGGAGACAATATACAGCCTTGCCGTACTCCTTTCCCAATTTTGAACCAATCAGTTGTTCCATATCCAGTTCTAACTGTAGCTTCTTGTCCCACATAGAGATTTCTCAGGAGACAGATGAGGTGATCAGGCACTCCCGTTTCTTTAAGAACTTGCCATAGTTTGCTGTGGTCAACACAGTCAAAGGCTTTTGCATAGTCAATGAAGCAGAAGTAGATGTCTTTCTGGAACTCTCTAGCTTTCTCCATAATCCAGCGCATGTTTGCAATTTGGTCTCTGGTTCCTCTGCCCCTTCGATATCCAGCTTGCACTTCTGGGAGTTCTCGGTCCACATACTGCTTAAGCCTGCCTTGTATAATTTTAAGCATAACCTTGCTAGCGTATGAAGTAAGTGCAATTGTGTGGTAGTTGGAGCATTCTTTGGCACTACCCTTCTTAGGGATTGGGATGTAGACTGATCTTCTCCAATCCTCTGGCCACTGCTGCGTTTTCCAAATTTGCTGGCATATTGAGTGTAGCACCTTGACAGCATCATCATTTAAAATTTTAAATAGTTCAGCTGGAATATCATCACTTCCACTGGCCTTGTTATTAGCAGTGCTTTCTAAGGCCCATTTGACTTCACTCTCCAGGATGTCTGGCTCAAGGTCAGCAACCACACTACCTGGGGTGTACGAGACATCCATTTCTTTCTGGTATAACTCCTCTGTGTATTCTTGCCACCACTTCTTGATGTCTTCTGCTTCTGTTAGGTCCTTTCCACGTTTGTCTTTTATTATGGTAATCTTTGTACGAAATGTTCCTTTCATATCTCCAATTTTCTTGATCTCTGGTTTTTCCCATTCTATTGTTTTCCTCTATTTCTTTGCATTGCTCGTTTAAGAAGGCCTTCTTGTCTCTTCTTGCTATTTTTTGGAATTCTGTATTCAATTTCCTGTATCTTTCACTATCTCCCTCGCATTTTGCTTGCCTTCTCTCCCCCGCTATTTGTAAGGCCTCGTTGGACAGCCACTTTGCTTTCTTGCATTTCCTTTTCACTGGGATGGTTTTAGTTGCTGCCTCCTGTATAATGTTACGAGCCTCCATCCATAGTTCTTCAGGCACTCTGTCCACCAAATCTAAATCCTTAAACCTGTTCCTCACTTCCACTGTGTATTCATAAGGGATTTGACTTAGATTGTATCTTACTGGCCCAGTGGTTTTTCCTACTTTCTTCAGTTTAAGCTTGAATTTTGCTATAAGAAGCTGATGATCTGAGCCACAGTCAGCTCCAGGTCTTGTTTTTGCTGACTGTATAGAGCTTCTCCATCTTTGGCTGCAGAGAATATAATCAATCTGATTTTGATGCTGCCCATCTGGTGATGTCCATGTGTAGAGTCGTCTCTTGTGTTGTTGGAAAAGAGTGTTTGTGATGACCAGCTTGTTCTCTTGGCAGAACTCTATTAGCCTTTGCCCTGCTTCGTTTTGAATTCCAAGGCCAAACTTGCCAGTTGTTCATCTCTTGACTCCCTACTTTAGCATTCCAATCCCCTATAATGAGAAGAACATCCTTCTTTGGTGTCATTTCTATAAGGTGTTGTAAGTCTTCATAGAATTGGTCAATTTCAGTTTCTTCAGCACCAGTGGTTGGTGCATAAACTTGGATTACTGTGATGTTAAAAGGTCTGCCTTGGATTCGTATTGAGATCATTCTATCATTTTTGCGATTGCATCCCAGTACAGCTTTCACCACTCTTTTGTTGACTATGAGGGCCACTCCATTTCTTTTACGGGATTCTTGCCCACAGTAGTAGCTATGATGGTCATCCGAACTGAATTCGCCCATTCCCGTCCATTTTAGTTCACTGATGCCTAGGATGTCAATATTTATTCTTGCCATCTCATTTTTGACCACATCCAACTTACCCAGGTTCATGGTTCTTACATTCCAGGTTCCTATGCAATATTTTTCTTTATAGCATTGGACTTTCCTTTCGCTTCCAGGCATAACTGAGTGTCCTTTCGGCTTTGGTCCAGCCGCTTCATCAGCTCTGGATCTACTTGTCCTTGTCCTCCGCTCTTCCTCAGTAGCATGTTGGACGCCTTCCGACCTGAGGGGCTCATCTTCCAGCGTCATAACTTTTATATGCCTGTTGCCTTTGTCCATGGAGCTTTCTTGGCAAGGATACTGGAGTGGCTTGCCGGTTCCTGCTCCAGGTGGATCACGTTTGGTCAAAACTCTCCACTATGACCTGTCCATCTTGGGTGGCCCTGCACGGCATAGCTCATAGCTTCTCTGAGTTATTCAAGCCCCTGCGCCATGGCAAGGCAGTGATCCATGAAGGGGAATGTATTGTGTATAATGTATATAATAAGATATTAGATTTTTATTGTTTTTAGGAACATAAGGCACTCCCCTGACAATTATGATCACATCTTAACATGCAGAAATGGGAATGGGAATTTTCCCAAAGACATACTCGTGCACGTGGCCCTGGATTTTTGCTGTTTCCTCTGTGCAAGCCAATACATAATAATAATAATATAATATCAAACTTTTATTTATACCCCACCCTCCCTGGCCAAAGTCGGGCTCAGGGCGGCTAACATCAGATATATAACATTGGTATAAAATCAAACAACAATTAAATTACCTCCTAAAAACAGGTCGAAATCAAATTAAAGTCTAATTAGATGGCTTTCCGCAGGGTTAGGGTTGGGAACAGTAAGTTTGAACATTTGCAGTTTCTCTTTTAACATGTAAATTTGGACAGGAAGAAAAGAGCAGAGTGATAGTCATAATTTCAGCTCCGCTAAATATACCAGTAATTTTATCTCTGTGATTAAAGCTGAATTCATAAAACATTTTAAAACAGCACATAAGTCTGTTTTTATGTAGCATTTGTTCCTACAAACTGTGGTGAGAATGGTCAGCCACCTTTTTTGTGGGCACCACTGCAAACTTTGCCTGTAGCAGCTTGAAGGATGTAAATAAACAGTTGTCTGAAGGCCCTCATTTTCTGGAGGCCTTGCCGTGGTGGACTTTCCATATCTGTTGGGCAGGATGAGAATACCATTCAGCTCACTAAATAGTTGGAGCCTATAGATTACTGTCTCTCAGTGCAATTACAGTTGCCTTGCGGGGTGGGGGTGGGTTTAAGTTGATAAGCACATGTTAAGTGGTCATCGGATTTCACACACTGATACTTCATAAAGTACTTAGGGCAATGCTTATTACAGAACTAGTCTCTCTGCTGCAGAATGCAAGCTTCTGCTATGTACAGAGCTCTTCTGAATTCTGCAATTAAAATGAGTTGTTTGAAAATAAAAAGCTTCAAAGCAGTCACTAGCTTCACTTACAAAAAGTGCTCTCTTTTTGACATCACATCTCTCATTTTGCTAGACCTAGTAAGCAACATTATGCACCAAAATGCTTCGTAGCCATAGTTAGTGATTGATCCTAAACATTTCTTCTTTCTGGGGTATCTCCTGCAATGACTGGGTAATATCCCCAGAACACTAGTGTGTTGTCATGTGTTCTGACATTCTGCAGGTGACATTCATGAGCAGCTTTTGCAAGTTTAGAAGGTCCTATGTTAGGCAACTGGACTTTCCGCAAGGAAGTGTATCACATATATAAAAGTCAGTTTCTGCCCTATGGTCATAGCGGGAGCAAGAAATGCTGAATAAGGTTTTGCAAGGAACTGTGGGCTCATTTTTTAATAAGCTCCCATTGAGTACTGTGGGGCAAAGTTAGTTGGCTCCAATTGGTGACACTTTGGGGAATAGGTGGTGATTAGGACATTAAACTAAATTCTTTCTTGTTGCAGCGAAGTGAGCCTTAGATTTTGTTTGTTTCCCCTTGATTTATCCATATGCACCAGACAATGTAGTTTGTAACTATTTGTATAAAACAGCAGTGGCGAATAATAGCGAGAAAGGTACATATGAAGATGAAATGGTTTTTTAAAAAAATATTGGGAAGGGTGCCTTAAATTCAGTTAACAGATTGAGAGGGAGCACAGGGATTTTACCAGCTTAATGATCATTGAAACACTTTGAGCATGTAGTACATTTTTAAGAAACTCCCCCTGCAATTCTTTGTGGAAATCTAAGCCATTTATGCCCCCATGTGGCTGAAAAGAGAATTCATTTAACCAAATTAAGTTTACATTTAATTGAAAGTCATTCCCCCCCCCCCGTTTTGTCAGTGGGAGCAGGAGAATGGATAAATCAAGAGCTTATACAGACTTTTCATTTTTCAGAAGATCAAGGGGCTCTTGGGTTGATTTCCTTCTAGATTATGCATTGTCAGGAAGTAGAATTTGAGTTATGGTGGCAAGCAAACCACAAATCACACCGGACAAAACAAATTTTCTCCCACCAGAAACCACTGAAGCCAAAATATATGAATTTAGTGTACAGTATGTGTGTTAACTTTTGTGATTGTCATACACATCTGTTTAACAGTGTCACAAGACTCAATCCCCTCTCTATGCCTGAACAATACTTTTACATTTAAAAAAAATAAGGGAGGAACCTGTAAGACTAATACCACTAAAGAGTTTATGTGACCCATTTAAAAGAGTGAAAAATTCAAGGTTAACCCCTCCCCATTGCAGCATTGCTCTGCAAATAATTAAGTTCTTGTTAACTTTTTTTTTAAAGTATATTTCCATTGAAAGATCTGTTTGCCCCTCTCTGTAGCACTGGAGAGCATCTAGTAATGTTGTCTAATTTTAAGGAAAGGGTGGATGTGGTTCCAGAATTTGGGGGTGGTATTGATTTAAATTTGCTTTCATTGTGGCTGTATTGGTACTCTGAGCAATCCACCCGTATGGTTGTGTGGGTAGGCAAAAAAATAATGATAACTGAATAATTCATCGTATCTACTTTTTAAGGACCAAACAACACATGTTGTGGGAGATCTGATTGGATTTCAAAGTGTCATTTTCCATGTTTTGTCTAGTCTTTTTAATGTCTTCTATATTGTTGTGATGTGTAAGGGTATAGCTTTTCTAATATTACAGGGCTGTAATATTTCTTTCCAAGGTTAAGTCTGTTTTAGCTGCAACAGTCAGCTAAAGGATAGCCAAAATGCCCTACAGATGTTGTAGGCTGCAACTCCCATTGGTCCTGACGATTGTTCATACTGGCTGGAGCTGATGTGAGTTGTAGTCCATCTGCAGAGCATCTGGAGGGCACCATGCTGACTACATCTGGTGCATATTTCCCTCTGCCACAGCCAAGGCAGATAACTAGAGTTACTCCAGTGGAATATATACAGTGTTCAAGTATTCACCTTTACATCGTATGCTGTCCGTTGCTCAGATTCTGGTGTGAACAACTGCAATTGGTATAGCAAAAAGCATCTTGTTAATAATGTTTATTGCTCTGAAAACAATGGAGCAAAATGCAAAGAAGCAATATGAGCAGAGCATTAAAAATAAATGAATTCTGGGAATTGTGTTTGCTGTTGTGAGTGAGAGCATGTGAGGTGCTGAGGCACACGCATTCTTGTCCGCAGGAGTCCATAAGTGCATGCTTGGGAATGTGGGTTATCCTGCCAATCCTACTTCAAAGGGTCTCTTTCATGCTTAGCAGATAAGAACCTGCTTTGTTATCTTGCTGAAAGTTGGGTAAAGTGCTAAATATCTTGAAGAGCAAAACCCCAGTCAGGACCTGCCCACACTTTCATGAGGCAAGCTGAAACAATTGCCGCATTCAGCTGGGGGTGGCAAATGGGTGCCCCCAAGACCTCTGCTTGCTTGCTTGCTTGCTTGCTTGCCTTGTGGGTTTAAGTACAACATCTAGGTGCGGTAGCAACGCAGCAGTGGTGGTGCAGGGACTCTCCCACTCACCTTGCCCAGAATGCCTTGCTCTGAGAAAAGACCCCTTGGCCCTTCCTCAGAGCAATGTAGGGAGGAGGTGGAGAGGATGCCAGTGCTTCCACCATTAGCATGGTGGCGGGGGGGGGGGAGGAAGAGGATAAAAGGGGGAAGAAGGAAGTGGTGTAGGTGGCCATGTCAGGAGCTAGAGGAAGAAGATAAGGAAAAGGTGGCACTAGTGGCAAGGAGGAGGAGGAGTTTGGGCAGAGGTGAGGAGGCTGTGGCCACTCACGTCAAGCAATGCAATCTCTTGTACCAGTATTGCCCCCAGCTGTTTTGTTTTTGTGCATGCTGAAGTATTTTTTCAGATAAGAATTAACTTTGGACTATTCTGGAGCCCTAACCTGAAAGCCATCTGCTGCAGATAAGATTAACTGAAAATCAATTCGGTTTCTAAGACTTTACTGTAGCAAACAAGTCCATATTTCTGTTCATGGCCCAAGTTACGTTCAACCGTGCTCATTTCCTTTTTGGTTCTTTATCATTTCAGGCATCGATTGTTAATCTCTGAGTTTATCAAAAACCAAAAGAGAGAAAGATTGGTAGAAAGCAAGAAAAGTCATCCTCTGCTAAGCCCATCTCCAGGTACTTCTGAGACTCCAAGATTTTTGTTTTTTACTTTCTTTGAAGTGGCATGTGTAGGCGGAAGAAATAGCCAACTTTCCCTGAAGTAATTGGGACTGTTGCTTGTGAACTTAGAGCTAAACTGATTTTATAATATACTATATAAAAATATAGCCATCTCTTTTCACTGTTGAAGATCATGTCATTTAGATGAATGAAAAGGTGTATGGGTGTTACACACTTCCTTCTTTGTGAAGAGCATTTGGGGGGGAGGTCCTATTAGGGCTAGGACAAAATCCTCCTATTTTGCACCAAACTACTGCTGCACAAACATGGAGAATGCCATTCCAATTCCTTTCTGGATTGCACCAGGAACCTCAAATGAAGACCTTCCAGGTGGTGGCTTAATGCTTGGAGGGCTCATAGCCTGGCTTGGAACAGTACGCCATCACAGAGAAGATTGATCTGCCAGATTGAAGATATTTCCCAAAACTTAATGATCCATCCCTGACAAATGCTTATCAGTCTTCCCTGTAACACCTCCAGAGGATGATTTCACATTCTCCCTAGGCAATCAGGTCTATGGCCCAGAAATGCAAGACAGAATTCTTTCCATAATATGCGGCTTAAATCATTGTTGCCACGCTGCCTCTTGCCCTTGCATGAGTGGCAAAGGTGAACCTCAATCTTCCCTGTGAGTACATTTTCAACATATGGAAAATGTTACTGTACTCTCCTTTAATCATATCTTCTGTAGCATAAAGATATCTGGTTTCCTCTTTTGTTCTATCTGCATGGTGGGCAGATTTCTATAAAATGTGTTAACTTTTTCTGTAAAACCCAACATGTAAACATTTTGAGCATACACTCTACCTGATGGACTTTTGCATAAACAAAACAAATTTTATACCTAAAACAATAAATATTAACCCAAATCAAAGGTCCTACCATCTTAAGCCATATTTCCAGACACAAATAATTATATGCATATTATTTCTCAAAATGATAATAAAAAGTCACTTCAAAGTAACTACCCTACTCCTAATATACTAAAACACCATTTGAGTTCTTTGAAATATAAGAAAAATTATCTAGCACATATGTTAATATAGTATACCACTTTTTAAAATTTTAAAAAACCACAAATGTTGTGCTCCAATTTACTTACAGTTTTACACACCAAAAAAATCATTTATTCTCTTGTTTCCTTTTGCATAATTCCTACTATGAAAGCATCTGGATCCCAGAGTACTTCTGGAAGAGAGTCTAAGAACAGGAGCCAGGATGAGGAGCAATGGGAGAAGGAAGCGGAAGATCTAGTAATGTGGTCTGCAAGTCTTGAGCACATGAAATTGGATTAAACTACGATCACTAATGTAATCAAGGTTGAGAGCAATATTGTTGTTGCAATAGGATCAAATGTCCAGCCATTAACCAGACCCCCCTACCCTGTACAGTTTAATACGAGGGAGATTATCTGCATATTAACTGTGCAGTTTAATAAGTGGGTGGCATGTTCTCATAGTCAAGGGTCCTCTGCCTGAATTACAGCCCCCAAAGTTCTGTATTATGAGGCTGTGAATACTGACAAATTGATGAGCAGAGATTGATGGTGGGTCACATAAGCCTTGGTTGGGTTTTTTTTAAGTGTTTCATCATAGATAAAGACTACAAATGAAGTACGCACACTTTAGCACCAATGTGGTGCTGTTGTTGTTGTGATTTATTTTAATACCTGGGCATATAACTATGTGCAGGATGCTTGATGAAGTGAAGACAGAGAAAGGGGAGGCAAATGAATGCAGAGATAGAAAGGGGAAGAGCATGGGATTGTTTCAATTGCACGTACTTAAGCTTAGTTAGAATGGAGTATGCTGACTAGGGGGATGTTCCAAAGACTTAAAAGTTTGGAGGAACCTAGAACCTCCGGCTTTGAGTACATTAGTCAGTTTTCATCTTCTGCAATCTTTTGCTCCATAGGTGATAAAACATGTAGCACCTGGTCACTTGTGGCAAACTTCCAACAATACCTTCCAGCCCCTGTGACTCCAGCAAAATCCCTATATTTGGTATCAAGTTGTTGGGTTTTACTGACCTGAAGTCAACTTTGGTGTAAAGCAGTCTAAAATCATGTCAGCCATAGGTCCAGCCTTATTATTTTTATATCATCCATATAAAAATCAACATATATATTAGGGAGCATAAATGAAGGAGAATTAGCTCACTATATGTGAGAAACAATTTCATCATTGCTACTATTTTTCTTCAGCAGGTCAAGAACATAATTGAGGATATCCATGCTTCTTCCACTGTACCCTTGTCAACATATTTCCTTATCTAATAATGACTTACTAGCTATTCCTGACCATACTATTGGTTAGAAAATATAATTTCTCTTATTATTCCATGTCTGTTTCTTGTCCTCATATAACCCATGTGCTCTGAGGCACAGCCCTGTTTCTGCTTTCACCTCAAAATCTGATGCCCGGATAACACATTTGGGTACAGCATTTACCAGCCACACAAACCCCAAACACAGAATATATATCAACCTTTGCATTTGCCACCCATCACCCAGCTATGATATCAGACTCTTGGGATCCTTTCCCACTTCTCCACCATATGACAGCCAAGGCAACTTTTTCTGTCCTTAAAGCCTGAGTCGGTGTGCCTGCCTAGCTCACTAGACTGCTCTTAGCCACTCCCATTCATTTTGATCAGGTATGCCCAGGTGGCTTGTGCCTTAAGGCTAGTGTCTGAGATCCCAGGGTGATTTGATGAGCACTGGAAAGGAGACAGAAGGGTGAGAGGATGACATGCATCACAAGATGGGGAAGCTTTTAATGTTTGACGTTTTACTATGTTTTTATATGTGCTGTAAGCTGCCCAGAGTGCCTGGGGAAACCCAACCAGATGGGTGGAGTATAAATAATAAAATTATTATTATTATTATAATATACAACATGCCTTTGGGAGTGACAGGCATCCTTCACTGATCACTAGGGGGCCCACTGAATTTCGCTTCTCGCCTCTGGTTCCTAGGGATATGCATAAGCCACTTCTTCCTCATCGTCTTTCTAGTGAGAGAGAAATAAGTCAGGTTATTCACAGGCAGTTCTGGCCACCCTTGTCTTTCCTGTACGCAGCAGGAATGGCCGTGATTGGACATACATGGTCATAACATCCCCACCCAGTGACTTGGGTGGTAGAAAGCTTTCCAGTGCTGCTCCCTTCCTATGGGCAGCTATCCTTTGGCAACACACAGTCTGTCTCTCACCATGTGCTTGTGCAGTGCCTAATTTGGGTGGGCTGTGATCTCAGCCAGGATTACCAGAAACTACAGCCCTATAAATACATTATATTTTCAGAATAACAGCTTGCTAGGGCCTCTGGTCATCAAAGTGCTTTGTCCAATGCAAGGCCTGTTTATTGAGTGCATCTTGTGCTGCAATAATTACCTTGAAGTACAGGGCTGATCGTTCCAAATTTAAAAGATAGTATTATCACAGATTTCTCAATTCAAAGTACTAGAGACATCGGGAGTTCTTAATCAAAAATAGGCTTTAAGCAAATGATCATTAACTCTGTGAGCAGAACCAGGCTTTTCCGTTCTGTGCATTTTTATAGGCACTATTTTACTGCAGGCCTTTTTTATGAGTTCTGGGATCGTGAGGCTTAAAGAGGGGACACAGCCAGGATTTGGACGTGGGAGGAACAAAGTGTCAAGCTGAGCAGGGCTCCACATGCACATCTGGGACCATTTAGAGCATATTCTTTGTGCGTGTGGTGTTTTTTTTTTTAAGTGCGCCAACCGATTATAGGCAAGTAGCAGCTGTGCCGAATGAAACCAAGCAATGTGAATGTGAGAAGAGTAAGTCAGTTGAGCTTACCTGACACTCCTGGATACTGTGACTGGCCTCAGCATGGGGACGAACAAACATGGTAAAGCATGCTGGTATTTTGCCAATTTCAGCATTCTCATACTCTCCAGTCGATGAAGTTTCATGCCGTAACTTTAACAGCCTGTTCCTAAAAAGAGGTATCTGCACAGAATCACACCGTAAGCGATTCACACTGGATCAGTTATATTGACTGGTGCGCTGTTGAGTTTTGACTTCAATGTTTTGTATGTGAAGAGGAGGGGTGCTATATTGGCAGGTACTCTTTGAATGGGGAAATGCCCGCAAATTCACTGCTTTGCAGCAGCTGGCTCTGACAGTGCTGCTACTACATTAAAGGAAATGGAGACCATGAGCTGAACCACCACATTTCTGTGACCCATAGAGCAACCTCCCTCCCTCCTATGTGAACTTATAGGAGCAGGCAGCTTAGCCTGGCCTCCTAAACCCGGCACACTAAAGCATACGTAATTCTGCTTCTCATGCTTAAAAAGAAATGGTGGTTTTAAGTTTCACCATTACTTGGAGAATAGACACCCATACCTTAGAATAGAGCCCCATAAAATGATCATGTAAAAAACCAAAATTGGTGTGTAGTTGGGTGCAATACTATTTATGGATAAAGAATATGAAGAAATCCCTTCATGAAGGAAACCAGTGTAAATGCACTGATATCACTTATGGGCTTATATCTTCTTTTGCAGTGAGAACTGGATTGCAGTGTAGTGTTCTTCAGCTCAATGTCCTCTAGAAGGCACTATATCACTGTGAAATTCACAGTTTTTTTATTCCTCTTAGGAAATAAGCCATTTGTAATTGCTTGATTGGAAGCCAGTTATCATCATTTTCCTGCTCTTAATTATAAAAGTTTTTTTAAATCATTTTAACACAATACAGTGCATCTTTTTGTGAGAAAGCATGTTTTGTTCAGTATGATGGAATTTACAAGTGAAGGACCGTCTCAAAATGTTTTTTTAAAAAAACAAAAATACATCTAAAGAATATTGTTAAGTGTTGAATCCTGTGAAGAATTATGGCATCTAAACTTGGTATTTGAAAAGTTATTTAATGTCTTTATTAAATAAAATATTTTTAAAAGCATATACATAATAGGAGAAACACTCTGGAAGTTGCAAGGGAAATAAACAGGGTACCCAGGGGTGAAACCAGGCTTTATTTCACCCAGGTGAAAGACCCAATCTGGCACCCACATGTGCATTTGCGTACATACACACATAGGCTGGGAGGCTTCACCTGGGGCAAAAAATCCTGGCCAGCCCCCCGCCCCATAGCTACAAAGGTACCACAGCGATCAGGACTATATGAAATCACTGAATGACGTACATTTGAGTCAGGTCAATTTCAAGTGATCCAATTTACACTGCTTTGGAACATGTTTTTTTAAAGAGCCTGGCTAGCTTTTCAGATACTTTTTAATTCAATAACTTTCTAAAGAAATGCCTGAAGTAACTGATATTATAGTTTGAAATCTTGTTTATTCCGTTATATTTTACTCCAAGAAGACCTATTTATCCTAAATAGCACCCAATAAGGCAGACATGTACGTATAAAATATTTTTTTTTAAATGTGATCCCATTGAGATTCCAAGATGAAATATTGCAGGTAGCTCTTAGAAATATTAAATAATCAATAAAAAGTTTTTGAATTTTTAAACTCATATTAATTTTTTTAATCACTTGTACTTAAATACTTAAAAATTTGTAACTTAAAGTAAGTCCATCATGTGACGTAGCATATTAAAGCCCATGAGGTTCTGAAGAGATTGGTGTTTTTAGTTTTGACGTCTCTCAATTGGATGACATAAGGTAAAAAAGTTGGATCACTTGGTATGGAATGACTCAGTAGTGCTGTAACAGGGAACTGCAATAACACTGAAATACACGTGTCTTGTTAACATTATTCACAGAAAAAGGCATTTAGTGTTAAATCTTAGTGGCTCCATTCCCCACCCTTTTAAATGCAGTCCTGACCCCCCACTATAGCCAGTGCTAAAGCTTCCCTCTATTTCAGCTCAGGATTGCACCCTGCACAGCGTATGTAAAAAACAAACTCATATACTAGGGACTTCTCAACAAACCAATCCATGTACAGTAGTACCTTGGTTACATACGCTTCAGGTTACATACACTTCAGGTTACAGACTCCGCTAACCCAGAAATAGTACCTCGGGTTAAGAAATTTGCTTCAGGATGAGAACAGAAATCGCGCAGCAGCAGCGGGAGGCCCCATTAGCTAAAGTGGTGCTTCAGGTTAAGAACAGTTTCAGGTTAAGAACGGACCTCCGGAACGAATTAAGTACGTAACCAGAGGTACCACTGTATATACTGCTTACTTGCCGAAATGGTTCTAAGAGGCTTACAAGTATAAAAACCAGTTATGAAAGTATTGGCCCCACATAATTAAAATACACAATAAAACAGTTTCATCAAAACATTAAAATAAGCACCCATAAATAAAATGTACAATAAAATGCCATTAAAACAGCACTGCTTAAAACCATAAGGAAAGTTCAAATCCGCGTATCAACCAATAGTCTAAAGTGCCCCAAGAATGAGGCAGATAAATGGAAAGCTCTTTTACAGAGGAAGAAAACTTCCAAGAAACTGGGAGACAGATTTTGACTCAGCGCTCATTGAAACAATATGAGTAACCCTCTTTTAAGATTACCGCAAAGTCCTTCCGAGATCTGACAGATGCAGAGCCTCCTACTCTGCTCTTCCTTCCCCCACTCTACATTTATGAGAGTGTTTCTGTTTTGACATGGTAATAATGACCTGATGAGAAGAGGCATACTGTGAGGATTAATAACAACTTGACAAGATGTGACTAATGATGATGGCAGGTTTGTTGAAGAAAACCCAAGTACCTTGGTCAGATAGTGCTGAGGAATGCAGAGGGTGTTTGAAAGTGCACACATGCAGGGCGATGTAGCAGGCACTAAGGGGGCTCTGACCTTTAGCTGGCTCACTAGTCATCAAAACTAGATTCAGGGCAAGATAAACAGAATAGAAGCAGACTGTGAAGGCACTAAGGGGGAAAAGAGGGGAAATGCTTGAAAACATACGAAGGAGGAGCTAGCCTGATAAGCATGGTTTTGTACGTTTTGTTGTATTTTGTGCATTGTGATTTGCTGTTATTTTGTAAAGTGATTCTTTACTGCAATTGATAAGTGTAAACTGTTCAATTATTATTTGTTGTTGTTTAATTTTGCTGTTTACTGTTGGATTCTAGTGGAATCTTGGATATTGCTTTGTTTGATGTAAGTTGTTTATTTTAAAGTTATTGTGACTTTTTATATAGGATCTGATTGTTACTATCAAGGTTTATGTATTATTATTATTATTATTATTTCTGTTGGAAGCTGCCCAGAGTGGCTGAGGCAATGCAGCCGGATGGGTGGGGTATAAATAATAAATTATTATTATTACTATTGCCTAATACATTGCCACTGAATTCATGACCCCATAAAAATGGAACTCAGGTGCCAGTCACGGAGGTAAAGACAAAAGGTGAGGCCTCACACACTGGCATATGGATAACTTCTACTCTTGCACCTAGTGACTAGCCTGACTCTTCCCACCCAATCAGAAGATGCCTAGGCTGCAACTTTCCAGAGCTGAGAGTGACTCCAGGTGTAAGCAATTAGCATACCGGCCCTCTCTAGCCTTGAAGCCCTGGTGCCGACTAAGTAACACAGGTGTAATTAACGAGAGTGAGAGCAACTTGCTGAGAGAAAAACTGTTCTCTCCTGTGCTCACCTCTTTACCCAGAAGTCTGCGCTCCTCAGAGAAACAATGTTTGTGAACAAGACCCCTCAGTATCTCGACAACAGAATTTCCTTCCAGAGGTAAGTCCAACTTCGAGCTGTGTTCCCTATGAGGGGGATAGATAGACATGTCACAGGTTTCTTCTTTCCTCGGGATTCACCTACTGTTTTGAAAGTGCTTCTCTCAGTTGAATGTACCTCCATCCCCCTTTAAAAAGCAGAATCAACCGCAAAATGCTTGAGGGAAGAAATGGGCTGGAGATGTTGCCATCAGTTCTGACCGGTCAATGCTATGCCCAGCCAGTTTCTACCAAGAGGAAACAAGTTCCCCACATCCTGAAGGTGATGCGTCTGGAGGGAAAGCAGTGAGTGGGATTCCCCATTCAAAATATGCATGCAGCTAAAGTGAAAACTGGGCTTGATTTGATGTGACTTCAATTGCCTTGAAACCCTCTCGGACTGTTTGTTTGCTTTCAACACCTTTCCCTCCTCCTGTATGGTATAGTAAACGTTCCCTGTCTTGCGGCAAAGTTTCCAGACAAATGCTTTTGTTTAGAAAAGTTTAGGTGATAAGTTTCCGTAGGTACTAATGGTTACACAGTGAGTTTTTGATACAGAAGTGTTGCAGAATATTCAGAATAATAAGCAGTGGCTCAGATAATGTGTGTTTGGGAATCTTCTCACCTCCCAGCAGATGCAGACTGGGGATCTCTGTGAGAACAGAAGTGGATTATTGGGCTCTGTAAACTTAACAACATTGCAGAGGTGCTGACTCTCTCCTGAAGATCTGTTTGTAGGAGCAGAATGTTTTGGCTGTCTATTGGAATGATTAAGCTCCGCCCTCACCTTTGCTTAATCCGTATATTACAGAATGCCTACCCCTATATTTGATTGTGTCAACAGGGCAAAACATGACATTTAGGCTGACCACATATCCTACCATACAGTGGCCAGGCCTTTATTTGGAGGAGTGCTATATTTAAAGGGCTGTCCAGTCGAAGTCCAGTTTAGAGATGAAGAGCCATTAAGAGTGGAGAGCAGAGGTCTTCAAGTTGGCCACTAACAGTTAACACTTGGGCAGCACGCAGGTCATCAGATCTGTGGAATTTATTTATTTCAATTTATTGTAATTATTTCTGAATTTGCAGCGCTGCGTATGAATCAGCATATGCAAATTTGATACAAATGTTTTCCTCTTCTGCCTTTTTTTAAATGATTCATGGGGATACATAAGTGGCCACCCTAACTGCATGGTAGGCATGATGAAAAAGGGCACACATTGACCAAGGTACATGTCATAAGTCAATAACTGACTTCTAATGGACCTCATACTCTCTTGCTGCTGGTGAAACCTTCAGCTAAATTCCACAGCTATCATCTTAGCATCTGTCTGTCTTGTTTTAACAGACACATTGCTTTAAAAACTATGTGTCTCTGGGCTCCTGGTTTCAGACTGACTTGGAAGTGATACGCCCACCTTCCTTGGCTGATGTGCTCCTGTGAAAAAGGACCAGGTTTTTTTGGAGGGGTGGTGGTTGAGGTTTGCATTCATTATACTTTCCATTCAGATTCATTTTCACTTAATAGCACCTTTCATCACAATGATCTAAAGTGACTTTTTATATAAGGACTACTATTAAAGGAAAATAGGGCGAGGAGAAAGAGAGAGAGAGAGAAGCCAGCAAATGAGACATTTCTGTGCCACTTCTTACAGACATTTGATTCAACAAGTAATAAAGGCCAGCTGCTTTGTCTGAAGTGTCACAGCAGGGTGGAAACGAGTGTGGAAGAGGAGAGAGCTGCTGGCAAAGGAAGAGCTCTGCTGAACTCTGCCAGGGTTATTATTAAATGATTAAGTTTTCACAAGAAGAAGAAAGGCTGTCTGCAGCAGTCCCAATGGCTGCAGGATAAACAGCTCAAGCCTTCAGCCAGCAGCAGCAGGAAATGGAAAGGGGGCACTACCAGCCATCCTTAGGAAATGTGAGGTTGAACTCAACTTTTTTTAAAGGAAAGCTTATCTGGGCTCACCTCTCAGTCCAGACAGAGCCACTTGACTCTACATGTGCCCTGTGGAAGGGAGACACACAGCTCTGCTGTGGACACTTTAATTGTCATGAAGTGGGTCCAGGTACTGACTGATGTACACCTCCCTTTTAGAGATTGTGGCAGTAAACATGTAAACCTGTTTAGCTAGAGGTGCAGTAGTAGATTTTGAAGTGCAGGAACATCTTCAGGATGAACACCTCCAGGAGAGTTCATAGCCTTTCAAAAAATGCAAACAGCTGCATTGATCATGTGTTTGTGTGTGTATGTGAGGGGGTAGGAGATGAATATATAAGTTGCACATTTGTGTCATCCCCAATCTCATGTTCTGGGCTACAATTCCAATATCCCTGCTGGTTTGCTGAAGGAATTTGTGGTCCAACCTTCTCCAATCTGGTGCCCTTCAGATGTTTTGATTTAGCATAATATCCAATTTATTCTGGTCAGCTGGCAGTCATAAAATGGTAAACTGGCAAAAAAGGACTTTGCATGTTGGACTTTGGCTAGGGAAGACCTGGCTGGCCATGAAGTTCACTGGCTGAACTTGGTCCAGTCTTCGAGACTAGTCTACCTCACAGAGCTATTATTATGAGGATAAAGTGGGGTGCCCCACACCCATGCTCAGCTCAAGTGCTCTGGCAAATGATCACATCACTTCCACTCTGAAAAAGTGTCCTGCAGTTGCATCACCTCACATTTCTCTTCCATGACTACATTCCCGTGGCTTTCCACAGGCTATCATATATTAACAGCTATTATCAGTACTGTGATAAGGTAAGGGAATAATCCTACTGTGGTGCACACAGTTCAATTTCTCTGCATAAATCATACAAGGTTATTTGCCGCAGCTTTTATCCATCCCTAGAAAATGTGCATCACTTTTAAATGATTATTATAAATTGGGGGAGTGAGGCTAGGCCCCAGGGGTAATCCTAAATAGTGCTGAATAATATTGTCAGACATCCCTCGTTCTGTATAATGTTTTCATATTCCAGGACAAAGTAGCTCCATAAAGCATCATGGATATTAAATCTGGTTCCACAGAGCAGATCAAAATGTTCTTTAAAGGGTAATGTTTTGTTTAGCTGCCAATGCAAGATTTGAATTCAGGGCCACAGAACCCCACCCCAGACATAAACAAATACAACTCGGCTTATTCTTTCTGCTTTTCATGTGACCGTAACGGAGACCATCTGTGTTAAGAAACAATGTTTTTCCAGGGCTGAGGAATTTATTACCATTGTTTTTTAAGAATAAATTGTGAAATCCATTGCATATTTTAACCATAACAATATACAGGATGTTGCAAGTCTCTCTCTCTCTCTCTCTCTCTCTCTCTCTCTCTCTCTCTCTCTCTGTCTCTCATTATTATTATTATTATTAGTTCTTTCTCCACCCTATCCTAAGGGCTTCAAGAGGATTTACAATAATTTAAAAACAAAAAAAATAGAATTGCATGAGGTTGTTTTTTTAAAAAATAAAATAAAAATCCTCTAATGTTCAAAAAGATTTTTTAAAAGTAATAGCTAAACCTGAACTTACACCCTAGCCACAGGGTGATTTTCTAGTAGTTGAAGTGAAAGGTGGTGGCTGTTATTTTGATAATGGTGACATCTGATGAACAGAATGAAAAACTTGGGTGAATGCACAGCACCAGTTCCGCAATGAACATCCATGTGGAACTCATTTCCACTTTTGCAAAGATAGAAAATAATGGATACCAGCAAATGATTGATGCTAAATAGAAACAAATCCTCCTAAAAGCACAAAGTGCCTAAAGCGCCCTTGTAGCACTGGAAATTGACTCAAATGAGATTTAATGTTGGATAATTATTAAAGACTGTGCACAAAATGTAATCCCATCCTTCCACAGCTTGAAGTACAAGGATGCAGAATCACCAGACCTCTTACTTGCACGTGCTCAGCAAAATAGATTTCAGAATCATGCTCCCCACTTCAGAATGTTTTTCCCTGTTTTCTCTAGTTCTTGTGGTCCATCCTCTTTTTTGTATTGTGAAACAACAACAACGGTAGTGCTGTTGCATCATGGGGTCATATCCTATCTTCAGCCGGTGTGCTGGTTCCTATATTGCTTTTACCGGTGCTTCAAAATGCAAGAGGTGCCTGAAAGAGAAGAGTGAGTAGCTGGCTAAAATCCTACTACTATTTGTTTATCACCAAGAGGTCAGATTAACAGATGAGGGAAATGAGTAGGGAGGCAAGGTTATGGGAGGGAGGAAATGTGCCCCAGGAAACCATGACCGTAGCTGACATGCAGGTCAGGGAGGTGCCCCTATAACCCCTTTCTCCTTTCTCACAGTTGCAGGAAGATTCATGAAGACTACTCGGAGGCTAGGGATATCTGGCACTGAGGAGCAGTGGCGCTGTGAGGGCAGGGCTTTGGGGCAGACATACAGGACCCCATTCAGCAGAAGAGCACTCGGGTGCAGCATGCACCAGTTTATCGCATTTTGAAGGGAAGGAATACACTTTATGATCCAGAGAGGACTCTTATTCCCACATAGGACCATTAATTCCAAAATGTCATAACTATACTATGACTGAGAATTTATATAGCACATAGTCCGTTGCAGGGGGTTGGACTAATGTCCCTTCCATTTTGGTCCCTTCCCACTCTACAAGTGCTGAAGTAGACTAGAAAGAGGAGGCTGTGTCAGGTCTGAGAATGAGGTAAAGGGACATTTAGAGCTGCCATCTGATTTAATGCAAAGTACGGTAACTATAAGCTTCTCGGCATCCCTCATTGCATCCCACGTATATAGTCATGGTTGACATGTGTGGCACTGCTATTGATGAAGATATACTTTGAAAAAGAGCTAATTAATTCCATCTTAATCTATCATAGCTGATGAATCTCTCTCTCTCTCTTGTTACATCCTGCCTGATTAAACTGGAAGTGTTTAATGCCTTGGTCAGAGAACAGCATAAGGATGTGGCTGAGAATATTGTCCATGGTTTCTTAACAAGCAGATGTGCCCAATGTAGCCTAACATTTCCTCAGTTGCCATCCTCATCATGAAACTTGTGAGTCATGTCTTATTTGTGTAAGCATACTGTAAGCAATCTCTGGGTGGTGTGAGATTCCAGGGGTTCCAGGCACTTACTCAGGGTTCAATTACCACAGCAGAGACAGTGGTGTCTTTATGATGTATGGTTTATTCACAGAGATATACAACCTGGGCCTACAGTGGAGGGGTTCACAGCCTTAACACCCCAAGAGGACTTTGCTTCTCCCATAGCCACAGCTTTGTATTTGAGGAGAAATCAGCCCTCTGCCTTCCTAGCTTCTTGCCTTACTTTTATCTTCTACCTCACATACGCTTTGTCATGGAAGGGAAGGTTCTTGAGAGAAGAATAAAAAATTGGGACTCCAGACAACCTGTTCATTAGGCATTCATCCTGATTCACTTGCACAAACCTTATGATAGACTTCTTCTTGTTGTTGTTGTTTACCAACCCTTTACCTTAAGGTCCCGGGGCAGGTTACAACAATCTAATAAACAATATTTATAAAATTAAAAAAACTCAAAATAAGAAAGAACACAGTCATTAAAGAAAATAGGATGGGTCCTAAAAAGACACATCTCAAGTGCCTGGTTTTATTGAGCATTTGTTCGGAATATTCATTCTGAATGCATCCTGATTTGCTTACATAGTTATAGACCTTCCCATTGATCGATCATCCATTCCATACTTTTCAGTCCATTTCCCTGACAATATCCCAATTTCAAAAAGTTACTTGGTGTTGTTTTTAAGTGGATTTGTTACATCAGGGCAAGAGAGAGCTTTAATCCACTTTAATTGTGCAAGCCAAAATTTCTGGCATATGCTTGAATCCATCCCACAGAATACTGAGAGTCTGGAGGTGACCTAGATTGCACCAAGGTTAAAAAAGAAAGGAGGGTTCTTCCTTCTTCTTCCCATAATTCCAAACACAGTTTGGTCCTCATTTTCCTTCCTACTTGGCAAGTAGGATGGCCAACGCTTGTATTTTGCTTTAATTAAAACAGCAACAACACCACCACTGGTACCTGGACAGATCCTGGAACAGATCAAGAGCTGGCCCAAGAAAAGACCTGGAATGTAGCCTGAGCAGGTTTTGGCAGGCTCAAGTTGCACCCAAGGCGTTGATTAAAAGCATTTGAATGTCACCTTGTATCCAGAGATACATCCCTGACCATTGGCTATGCTGGCTGTGACTGGCAGGAGCTGGGAGTCCTACATCTGCAGGGCCGCAGATTCCCCGTTGCTATTCTACAATAAAATAAAGAGTTGCTTCTAGTGGATTCAGAGGCAGTGGCCGGCACAAAATCTTACAGTGTAAACCTGTGCATATCTACCCCGAAATAAGTCCAATAGAGTTCACTATACCTTACTCTCCCAGGTGTGTGTGTGTGTGTGTAATCCAGCTTTATTCTACTAGGTATGGAGCTTTAAGAATAAGGACGAAAGGATAAGGAAGAGTGGGGCAAAACAGGGGAGGAAACAGCCACCCTTTGCTTTTCTGCCAGCTGACTGGAAAGCAAAAGAATCCAGCCAGTCCAATTGTTGTTGTTTTTTTCTGGTTGGTTGGCAGCCATATTGGCAGGACTTGCCAGAAGCAACAGCCCAGGCTGCACTAATTAAAGAAGGATTTCTTTTTTGTGTTAGTGGGCCCTCCTCTCTCCTTCTGGAGTTCTGGGTGGCCGAGTCTCTGGAGCCAATGGAGCAGTCCCAACAGATTATCTAACAGGGCCAATTCTGTGAAGGGGAAATTCAGAAACACAGAGGGAACCTGGCAACCAGGAGTTGGGGGCATGTGGCTAATCTCATTGCAGATAAGGCCCAGCATGAATGTAATCATTCACCCACTGTCTGCTGGATAGAACATAGGAAGCTGCCTTACATCAAATCAGATCAGTGGTCATTTTAGATCAGTATTTCTACACTGACTGACTGTAGCTATCCAAGATCTCTCTGTGCGTGTTTTAGTTACGAGAGTCTCTCCTAGACCTACCTGGAGATGCCAAGGATTGAACTTGGAACCATTTGCATGCAAGGCACATGCTCTACTAGTGAACTGTTTCATCTTTGTCACAACTTCATTCAGGGCCGGTGATATAATTGGCGCTCCACACTTGCTCTGCTGCAGTTAAACCATTTGGGTATAAATATATAACCACTCCACCCAATATGATTTTCCTTGGGCTCCTCACAGCCTCAGTAGCACACTATATTATTTACCCCTGCACATAGCTGAGTAGAGAACTATACCTCTTTTTTCACTTGTGGAGGGCTAAGGCACAGTCCTTATTCCTCTCTCTTCTATTATTATCATTATTATTAATTCAGTTCATTCCATGGTAAAATGCAGTAAACGAGATAATGATGCTTTAGTGCAGGCTTCCTCAACCTCGGCCCTCCAGATGTTTTGGGCCTACAACTCCCATGATCCCTAGCTAGCAGAACCAGTGGTCAGGGATGATGGGAATTGTAGTCTCAAAACATCTGGAGGGCCGAGGTTGAGGAAGCTTGCTTTAGTGTGTGAAAAGCAAAATCATCTTCTGGACAGTGAAGACAACTCTGGGAATATTGTGCTGCAAAAAGCCTTTACAACATTGGGGTTGGATTTTTGTTTTTGTTTTTTTAGTAAAAGTAAAGGTAAAGGGACCCCTGACCATTAGATCCAGTCATGACTGACTCTGGGGTTGCGGTGCTCATCTCGCTTTATTGGCTGAGGGAGCCGGTGTACAGCTTCCGGGTCATGTGGCCAGCATGACTAAGCCACTTCTGGCGAACCAGAGCAGCACACGGAAACGCCGTTTACCTTCCTGTCGGAGCGGTACCTATTTATCTACTTGCACTTTGACGTGCTTTCGAACTGCTAGGTTGGCAGGAGCAGAGACCGAGCAACGGGAGCTCACCCTGTTGTGGGGATTCGAACCGCCGACCTTCTGATTGGCGAGTCCTAGGCTCTGTGGTTTAATTACCTTAGTCACAGCATGGCAGACCCCTGGCAACCTGAACCTGAAGTGGCTCAGGGAGGCTGGAATTTATCAGTCATTAGTCATGGCATGTATACTCTCAAAATGTTTTTCTGTGTTCTAGTAGTCATATTTGAATGCTTTCAAATATATGCTTGCTTGCTTGCTTGCTTGCTTGCTTGCTTGCTTGCTTGCTTAAATATGCTTCTTTATTGAGTTTGTGAGACTAAACATGGGGAGTGTATACCTTGTGATCCTTGGAGGAAAGATGGGATACAAATGTAATAAATAATCTCAGGAGAGAGGCTACATCAGTGCTCTGTCCTTCCTTTCTGCAGGATGCTCTTTTTATCTGCTCATGAATGATCCTCTAATGGATGATTAACATCTTCCTGTTTCAAAGGATGGTTGAGATATGGATAATTTTCATACCTGTCAACTGGGACATCCCCACAAGAGCATGGCAGCCATTTTGGGCACCTTGCTCTCGTGTGATTTCAGGCCAAGATCTCACCCTAAAAAAAAGTGGGGTTTTGGGGTCCTCTCTCTCACTTGACTCACTTAAGTTCACTGATTTCCACTGGGTCCACTCTGGTATGACATAGCTGGATAGAACCTTGTGAATTTACTTTTAACATGAATTTGCCTGCCTAAAGAAGACTGCTTGTAGAAATCACATTCACTTGGGACAGTATTTTGAGTTTCAAATGCTGGGTGGCCTGATATTTCATAGTCTGAGACATATCCACGCTTCCTCTCTGCTGATCTCTGGCTGGTTTTTGGAACAGATCCTTTTTCGCGGTAGAGCATTGACATATTCTCGAATAATCACACATTGTCTTGGCAGTAAACTCTGCTGCCTTGTGCAATCTTCTCCCGTAATGCATCTTCACACAAGGGCCCTAAACAGATGGTTGTGACGTACCTTCCCCACCCCCATTAAAACATAAATGGAGTGGAGATACTCAATTACTTGATCGTAGGTAGACTGTTGTGGGTCACAGATGAATGGCTCTTTCATTTTGTACTCGTACTTACACCACCCACCTTTTGTCTTTGAGAAAAACCACATTTATATGCCAGTATTGTACTCCTTTATTTTCAAAAGACAAAGTTCCATCTGAGTTTAATAGGATGTCTCATTACCACATCCTGATTCGTTGCTCATCATGCACTCTGAAAAAGAGCCTTTGTTCTCCTTTGCATCTTTCTGCATCCTTTATTTTTATTTTTTTTAAAAAGTTGTTAATGTGCATATCAAGAGGAGGCCAGCAGAGGGGGTGCACATCTTCATGTCCTCTGCATTCATGTTGCAATTAGTTTACTAAGACTAAGAGCCTTAAAAAAAAAAATTCTTAACTGCCTCTATTGCTTTTCCTTCTTTTCAGACGAATTAGGTTGCTGTTTGTAAGGCTAGGGTAAGATCAGTGCCCTATTAAAGTACATGCCAAACCTTATGCTGGAGGCCAGCACTGCTGTCACTCATGCCGTTTTGTACATTCTCTTCTTTGCCTGTGGCACTCAGACTAGGTTGGCCAATTGCACATTGCCAGAAAGAGAGGGAGAGGGAATGTAGCACCCCAAAAGAGGACACATACTCGCAAAGGATTTGCAGATGCTAATATAATTGTATACAGTGGTACCTTGGTTCTCAAACTTAATCTGTTCTGGAAGTCCATTCCAAAACCAAAGCGTTCCAAAACCAAGGTGCGCTTTCCCATAGAAAGTACAGTGGTACCTTGGGTTACAGACGGTTCAGGTTACAGACGCTTCAGGTTACAGACCCCATTAACCCAGAAATAGTACCTCGGGTTAAGAACTTTGCTTCAGGATAAGAACAAAAATTGTGTTGCGGTGGTGCTGTGGCAGCAGGAGGCCCCATTAGCTAAAGTGGCAGCTCAGGTTAAGAACAGTTTCAGGTTAAGAACGGACCTCCAGAACGAATTAGGTTCTTAACCCAAGGTACCACTGTAATGCAAAATGGATTAATCCGTTCCAGACCTTTAAAAACTCTCATGCTAGCTCTGTTCTAGCTCTAATCTGCCACAAGTTTCATAGAGTAGTGCCTATTTTGCATTTCTAGTTTGATGGGAACAACATGGGTTTTCATTTTTATTAATTCTTGCTTAGTCCCGTTTGCTTTTTCGAAGAAGAAAAATGGAAGATAATAATACCAATATTGCCATTCTTATGTATTTATAATTTTATATTTACAGTGCCGGTTCTTGTGCTTGGGATTCTGCAGTTGTGGGACCCAGTTCTAAGAAAACATTTATTGCCTGTTTGAAAGGAAGGAGTACCCAGTTCAGAGGTGAGCTACCCCCACCCTATTAATGCAGGAAATCTTAGTCTTAGATTTTTTGTGTGTAGCCCTCAGATTACACTCTAATGTGTAGAACACTCATGCTCAGTTCTTTGAGTACAAGGCAGCCAAAAAAGAACCCAAGAGTAGCTTAATTTATCATTAGGGACCAAATCATTCCAAGTCCAGAGAAATTTGAATAATAGGAAATGTGGTTCTTGATCATACATAATCTAGAACCTAGAAAACTATGTTCTCCTGTACTGCATGTGCTCAATATCTCTAGAAACTGTATGTGGAACAAGGAAAGTTGTGTGTGTTTACCAGTAAGTGTCTGAGTCAGTAAAAAAGCACAGACATTGTAAAGACAAATGAGACAACCTCAGTTTTTCTATTTCTAGAAGTTTATAACTTCTTTTAATAAAAGCCGGTAGTATGTATGTATGTATGTATGTATGTATGTGTTTGTTTGTTTGTTGAATCTGCCATGTGATCAGCAAACATTATTACAGTGGTACCTCAGGTTACATATGCTTCAGGTTACATACGCTTCAGGTTACAGACTCCGGTAACCCAGAAATATTACCTCGGGTTAAGAACTTTGCTTCAGGATGAGAACAGAAATTGTGCTCCGACGGCACAGCGGCAGCAGGAGGCCCCATTAGCGAAAGTGGTGCTTCAGGTTAAGAACAGTTTAAGGTTAAGAACGGACCTCCAGAACGAATTAAGTACTTAACCCGAGGTACCACTGTACAGTATTATTTTTGGTTAAAAGATGTATACTCCTTTAGCATCTTCCGTAGGAATGCAATTTTTTAAAGAATGTCAGCTAATTGAAGCATACAGTATACTCCACCTGCCAGATTGGACTGAGAAAAGCTTATTATAATATAAAATATCTACCAGGACAGTAATATCACCTAATTTGGGGTGAAACACAGCTGCTGCTTGACACTCCCATGTCAGTCAACAGCAGTTAATGGCAGCATGTGAAGGAAGAACTCATATGCTGAATGGATCTTTCAGCAGGCATTTCAAGAAGCATTAAGCAAGGAGAATTGCAGTGGTAAATTTTGGTTGGTTAATCAGTGTGGAGAGAACCCATCCTGCTGTTACAGAAGTGCCCCAAGACCTTTAACAGCCTGTGTTATCCTGCATCAGTGTTCATCTCATAGAAATATCAAAAGGCAATGTTGCTGGTCATATAAAACAAATCAGAAAATCTGTTGGGAAGATGGTGAGTGTTTTGAAAGGAATACTTATAAAATGTGACCCAGCCACGAAGCAGTTTCTGCTGTACTTAGATGAGTCAAATACCCTAAGGGAGAAGTTCAGCATACAAGACTTTGTGTTAGCTGAGATGATTTCCTTCCTGCAGGAGAGAATGGGAGAGTTAATGGACCAGACCTCTTTCCCTATTACACAAAAATAGAAAATGAGACTGAAATTGTCTGTGTCAAACTGCAATCAATAATGTTGAAAAAAAGAAAATCAAGTATTTTGAATCTGCCTTTCATAAACTTCTGATCCATCAAGACAAACAAAATCCAGCAGCTATCTATGGTGGCTCACTAGGATGCAGTTAACCCCTCTTTTTTCAGTTCCAGGAAAAACAGGAGTTATCAAAAGGTACAGTATTTTTATTTTATTTGTTTAGTGATTTCTCTCCCACTCATGTAGTGCCAATGGGCAGCTTACAAAAATTTTAAACCATGATGTCATAAAATTCAATAGCCCATCTTGTCCAACATCCTACTGTCATAGCAAGCAGCGCCTGAGTTCAACAGTGCTCTCCCTTCTT